TGGGAGGCTGCCAAGATCCAGTTTTCTTCTGCCCTTTTAAGGCTAAAAAACCAGGAGGAACTTTTTTTTCCTGCAGAGGGAGGGAGGGAGGATGACTGGAAGCAGTAGAAAGGAAGAGGAGGAAGTGTAGTAGCTCCAGTGTGGCTTGTTGCATGGAGTTAGAAGGGGGAGGGAGGAGAGGTGGGAGGGAAAGGAGAGAGAGCCTCAGGTCAATGATTTTCTGCTTTTGGATGTTTGAGGCTACAAGTTGAATTCATGTCAGTTGTAAAGCAAATGTTTTTAAGACATTTTATGTCATGTCCTATACTTTATCTTTAGTTTGTAATATATATATATAATACAAAGGCAGACAATATACTGGCTACCATATTAAAGTGTGTGTGTGTGTGAGATACGGGCAGCAGTGTGGAATGTGTGACATTTCTCTCAAAGTGTTCTGTCTCACTGGGTTTTTGTCGCCCCAACCACGCCCCTCTTTCTAGGCATGACTTGTTCAGCATTGTTCTGCCAGACCTAGCACACTTTGACTATCTTAATGTCTGATGGCCAAAACTCAATCTGTGGTATATACTGCAGTGTGGTGCTGTACACGACAGGCTTAAGGCAATTGTTGTGTAATTCTAACACAACAATTAGTTATTTCACCTCAATTATAATTAGTTATACAGTTTAATTGAAGACGAAAATTAAAATATGCAAACATTAAGAAATCTGTTATTATGCTTGCTTTTGTTTTAATATCAGCTGTCAACATCATGATACAGTTACGTAGTATTTATTTATTTTTTTCAGAATACATAGTTACAATCCTGGCTGATCGATATCTACACCTATAACATAATTTCCAATGATTTATTTATTTATTTTTAACAATTCGGCTCAGTCAGTGGATCCCCGGGTGTAAAGTAAAGTAGTGTGAAATTGTCCTGTTAACAACCGAGCTTGTTAGCATCATGGGGAAGGAGAGGCATGCTAGCTAGCTCGTTGGCTCAAGAAGTGCATTTTTCGCCCTCTTTAATAACTCTTTGAATGAAATGATGTACAATCCTGAGAATAAACGACGCACTACAGAGAAAACCGAGAGAAAGTAACAAGCTAATGAGGGCTAGCATGTACCTGGCGGGCTTGCGTTTAATTGGTTAGCTCGCCAGCAGTTCACCAACTAGTACGGCGCGCCTTTACGTCACTAAGCTAAGCCACATAATATTTTGCGAAGACATGTTATTGTATTTTGCTGCACCACTTTCTGGGGGCCTTAACTTCACTAAAAGTACATTGCGTACAAAGTGAATTGACATCTGAATAAAATAGACATGACTTATTTGCAGAAAGATTCAGGGTCATGTATTGGTAGATAGATCTGTCCCCTGAGAGTTGTGGGATTGTTTTTTATATTCTATTATTATACATGAATAAATATAAGGATACTATGAGCAGTGGACAGGGAACCTCAGGACTATCTAGACCTGCTGAGCTGTTTCGTCCTTCGCCGCACAAGATCTCAGGACTAATCTGCTCCGTTCCTCCTGCTGTCTCTCCTATGCGCTTTCTCCTCTTCACCCCTCTGTCTCCCTCCCTGAAATGCTGGGGTCAGGCTGTAGGTCAGGGGTTGGAGTGATGACATAGCGATGTCACTGGGGGGGCTGCAACATCGAGCCAAACACATGAGTCATGGGAGTTTTAGGGGCAAAAGGAGCTTCAGACTACAGACACGCAAACTCCCCGTAAGGTAGTCTCTGCTCTCTCACACACGCAAACACACACGCACACACACTAATATCGGGGGGGGGGGGCTTATGAGTCAGCAGAGGGGGAGTCTGCTGCGGTCTGTGTCCGTATATGGGCTCCGTCAGGCTTGGTTGGTCGTGGTCTGCCGGGAATGCTGGCAGATTCCTTGCATGTTTAGTGGCTTTGTGTGTGAGAGGCATGAATCAAAGTGCAACACACAGACACACATTATCAGGAAGTGTGAGGGCTACTTTGTCCTCACAGTACCGGTGAGGGCAGGCTTATCTGCTCTCCAAACCTGTATGCTAATGCTCTGTACTGGACAGCTTTGATTATTGATGACCTTAGTTTGGGAAAAAAAACACTGAAATCCATTAATTTAGAGTAAATTGGTACGGGCAGAGGCAGGGTCTTACTTGGACCCTAAAATTAAAACTTGTGACTGCTGTTTTTTCTCTTTAGACAAATCTTTATTTCTTTAACTGAATAAACAACATATAAAATAATAATTAGTTGAAGACACTCTGTGGCCTTTTCTGCTCTTGTTCTGGTAATGCTGTGGTCCTGTTTTAGTGTGTTTATGCTGCGGAGGCTGACAGGCCGCTATGTGACACACCCCTTAGCTGAGCTACATTCTTGGTGCAAGTACCAACTTGTGGTACACATGCACGTACCATTCACAGTGCACACCCTCCTATCAGTACAAATGACAATTTAGAGCTGTCAGTTTTTTCTGTCTTCAGGCAAAATTTCTCGTCTGACCCTGCTCCACTTTATCACCACGCGGCATATATTTTTCCACTGGGAGCAGCTGACATGTCATTGGCAGCTTACGAGCACATCTCTCAGTTGGAACACGAATTTCAGACGAGCAGTCATCTGAGGTGTCCTAGTGGTGGTTCAGAATGTAGGCAAAGAACTCGTCTAGTTTAAAGTAACTTCATGCTTTTTTTTCATGTCTTAACAGCCTTTGTTTCCTGACTGGCTTGCTGCTCTGCTCCTCATCTATATGATGCAGGAAATCCCCCACCCCCGTCCATCCACCCTGACCCGGTCCTTAAAACTCGTGCTGCAGCTCTTGGCTTTCAGATCCTCCTAGTGCACGCCTTAAACATTCAGCCTTTTCAGTAGCCCCAGCTGCAGCCTCGGCACTCTTGTGCAAAAATATCTATGAAGAAAAACGAATCACCCTAGACCTCATTGTTGTTGAGGTTGAGCCGCTGTCTAGACAATAACAACAACAAAACAAATTAACTTGACAGCTATATGAGCAGCAATAGAATCCGAATAGCCTAAAGCTCTCCTGTTTGTTATGTTGGTGGCGTTTTTTAGTGTTATTCTCAATTTTTTCATGCTTTCTGCAGCTCTTATCAGAGTGTTGAAAAGTCTGAAATCAGTAAGTAAATGCCAACTGGACACAGCTGCTGTCAGATGTGGGGGATTCACACACACGTCCCTATTAACAGACCCAAAATTTTTCAGACACCCTGCATAGAGTCTTGTATGTACATGTTTGATAGCCACCAGCACTTAGCTTCAAATCCTTACAAGAACCTGAACTTTAACCCCTCCCCCCCCTCACTTTAACTATGTTCCAATCACCATCATACACACTGCTCCACCTTTTCCTCAAGGCTGGTCCTGAGTAATCTTTCCTCCTGATCAACTGCTTCTTGTGCAACATGTGTGTGCATGCTGCATTGTTTATGTTGGGTGGTATATATGTGTTGTGTGCTTATCTCTATCCATCCTCATGCCTGTGCTAGCTTCTGGTTGCATCACTTTCTCCTCTGCTTTCCGCAGGACGTGTGGTTCAAACACAAATGCCTCAGATGTAATTTAGAACAATCAAACATGTTCCCACATGGACTGGTGTGTAAGTGAAGGAGTTTAAGTCTAAAATAAATTATTCAAAACCTTTCCCCACAGAACAATTCATGTTAATATAGAAAATATCAACATTTTAGGGAGGAGGCTGTTTTAAAATAACAACATCCTGCTCAGATCTCCCCATGTGAACATTTATATAACTCTTGCAAAATGATTCATTTGGAAAATTCCCTACACACTCATCATGATACTTCTTTGTTTCACAATTTGTCTCCCCCTTCTGATTACCTAGATCCAGAGAACGTTTTACTCCTTTTTCATGTCTTTAATAGTATATTAGTAAAATAGAGAAACTAAAAGCAAGTTTATTTGTATAGCAGTTTTTAAAAACAGTGAACTCAAAGTGCTTAAATGAATAAAGTTAAAGTGCAAATAGAGAAAAAAATAATAGATCATCAGTTATAATGCAGTTGCAGTGCAGTAATACACTAAATATCCCAAAGTGCAGTGTAGAATCAGTCAAAAGCATTCTATTTGTTTGGGGTGATAAAATGCTGAAGCTCAGATCTTAAGAAGTTTTCTAAATTGAGCGTACACCATTATAGTTCTGGAATTAAGGTGAGCAAAAACTCAGTGTCTTCCCTCCTGTCTGCCAAATGCAGTGACTTCTGTCTTGTCTTTATTTAATTTCAGGAAATTGAATTGCATTGGCGCAGTGAGTCAGTGGGTCCGTTGTCATTTGATGAGAGCTGAGTAAATCAGGGTGTTGTCTGCATAGCTGTGATAAGCAATGTTGGGAGCATGTACAAACTGAACTGCAATGGCCCAAGATTTAAACCCTGCAGGGCATGTCATGCAGACCTGCTCAGATTTATAATCATCAATAGCAACAGCAACATGGCCTCTGCCCTGGAGATATGATCTGAACCCGCTGAGGACTGTGCCAGATAATCCAACTTGTATTTCCAATCTGTCAACAGTATCACAACTACACAAAGATCAAACAGCACCAGAGCTGATGTTTTAGCTGAATCAGTATTTGGATGAATGTCATTAAATACCTTTCTATCCGTGTAGTCTTGGCGCAGAGGCGCCGTCTGAAGCCACATTAAAATCTGTAACAAAGGTCATAATGTACCACGTGGGATGTCAACATAAACTACCGCTATATCTCTTCAGAACAAACCATGGTCGACGATTTCTAGGTATGCATCCCATTCCTCCTTAAAAACGTTAGCCATACATTAGATAGCAGAGACACTCCTGAGGGAAATGTGGCATCCTGACAGATTCTCACTGAGTTTTAAATAGAAGATCCAAGATCCAACAAGAGTCCTTCCTCTGATCAACGGTTTCTCGTCCATTTTTTCAGGTTTGCATGAATGTTTACACATGGTATCATGACTTCAAATCTGTCCCCTCTCTCTTCCCCTGGACTCCAGACTCTAAAGCCATTGTGGATGGGAACCTGAAGCTGATCCTCGGTCTGATTTGGACCTTGATCCTGCACTACTCCATCTCCATGCCCATGTGGGACGAGGAGGAGGAGGCGGATGACAAGCAGCAGAAGACTCCCAAGCAGAGGCTGCTGGGATGGATCCAGAACAAACTGCCCGAGCTTCCTATCACCAACTTCCACAGGGACTGGCAGACCGGCCGGGCCCTGGGTGCCCTGGTTGACAGCTGTGCTCCAGGTGAGGGAAAGTGTGTGTGTGTGTGTGTGTTCCTGTACTTTAGAGAGGGATTTGTGTCTATGTGCAGAGGGTGCGGACATGTTTTGTGTGTTTGAAGGGTCAGTGGAGGTGAAGGACTAGAATGTGTGGGTGTGCACGTGTTTCCCCCACAGAAAGAGTCTGAAATTAACACCAGCCATGGTGTAAAAAGCATTTATCTCTGGAGGAATAAGAGCTCGGGGTTACCTGAAACACTGGCCCATAGCTTTTTGAGGTGATACTATTCAAATACCTCAGTTTTATATTGTATTATTATATTGTTTATTTGTCTTTTAGCATCGTAACTGTCTGCATACAACAGTGATTGACAACTGCAGATCTGAGGTCAGGTCAGGGAAAGCATGAGTGCGTATTTCTCACCTGTGTGAGAGTTAAAACTGAGGGCGGAGATGATGATGATGAGCTGAACAGAGTGCAGAGGAGGGGAGTACTGCCCCATCTCATTATGGGCCTGTTACATTAGGAAAGTGGGGAGAGAAGGAGCCTGAGGGGAGGACAGAGTAGTTGAAGGAAAGTAAGGAATAATGGAGGTTTCTGTTTACATGCTCAGGATGTTTGGCATACCTGTGGATCAGCGTCAGCCTTGAGCTGGAGATAAGGCTTCAAAAAAGCTTTTATTTTCCTCCAGGAAAAAGATTTTCATCAGTGTCCAAAAATAACAACCTCCAGAGTTGAGTGTCAATTATGAAGAAGTAAATAAAAAAAACTGCTGACAGATAATATGCTCGTGTGAACACCATAACATGCAACAGATGAATTCAAGGGCAGACGAATTGATGAGCCACAAAGACAGATGTTTGACCCCACACTCAATTACTGCTGAAGATTATTCATCTTCAAAGAAAGATTAGGAATGTTTTGCATTCTGCCTTTATCTGCTGGATGTCGTCAAGGCTGTAACTTAGGAGTCAACATATTGTGCTGACAAGAAGCTCTCTGTCTCTTGATTAACCTCAGCTGACGTATGAAAATGAAAAATACTGTGCTAAACTGCCAGGTAATGTCACAAAAAGGTTTTAAATTGTTCCATATTGTCATGATATTGTTGTGACATGTTTTTAACTTTTATATATTAAATGATGAGTTAATGCAACACTGCTTCCTGTCGCAAAACCAACCTCTTTCCTGTCCTGCAGGTCTCTGTCCTGACTGGGACCAGTGGGATCAGACCAAACCAGTGGACAACGCCCGTGAGGCCATGCAGCAAGCTGACGACTGGCTGGGAATCCCACAGGTAAAATAAATACCAATAGACCAAAAAAACAATAAGCAATAACACATTCTTCCTCTCATAAATTAAATGTTGAATTCATAAGCAATAAATTAGGGGAAATGCTGCTACAGCCTTGTTTGACCAACAGCAGATTGTGGCTGATGTTAGCAAGAGTTAGCAATCCTTAAATATACTGTATGTTGTCTAACTGAATCACTTTTCTGACTTTATCTCTCTTCTCTGTTTATGCTACTGTTGCAGCGAAGCAAAAAATTTGCTCCGTGTTAGCAGGCCTTCACTGTTACACTACAGTTTAGCCTGTAACATTATCTTGTAACTGGCAACATTGCTGCTATTCAGCAAAACGTACACAGAACTGCTTTAGCCTACTTTATACTAATGTTTCATACATAGGCCACATGTTTGTACTGACCTTGTGTTAATTTAACCTTCAGTTTAACCTGGCCAGGCAAAATTAAACAAAGATAAACTTAAGTAAAGGAAAAGGCTGGTGATATAGTCCTTTTTTTTCTTATTGTCAAAAGATGCATCATTCTTTAATACTAGAGGACTGACTTGAGAAATGTGTAGGTTGACAATCATGGTGCGAGTTGCCACCTCAGTGGAACAGAACGTACAGCAACCATGCCGAGTCTGGTGGGATGTTCACTTGGACATTATATAGAGAATCAACACAAGCTTAACTCAAACATTTGATCTCCTTTAGTGTTTGTCCAGAAAAGTTAAACATTTAATAGGGAGATTAAGTATAACTATGCTGCCTCTTGTGTTGCTCTGGTGAATGGCAGTGTTGTTGGCATGATTGGCACAGTGCTGGCAGCTGGCACAGCATAGCGTGCTGACAGTTGTCTCTGTGGTCACCGCTGTTTCCGCCTTCAGCTCTGCTTCTGCTAAGAAACTGGCTTTGTCCCTTCCCCTAATGTCTTTGTGGGTTGTAACATCAGACAATAAGCATGTCTGTATGAGTTGGTGCCTGTTGGTTCGCGTGAGTTTGTCTCAGGTACTTTCTGAGTCGCGGAAGAGGTTGGTATGTGGTTTTCATCTCTAAATCACAACTACTCAGTTGATTTTCGTGGGTACAGTCTCCATGGCAACTAATCAGCGCTACGTCAGACTGTACAACTGTAGCCTCCCTTCCCTTTCATTAGAGAGTATGCTAACAAGGAAAAACCTTTGGAAAACTCTTTTCTTCTCGTCTTGGTGTCTTAGGTTATAACCCCTGAAGAGATCGTTGATCCCAATGTGGACGAACATTCAGTCATGACCTACCTGTCCCAGTTCCCCAAGGCTAAACTGAAGCCTGGCGCACCTCTACGACCCAAACTCAACCCTAAGAAGGCCCGCGCCTATGGGCCAGGTAAACACACACACACCTGTATCTAGACTTCAACAAGGAAACAAAAGCGTTTAGAGCAGGGAGGATTGGACCCAGAACCTATGAGCTAGACCAAGAGGTTGTTCTGGATACAGCTTTAAATGTGACCTAGTAATGTTAAGGAGCATGCATTGTATGTACCTACAGCCCTTTCTGAGTCAGTCCAGGGCCCAACATGACACATGCACAGGACATTATTTAATACACTATCACAACTCTCCTGCCACCTCCCCTCTCTGAAGGTGTCGAGCCTGTCGGTAATGTTGTGATGAAGAAGGCTGTGTTCACCGTGGAGACCATCAGTGCAGGAATGGGAGAGGTGCTGGTTTACGTGGAGGACCCTGCAGGACACAGAGAGGAGGTGAGACGCTGGTGATGTTTGGGATATTTGGTTCTTTTTTGGTTGTTCTTGCAAATTATTTTGTTAACTTTTTTAAAAATCTCCTCCAGGCGAAAGTGACTGCCAACAATGATAAGAACCGCACCTACTCGGTCTTCTACATCCCTAAAGTCACAGGCATGCACAAGGTAAGCTAAGAGTAATTTTTAATGCATAAGACTCATCTTACGTGATATGACCCTCTAAGTGGACTGTTTTCAGTGTATTCCAAGGATGTGGGAAGCCAGTGTTGGAAATTGAGTACATTTACTTTGAGATACTTGTACTTTACTGGGATATTTCTATTTTATGCTACTTTATAAATCTGCTCCACTACATTTCAGAGAGAAATATTTTACTTTTTACTGCACTACATTTATTTGACAGCTGGGGTTATTTGTTACTTTGCATATTTTGCATATTGAAAAGTGACAGAATCTGCCAGCGTGTTTTTCAACCTATTTTCAATGCAAATCTAATTTTTCATAATTGTAGTGCACACCTGTATTATACTTTTTGAGATATAGACGCTCATTTGTTAAACATTTACATTTAAACATGTTGAAATATTCTCACTACACTGCAAAATGGGTGTATTAGGACTCACTTAAAGACAGAAATGTCTTTCTGTGATCAAGGTTTTTGCAGGTCCACTCTATAACAGCTGCTCACACATGACTGCATCATTAATATTATTCTATGACACATATGCCATTTGGCACAACAAATACTTTTAGAAATACAGTGGCAAAAATGCCGAAAGAATAATCTGAAAATGTTTCACTTCTCTTCTTCATTTGCATAAGTCTTCGCTTCTCTCTCGCTATCGCCCAGCTGCACACTTTCCATTTCTCCCCTTACTCTTCAGGGAGCCTGTGAGATGATGTTTATACATAAATATAATTAAATTAATACTCCATCAGAGCATCTTAATAAAATTGCCTCTAAGTGATTACTGCACAGAGCGGCAGTAATTAAAAATAGAACCATGTTATTGTTGCCTTACGTGGACAGAAGCTCTCTAAAGACTGAAGTGGATTAAATTCTCTGTTGGGATGATCAGTGCCTGTCCTCTTTATTCAGTTGAGCACTTGAAAAACATCTCCATGTGCTCGCACGCTTTTGAAAAAGTGCGTAATGAAAAAAGAAAAATGGTAAAACACATTTTTATTAACAGCAGAAAAACAAACAACAAAACCTCCATCCTGCCAGGTCAAACTTTTTTTATCATAAACTGATACTAAGTTTTCATTTTGATATATATTTATTACTAAAAGGGTTTCTACTACCCAGCTATGGAGTAGTCTTTAATTAAGAGCAGCTTTTCACACAAGTAAAATTTAAGATTTTTTTTATACCACACAGAATGCAATTTGATGCCTGTCTCACGATCCTACCAGCCAAAGTATGAAAGAATGATGAAAAATCACACAACCTAGAATTCACCTTTTTATTCAGTCTTCCCCGGCAGTATAATACAATAATTTCTAATGATATAGTTAATTAAATTAATAATACCTGGATCCGGATGAGCAACATAAAATCTATAGCTGAATTAATCAATCAAAAATGATTAAATCCTGTAAGTTCATCTAAGTTTTTGCTAAAGTCGCACTCGCCCATCATAAGACGATGAGCCTCCTAGCTATTGAGCCAGCTAGCTAGTGTTGGTGGTGACTGAAACAGCACAATCCACTGTCACAACAATTAGTTTTTACATTTTATAACTAACCTGCTGACAGCAGGCAAGAAACAATATTTAATACTTTGTTAATTAAAGGTTTTTTTAATACCTTCTAAGGTCTTTTTTTGAGGAAACTGAATTCAATGTTTTCCTAGACCTCCAGATACCCTGTAGTGGGACGTGATGGGTCCAGACACAATTTTTACTCTCTCCTTTCTGCTCTGTAGGTGACAGTTTTGTTTGCAGGGCAGCACATCTCTAAGAGCCCATTTGAGGTAGAGGTCGGAATGGCTCAGGGAGACTCCAGCAAGGCCACGGCCCAGGGACCAGGCATCGAGCCCTCAGGGAACATCGCCAATAAGTCCACCTACTTTGACGTGTACACAGCAGGTAATAACGCCGGCGATCGGAGTGAGGTTTGGAGTCTTAGTCACTGAGTTTTATCGTGCGGTTTAACTCATGTTATACCAGTTTCCTGTTCTTGCATCCCCTCATCTCGCTCCCCTGTTTCTCTCAGGTGCTGGTGTTGGCGAGGTAGAGGTGATGATCATGGACCCTGCTGGCAAGAAGAACACGGTGACTTGCACCATCGAGGACAAGGGCAACAGTAGCTACCGCTGCACCTACAAACCCACCCAGGAGGGCCCGCACACCATCTACGTCACCTTCGCCGGTGGTCAGATCAGCAAGAGTCCCTTCACAGTCACCGTGGGAGAGGGTAAGAATTGTATATTTGATACCTTAAGCAGCGTCCTATTACTAAGGTCACTAAGAGACCCTGCTTAAAAGTCATTCTGTGTTTTTCCCTGTAAATCACCAGAATTACATGAATAGAACTCCAATCTCTCAGCATGTAATGACTATCAGCTCTAACAAAGCTATAAATCTTAAAGGCAACAAGAGACAGCCATTTTTTAAACCTTGAATATTCGTTTTTTCTTCAGTTGGGTCTAATGCTTTGCTGTCTTTTCCTGCCACTGTACGGGATGGTGTCCTCTCTTCTCTCCTCCCCTCCCTCCCTTCTTCTCTTCGATAGAGGCCCGGTGGTATCTGTCCTCTCTCTGGAATGGCCTCTTCCTTCTGCTGTCATTTCCTGTTTCCTGGGATCTCTCTTGGGTACCCACTGTGTGCGTGTGTGCATGAGTTGGTGATCTGTATGTCCATGTAGATATCTGACTGCATATCCTTTACTGTGTGTGTGTGTGTGTGTTTGTGCATGTCTTTACTTGTGACTCATTTCCCTCTGTAGACTTGCTATATGTGTGGTATGTGTCATCTGCATGTACAACTCAAAATGACTCGCTCAGGAACAACTCAAGAAATTCACAAACAAATTCTCAGATTTCCCTGATAGAAAACAACCAATAAGCTGCAGTCTTGCTCAGAAAATTGTGCCTCCTTTCTTCCAGCTCCCTATTGGTCTTTACACCATGACACAATTCACAAAGAATTGTATTTGTGTTGCGTGACCAGCGTTGTTTGAAAGATGGCTTTTGACACAATGACTCATTTTTGTTTTCTAGGAATGAAAATAACTTGGTAGAATTGAAATGAGCTTTGAGAAATAACCCAACCTTTAAGATCCATCCAAAACGACTTGTATTAAAATAAATAAATATTTTGGTACCAATTTCTAATATAAAGGGGCTATAAGTTTTAACTAATGGCTTTACTAATAGTTAATAAATAATTTTATACTTCATAGATCATAAATAAGCCATTCATAAGAACATGGCCAGGTTATAAAAAATACCATTGTTTCTCCTTTTTTATTTGGTAATACCATAGTTCTAAATGTTGTTAATTCATTAAATTGATCCAATGTAAGTTATGTTGCAGGACGATGATAAATGCAGTTTGACAGTAGCATAAGTGAAGAAAAGTTACAAAGTCACAGAATGGACTGAGTAATGTGAAATACTCAGGCATATAATAATGTAAATTTATTTTTTTGCTAATATTGGCCAACATTAGCCACCATAGATTTCTGGTCATACCAGACCAGTAGTAATGCTATAGTACTAAATAATACCTCAACCTCAAACCCCAGCATCAAAATAGATTTAAATATAATACAATATAAATATATCCTTTTTCTTAGAGTGCCAAGTATACCGCTCCCTGGAAAATATCTTGACCCCCTTTCTGTTGCCTCTGTTCCTGTGGGGTTTCCTTTGTTTCCTGCAGGTCTTCCGACTGTGACTCAGCTGTTCCTATTTTATAAACGTTTAATCAGGAGATATGAATACTTCACTTTCTCTGTGAGGGTAATGCCTCATTTCCTTTACTGTGGTGGATGAATTCACGCTGCGGGATAAGATAGCCGGATAAGAGCCTCAGGAGGGATGTGCAGGCGGGAAAGGACAATTGAAAAGCACTAAAACGTTCCAGCAACCCTTCATCCTTTTTGAAAATGATGGATGCACCGTTCAGATGGAAACAGTTTTGGTTTCATATCATTCACCCCGCACCTCATTCCTCTTCTCCCCACTGAAACCACCACTGTGCTCAAATGTGGTCATAATGTTGGAGTCTATTTCATTGTGTGTGTGTGTGTGTGTCTCCCCACAGCATGTAACCCCAGCCTCTGCAAAGCTAAGGGTCGTGGTCTGCAGCCAAAGGGCCTGAGGGTGAAGGAGACTGCAGACTTTAAGGTTTACACCAAAGGAGCTGGCACCGGAGAGCTCAAGGTCACCATCAAGGGGCCCAGTAAGTTACACTGCAAACACGTATTGGCTTGTTCTTCATAATTCCACATACATTTCCCAGCTCTTCTTTTATTGCTGTCACATTCAAAGTCCCCTGAAATAAATAAAAGTAGTCCTTTCATACCCATTTATTTAACTGTACATATTTATATAGGTTAATTTATTTGATATTGATTTAAAAGGCATTCCATAAACATCTGCCCTAAAAGTCACTAGATTGATTGATTCTTTTTTAAAAATAAAAATGCAGTCACTAAAAGGCTTTTAAAATTCACCAATCAAATCTAGCAAGAAAATCATTAAGTTGGCGAAAGTGGCCATGTAAACTTTATTCTTTTTTTATAGAGAACAGAAGACTGCTTTGCACATCTATTTCATCAGATATTTATGAGCAGCGCATCAGGCACGTGGAAGTTTTCGCACTGAAACGCCACAAATGAATGTATTATTGCAAGTTAAACCAGTTTTTTTTTTTTGTTTTGTTTTTTTGCATCTCTTTTTTAATATAGCCCAAAATTGCACACTTGCTTCAAAGGGTTTTACGATCTGTAAATTTATGACATCCATAGACCCTCAATTCAAATTAGGAATATGCCAAAAGAAACTTTGAATAAAGTGATGGTACCAGTTTGTTGTGACTAAAGCTTCTTGCATTGACCCCAAATGGCCAAAAACACAATTAATGTAGGTTTACTCATAAACTTTTGAAAGCTGTGTTGTTGTTGTTGTTGTTGTTAGCTCATAAATTGGCAGTTAAGAAAAATATTTCTTGTGTGTTTACAGAGGGGCTTGAGGAGCCATGTAAAAGGAAAGATCTCGGAGATGGTGTATATGGATTTGAATATTACCCCACCACACCTGGAACATATACCATCACCATCACCTGGGGAGGACAGCACATTCCCCGCAGGTACACACACTCTCATGGAAACAAATTCTTCACTTGAACTGAACTGACTTATTGTTGTGACTGATCGTTCTCTGCTCCGTTTAGTCCCATTGAGGTCAAGATTGGCGCAGAGGCAGGCCAGCAGAAGGTGAGGGCCTGGGGTCCAGGGCTGGACGGCGGAGTTGTCGGCAAATCTGCTGACTTTGTGGTGGAGGCTGTTGGAGACAACGTCGGTACACTGGGTAAGTAGGCCAGAAGGGAGGACAGAGAGTAAAAGAATCCTAAACATATATGTTGTTGTAAGTTACTCACTGACAGCTCTGTTTTATTTTCCCTGTTCAGGTTTCTCTGTGGAAGGTCCATCTCAGGCAAAGATTGAGTGTGACGACAAGGGTGATGGATCCTGTGACGTGCGCTACTGGCCCACAGAGGCTGGGGAGTATGCCGTGCATGTGCTCTGCAACAACGAAGACATCCAACACTCTCCCTTCATGGCTGAGATTGTCAACCCGCCTGGCAAAGACTTCTACCCTGACAAGGTTTGCACACACCCACCTACCTAAAGCTGCAAAGCAGTTGTTTCCTTTAATGTTGAAATAATTTTTGCCATGAATGTGTTTATTCCAGGTTAAGGCGTTCGGCCCAGGCCTTCAGAGCAGTGGTTTGGCTGTTGGAAAGCCCACTGAGTTCACAGTTGATGCCAAGCAAGGAGGAAGTGCTCCCCTGAAGATTTTGGCTCAGGTAGGGCTGCGTGTGTTTCCGCACATGACCAGAAATGTGCTGCACGAGTAGCATCATCTGGCTCCGTTTCAGCCCCTCAAACACCTCTGTCTTCTTTTATGCACCTTTTTAATAGATCTATTCCACTCTGAAGTGTTGTCTTATTCAACTCTTTGGTTTTCCACATCTGCACAGGATGGCGAAGGTACTCCTGTGGATGTACAGGTTAAGGATAATGGCAACGGCACATATGCCTGTACTTACACCCCACGTAAACCTGTAAAACACACTGCCATGGTCTCGTGGGGAGGAGTCAACATCCCTGACAGCCCATTCAGGGTGAGGACACATACACACTGACACACAAAGGACATTAAATCACAGAAAAGTCTCCTTTAGCTGTTGTGTTTTTGACCACAGATGAACATCGGCGCTGGCTGTCATCCAAACAAGGTGAAGGTGTCCGGACCTGGGGTGGCCAAGACCGGCCTCAAGGCCTTCGAGCCAACTTACTTCACCGTTGACTGCGCAGAGGCTGGTCAAGGTAAAGCGACATTAAAACTCTTGCATTCTTTCAAACAGTACGACTGTTTGGGCTTTTATTCATCAGTTGGACAGAAACAAGACTCCAGATGAATGCTATTGTTGCTAATGTGTCAGTTGGATGTGTAAATAACCAATTATTTGCCAATAAGTTCGTCTTAACAACTTTATAAGGTTATAATATGTCAAAGACCTGTTGAATGAGGACAATAGAGGCAAAAAAAGGCTGCATTAAATGGCTGCGGAGCGTCAGCTGTAATCATCAGTTTGATGAGGTTTGTCTCCTGTCCTCAGGTGACATCAGTATAGGTATTAAGTGTGCCCCCGGAGTGGTGGGCCCCGCAGAGGCTGACATCGACTTTGACATCATTAGGAACGACAACGACACGTTCACTGTCAAATACACTCCTCCTGGAGCAGGCAGCTACACCATCATGGTCCTGTTTGCTGACCAGGTAAGTTTGAATCGTGTGTTGCTTGTGGCGTGAATGAGAGCAGAAAGTGTGTGTGTAGGATTTAGTGTATTCTTAGGTTTTAAAATGTGTGTTTGATGTTTAGGCTATTCCAATGACGCCCATCAGGATCAAAGTGGATCCTTCTCACGATGCCAGCAAAATCAAGGCAGAGGGACCAGGACTCAGCCGCACTGGTAAGAACACCTGTTCACCCAGTTTATCTAGTTATTGCAATAAAACCAAAATGAAACAAAAAAAAATATGACTCATTTCCTGAGAGAGAATTTTCCAAAATGTCTCAGCAGGCAAAACTGCTGGAGTTTTAGAAATGGAAGTTATTGTGAAAATGCTACATGAATGATTCCGTAATTTTCACCCAGGCTGAAATTAACTCTGATTAATCTCCTTCTCTCTCAGGCGTTGAATTAAACAAGCCCACTCATTTCACTGTGAGCACTAAAGGAGCAGGAAAGGCCAACCTGGACTGCAACTTCAGCGCCCCAGTCAAAGGAGAGGCTGTCAAGGACTTTGAAATCATCAACAACCATGACAACACACACACTGTGAAATACACACCGGTGTATCAGGTAAGATGGGAGAAGCACTCACACATACAAACGTGCAGATTTACTCTCTATACCTAAATCGTCTCATAGTTACTTTCTGATTACAGTCTTCACCATCAAGTACAAGCTAGAGCCAGGAGACAGTTAGCTTAGCCTAGCATAAAAACTGCAGTTGAACTGAACTGGAATTTGCTCGGTCAGAAACAGGCGGCTGTTTATGTTGGCATTATCTGTCCACCCTTTCCTACATAATCATTTGTGTGATCACATCTGTGTCACTTCCTGTCCCAGGGTCAACTGGCAGTTGCTGTGACATACGGTGGAGATAACATTCCCAAGAGCCCCTTCGTTGTTGGTGTGGCCCCAACACTGGATCTCAGCAAGATCAATGTCAAGGGCCTGGGAGACAGTACGTAGTTTCCTGTCATTGCTCTTGCAGCTCTTCACGTTTTGACTTCACCCCTTAACTACAGCATCATTTTGTGTTTGACATAACCACAGCTGAATGGTGTTTCTGTTGCTCAGTCGTTTTGTTTGTGTGGTGTATCATTTCTCTTCATCTGTGGCATTTTTCAGGATTTTTGACAGAAAAAAATAGATTAAAAGTTCTGCATGATAGATAATAAGTGTGTGATTTTGATATTTAAGGATCTGATCTCCCAAAGATTTTCCCTAGCATTTGTAATGTGGCGCTGTATATAATTGTGTCCTGCTGAGTTAAAATTGTACAATCCTATATCAGAATTATGAGAGAATACATCATTATTTTTGAAATTTTGTCTCAGAATCAAACTTTTGACTTACTGTTTCATAATTTTTACTTTATACCATGTGATTTTACTAAATCTAAGAACAAAATCTGACCTACTATCTCATAGTTTGAATTTTGTTTTTTTTTGATGTCCATTTGAAACACTTATCAACCATATAATGGAATATCTAATCTACAGCACTCTCTTTGCTCTGTGTGTCATTGTAGAGATGACTGTAGGCAAAGACCAGGAAGTGACTGTCAAATCAAAGGGTGCTGGTGGTCAGGGCAAGGTCGCTGCCAAGGTGACCGGACCGTCAGGGAAGCCTGTGGCCAGCAAGGTGTGGCACATGATTAGGACTCATTTTGCTTCTTTACAAGTGTCCATGTGGAGACGATGTGTGGTCCTGAGCAAAATCCTGCATCTCTAACATATGATGCAAACATGCTGGATTTTTTAATGTGTAAAACCCTGTTCATATTTCTTGTTCAGGTTGAGCCAGGGCTGAGCCCAGAGACCAGTGAGGTGAAGTTCATCCCGCGGGAGGCAGGGCCATACCAGGTTGAACTGACCTATGATGGCGTGCCAATCCCTGGATCACCCTTCAACCCCACAGCGTATCCTGCCTCAGATCCCTCAAAGGTTAGCCACAGTTTCTGACAGACCGTACAGATCTATAGTAATTAAATAAAATGTATAATGTGTAAATTAAAGTAAAACACAATTTTGTTCATTAATCATCTGTTCCTGTCCTCTCTGGCCTCCCCTCTCAGGTACGCTGCTCTGGCCCAGGCTTGGAGCGTGCCAAGGTCGGGGAGAAAGGGGAGTTCATTGTGGACTGTACCAACGCCGGCCCGGCTGAGCTGACCATCGAGATCATCTCAGACAGCGGCACTGAGGCCGAGGTTCACATCCAGGACAACGGAGACGGGACCTACACCATCACCTACATCCCTCTCTACCCCGGCTCGTACACACTCACCATCCGCTACGGCGGCCAGGACGTGCCCAACTTCCCTGCTCGGCTCAATGTGGAGCCTGCGGTCGACGCCAGTGGAGTCCGTGTGTTTGGCCCGGGAGTGGAGGGCAAAGGTAAAAGAACCTGCTGCAGGAGATTAACATAGATGTTTTTTTTGTCATGCATTTGTTATTTTGTGTTTTGGTCACAGAATGTTTTTTTTATTTTTTTTTTCAATGTTCTGATGCAAAGTTAATTATTTAATTTTCTGTGTCCTGCATATATGCTGTAAATTAATGTAATAAATATTTATGTTTTAGGTGGAAGTTGTTAAGATTTTGTTAAGTAATGTTTAATTTTTTTATCCTTCTTCCCTTTGTTTATCCTATTGTTGGCATACTTCAACAGTTGTAAGATCTGAATCAGATTGATGCATCCCTGGATTCTTATCTGTACAAGCTTGCAAACATTTCCCCAACATGCTGTATGTTCCCTGTTCTGTGTTTTTAGGTGTTTTCCGCGAGGCGACCACAGACTTCACTGTGGATGCTCGTGCTCTCACACAGACCGGAGGCGACCACATCAAAACCCTCATCAGCAACCCGTCTGGCAGCCGTACGGACGCCATGATCACCGACCTCAGAGATGGCACCTACAGTGTAGAGTACACTCCCTATGAGGAGGGTGAGTTCAGACGCAGCAGTGTGTGCGTAATTTGATTCTCAAATTTGAAGCTGTTCTAATATTGTGTGTATGCTTCAGGCCCACACAGCGTGGAGGTTTGCTATGATGGCTCTCCAGTGCCTAAGAGTCCCTTCCGCGTTGCCGTCACTGAAGGCTGTGATCCAGCACGTGTTCGCGTGCACGGTCCTGGACTGAAAGGCGGCACCACCAACAAGCCCAACAAGTTCACAGTGGAAACCCGGTAAGTGAGACTGATTTACTTGGAAGAGTTCAAGCAAAAGGCAAATGTCACTGAAAGGTTTCCTGCTTGTATTTGTAATGTCCATCGTCTTCCCTCTGCAGAGGAGCAGGTACTGGTGGTCTTGGTCTGGCGATGGAGGGTCCATCAGAGGCCAAAATGTCCTGCACTGATAACAAGGATGGCAGCTGCAGTGTGGAGTACATCCCATACGAGCCTGGCACATACAACCTCAACGTCACCTACGGAGGACAGCCCATCAAAGGTGCCTAACTGTTACAGCTAGAAAAAAAAAATATATATATATATATATATCTGGTTGCATTTTATCACAAGTTAAATTTTCTGAGAGGACAGGAATTGTTGTGAATACAGTGTTCAGATCTCTGACACAGTAGAGAAAGCCGAGATATGCGTGACAAGAAAGAGAAACACAGCAAAGGTTTTGTGATAAAGTTTCTAAATATAAAACTTTCTCAGATGGCTTTTTCTAACCTTTTCTTACATTTTGTCTGTGCAGGTAGTCCATTCTCTGTGCCAGTCAGTGACACAGTGGACAGTACCAAGGTGAAGTGCCAGGGTCCAGGCCTGGGAAACAATGTCAGGGCCAACATTCCTCAGGCATTCACAGTGGACGCCTCCAAAGCTGGAGTGGCCCCACTGCAGGTCCGCGTACAAGGGCCCAAAAGTAAGTGTGCGCTCTAATGTTTCTAATGTATTCATGATTGAAAAAAGCGTGTGGTTTGTGATGGTCACATACAAAAAGAAACTAAGAATTATAACGCTTAGTATTGTACTTCTCTCTTTCTGCCTCTGTGTTTGTGTGTGTGTTCAGGTGTGGTGGAGCCTGTGGAAGTGGTGGATAACGGTGACCAGACTCACACAGTCAACTATGTTCCCACCAGAGAGGGACCCTATTCCATCAATGTATTGTACGCTGATGAGGAGATACCTCGCAGGTAACGCACAAAAGATTCTGCATACAATCACCATTTTTTAACGTCTGGATATTTGTTCCATGCAACCTCTCCTCTCTCCCTCTGTCAGCCCCTACAAGGTGAAGGTGCTCCCCACCCACGATGCCAGTAAGGTCCGTGCCAGCGGACCCGGCCTCAACACCACAGGCGTGCCCGCCTCTCTGCCCGTCGAGTTCACCATCGATGCCAAAGATGCAGGCGAGGGACTGCTGGCCGTTCAGATCACCGTGAGTGCTCACATGTGATGCACATGCTAAAAATAAGAACAAATTACTTTGGGAAGTGTTTTGAAACTTTGGTAATTTACCGCCCTAAAGGACCCAGAGGGGAAGCCTAAGAAGGCCAACATCCGTGACAACCATGACGGGACCTACCTGGTGTCCTATGTGCCGGACATGACTGGCAGATACACAATCCTCATTAAGTACGGAGGGGATGAGATTCCATACTCACCCTACCGTATCAGAGCCCTGCCCACCGGAGACGCCAGCAAGTGCACTGTCACAGGTATGTGCAGGGCAGTTAGACCATTTTACACGTGTGTTCACTTTTATTTAATTAGTTTGACTCAAAGTCTTTTGTATTGCCCTCTATATACCATAGGAGCAGTCATTCTACAAGATAATGATTTTTAATGTTCCTAATTTGTAATATAAAACTCCAATGAGCTGCTGGTTTTCCCTCAAAGTAATTAACAAAACAAGAAATCGTTTGGTTAAACTACACAGTGTTGTGTTATTTATGCTTCATCCACTTTTCACCCATTTTGAATGTTTAAAGGAACTTTTTGATGTATTAGGAAATGCACACAGCTACATATCTGTCCATGAAATATGAAGCTGGAGCCAGGAGATGGTTAACTTAGCTTAGCATAAAAATGGAAGCAGGGGGAAACAGCTAGCCCTCATATCATGTTTATTTAATCTATATGAAAACCACAGATTCTTGTCTTTACACTTAAGATTTTGCACATACAATCAGTGAGCTTTAGAGGAGATGGCAGGCGGATGTAGTTGAGTCTAGTTTGGCTTTGGACAGAGCAAGAGTAGCTGTTTCCATTTCCAGTCTTTATGCTAAGCTAAGCAGTTGCTGGCTCCAGCTTCACTTTTAGCATCAGACATGAGAGTATCAATCTTATAATCTAACTCTCAAGAAGAAGTCATCATATGTATTTCCTAAAATGTCAAACTGTTCCTTAAAAATAAACACAGATTTATTCTGATTTTTAAAGTGAAAACTAATGTTAATGTCAAATTATAATTCATCAAAATATATTTTATTCACGAGCTATGATGTCACTCACAGTAATCACAAACGATAATCTCCCAGTATAACTCATATCTGTGAGAGCGTGAACGATGATCAGTTCTTTAAGATTTTATCTCTCAGCGTTCCTACTGCTGGAAGATCATTTTTCATGCATTGTTGTATTCTTCACTCTGTGCTCCTCAGTTACACACCCCCTCACCTAAGTCCACGCTGTGCACACACACACACACACACACACACACACACACACACACACCCTCTCTGCTTCACACTCCACCATCACCGTTTGTTTTCATCCAAGTGTTTGGAGCACAGTTATTGCCTCCCACCACCCCCACCCCCACCTGACTGTCTTTTATTTGTCACTTTTTGTCTTTGCTCCCCTGCTTCTCACCGTTCCTATTATCAGTCTCAATCGGCGGTCACGGTTTAGGTAAGCCTACTGAATGACTTTGTAATGTAGAGGAACTACTCTACCTTTTCTTTCTTTTCTGTCAGCATGGAGGATAGTGGCACCAGGTTTCATCCGGATATCCCATTTTCTCTCTCACTCTCTCTTGCTCTCTCTCGCTCCCCCCCCCCCCCCCCCCCCACTTATTCTTCTCCTATAGTTCTCTCTCCCATACCTGTTTCCCCTCCCATCTTATCTTCTGTTTGTCTGTTTCCCACTCACATTTTTTAATTGGACAGACTAATGGACTAACAGAGTAAGTAGGATGGCATGGTGGAATGGCTAATCTAGCTCCATGTGGGTCTACATGGTAACTGTATGATAACAATATATGAGTCGATGGTAACAACGTACAATAGATGGAAGTAACGTGACTACATCTCATCCAACTTTAACCTGGTCTCATGGTTGTGGACTGTGCATGCTGAATGTGTGTGTGAAAGAAAGTGTGAGTCTGTTAGTTATCATAAATGGCGTCTCACCACTGACTCTTTTCTTCTCAATATTCAAGGCGCTGGTGTCGGCCCAACCATCCAGATTGGCGAACAGACAGTCATCACAGTGGACGCCAAGGCTGCTGGGAAAGGAAAGGTGACATGCAGTGTGTGCACGCCCGAGGGGGCGGAGCTCGACGTGGACGTTGTCGAAAACGAGGACGGCACTTTCGACATCTTCTACACGGCGCCGCAGCCTGGCGAGTATGTCATCTGCGTCCGCTTTGGAGGGGAGCACATCCCTAACAGTCCCTTCCAAGTCACGGTGAGTGATGGGCATTTTAACCTTCATTTAACCAGGGTGGGTAGTTACTGCAGCGTAATAACACCATTCAAGACCAGAGTAACAGCTGAGATGTTGCTTTAAAACCAGACTGATGTTTACTTCTAATGGGGACTGACCAGCAATTCCAGGATTTTTGACAGCTTGAAGATACTAGGATAACAAACAGAGCAAGGTTTGAGTGAGAGATGATGCATGGACCAAAGATCCGTGACGCTGTTTCTCCCTACAGAAGCTTCGTGATTGGGTCCTGGTTGGCACCAGACATTTTCTAAATCACCCTGACTACTGTTTTATTCCCCTCCAATCCCTTCCATCTTTTTTACCCTCTCCATCCCCGACACCACCCCTACCTACCCCCTCACCACCTCCCAACCCCTCAGGCGCTGGAAGGAGCTCCATCAGACCAGCTCATGCAGCAGAGCCAAATCCCCCAGTACTACGCTCAACAGCCCTGGGTACCTAAAGCCTCTGCCTCCAGCCGCTCTCATCCCTCTCAGTTTTTGTTAACTTCCTCTTTCCTCCCTTTCTCTCCTCCTTTCATCTCGTGTACATCACCATACATGACCTCCTTTCATCAGCCTTTATCAGTGTGTGCTGTCTCTTATCGCAGGTGTTTCATCTCTGAGGGGGCCTTTTCTCTCGTTTCACTCCCTCCACCTCATAAACAGGAAACATTAAACACATGGGGCAGTGCAACAGAGCTGCACAATATCAAAAAGGAATATTCTTCAACATAGGAACTTTTTCCTTTGCAATTTGGGAATTAAATACTTTTCGTATTTTCCATACATCCTTGTGCAGCCCATCTGTTCAGCAGTGCTTCATGTCACCTCGCTTTGGAGACAAAAGCAGCCATTTTGAGAATCAGCAATGTGTCAGCTGTGCCACATTTTACAAAATGGCGAACTGAGCTTATTCATTCTCCCTCGACCTACCGGTGTTTTTGTGCTCACCTCATTCTCTCTCGCAGTTTGTGTCGGTGTCATCATCCTGACCATGATCACCATTGTCATCTCCATTGTCAATCATTTCATCTCATGATTGTCTCATCCCATTTTGTTTGCTGGTGTTTGGAAGCTTTTACCCCTCTGCCCTGCCCTGTGACGTGTACTGTTACTGTAACCACACGTATCGCCACTGACCTCTGCTCTCTGTCTCCCAGGCAACAGACAGACCAATGGGAATGAATGGTCTGGATGTAGCAGGGCTGAGACCGTTTGACCTGGTCATCCCGTTCACCATTCAGAAGGGAGAGATCACAGGTAACATAAACAAGTCTACGCCCCAAATCAACTTTACTGAGGATTTCTGTGTTGCGTGTACCTCAACGTATGTTTCCATCCTCTGCTGAAGGTGAGGTCCGAATGCCATCAGGCAAGGTGGCCAAGCCGGACATCACAGACAACAAGGACGGCACGGTTACTGTCAAGTACGCTCCCACTGAGGCCGGCCTGCACGAGATGGACATCAAATACGATGGCATTCACATCCCTGGTACAACTTACCACTTACTAAGTGTTTTTGTAACCTCTAAGGTGCTTGAGATGTTTTGTTCTTTGTTCACTCATTCTCTCTCTCTTCTTCTCCTTCTCTCTGTTATAATCACAGGAAGTCCCTTACAGTTCTATGTGGACTACATGAACAGTGGTAATGTCAGTGCCTACGGCCCTGGCCTCATTCATGGGACTGTCAACAAGCCTGCTGTCTTCACTGTGAACACTAAAGATGCTGGAGAGGGTACGTAGCAGCAACGTGGCAGACTGACTGTCTGCAGCAGCTTGTGTAGAAATTAGTTGAATCCGAGGAGATGCACATAAGTATTACGTCTAACTCTTTTTAGTCATGACTGTGCCAAAATTATTAACAAAGGGACAAACATAATCACACAAAACGCCGTCTCTTCATATCCTGTCCTTGTAGGTGGTCTGTCTCTGGCCATCGAGGGTCCATCCAAGGCAGACATCAGCTGTCTGGACAACCAGGATGGGACCTGCACCGTGTCCTACCTGCCCGTCCTGCCGGGAGACTACAGCATCCTGGTCAAATACAATGACAAGCACATCCCCGGCAGCCCCTTCTCCGCTAGGATTACTGGTAATATAATCTAGCAGCGTGACGTACAAAGATCGGGAACCACTGCCCTGTCTTTTCTCCTCTTGAGTGTGTTTATGTCATCAGCGTGCGCCCTAACTGGCCTGTCACTGTTGGATCTTCAGGTGATGACTCCATGAGGATGTCCCAACTAAAGGTGGGCTCAGCCGCTGATATCCCACTGGACATCGGAGAGCTTGATCTCAGCCAGCTGACCGCCTCCCTCACCACGCCCTCGGGCCGCGAGGAGCCCTGCCTGCTGAAGATGCTGCGTAATGGACATGTTGGTGAGTGTGTGTCTGACGTAAGCGAGGAGACGTCGACTGAAAGGATGATTCTTAGCTGAGTCATGTTTTTAACCCTCCCCTCCTCTTTTCACGCACGTGTCTGTCACAGGTATCTCGTTTGTTCCCAAGGAGATCGGAGAGCATCTGGTGAACATCAAGAAGAACGGTCGCCACATTCCTAGCAGCCCCATTGCTGTTATGATCAGCCAATCAGAGATCGGTGATGCCAGCCGCGTGCGTGTGAGTGGCCAGGGCCTGAGCGAGGCCAGGACCTTTGAGCCTGCAGAATTCATCATCGACACTCGTGATGCAGGTACGCGCTTCATATGAAGCGATTTCTACAAGTGTTAGCTGTTTTTTACATTTCATTTTCAGTCATCCAGTTTTTTCATTTATTACCACTCCCTTGTGTTTCTTCCATACAGGCTATGGCGGCCTGAGCCTGTCCATTGAGGGGCCCAGTAAAGTGGACATCAACACTGAGGACCAGGAGGACGGCACCTGCAAGGTCACCTACTGCCCCACTGAACCAGGGAATTACATCATCAACATCAAGTTTGCTGACCAGCATGTGCCAGGTGCTTATCTTTAGAACAGACAGAGTAGAGCCGTGTTGTTCTGATTTGCTCATCTGAGTCAATCATTGTGTTTGTGCACAGGGAGTGCGTTCACAGTGAAGGTAACAGGGGAGGGCAGGATGAAGGAGAGCATCACAAGGAAGAGGAGAGCAGCATCAGTTGCCAACGTCGGCAGCCAGTGCGACCTCAGCCTCAAGATCCCAGGTGACTAAAACAGGAAATAATGACAATGCATCTCTCCCTTAAAGCGAGACCATTTAACTTTCGGAAAAAGAAATGACACATTCTTCGTCTCTCAAAATGAAAAGTAACAGACATGACTGACTTTCTCTTTTCCACTTGTTTTACTGTGATACTACATTTTAACTACATTTAATTACAGATACACATTTAATTGCAATGATTCAAACATCTGTCTGCCTGTCTCTTCAGAGATCAGCATAGCTGACATGACAGCTCAGGTGACCAGCCCGTCTGGCCAGGTTCACAAGGCTGACATTATGGAGGGAGAGAACAACACCTACTGCATTCGTTTTGTCCCCACTGAGACGGGTGTGCACACAGTGTGTGTGAAATACAACGGCGTGCACGTGCCTGGCAGCCCGTTCCAGTTTACCGTCGGCCCGCTGGGAGAAGGCGGGTCTCATAAGGTTCGTGCTGGAGGGCCGGGCCTGGAGAGAGCCGAGGCTGGAGTACCAGGTGGGTGTGGTGGCTGGATTATTAGTGTTTGTGTGTGCGTGCTTCGATATGTAATTGTACACAGCGTACCTGACTCTGTTTGTTCTGTGTAGCCGAGTTCAGTATCTGGACGAGGGAGGCTGGAGCCGGAGGTCTCAGCATCGCTGTGGAGGGGCCGAGCAAAGCTGAAATCACCTTTGAGGACCGCAAGGACGGCTCCAGTGGAGTGTCCTACATCGTGCAAGAACCTGGTGAGAGAAGAGAGAGGGAAAGATTTATGAATGGATGAGAATTAAGCTGCAGATAAAAGTTATACATCCAGTGTATAATGTGATTTTCTTAAGTGCTGTTTTTTGTTTTGTTCCACTCTATATAGTTATACTCTTGTCCCTTTTTGGCATAAATGTTGTCTTTTTATGGAGAAATTAAATCAATATGCACATGTTGTGGACGCCTGTCACTGTTGTGTTTTGTGTTGTAGTGACTTTCTGACTTGAAATCCGTTCTCCTGTAGGAGACTACGAGGTGTCGATTCGTTTCAATGACGAGCACATCCCTGACAGCCCCTTCATCGTGCCTGTGGCCTCACCGTCAGACGACTCACGTCGCCTCACTGTTGCCAGTCTTCAGGTGAGGCTCTGAGACACACACACATCCGTGTGCGCACACACGAGGCCACAGGACACTGCCTACAATGCAGCAGCAGCTTGTAATTTTACTTTTTGTGCTTATGCAGATTGAAGAATATCATGACCACTGTAAAATGCAATTGTTGCAATACCAGAGACAATTTAGCTTTTGTGGTTTCACACTATAGACAAATATTTACTGGTCATGAGGACTTTGATAGTGTGGGTTCCATAACTGAAGCAGATGACATATTTAACGATGTATGATGGAACAAGTGTAATAGTTGGTTTATCGTTAAATATATGGCAGAGTAGTGAATGTTTTAGTTGGCCAAGATGGTTAGAGATCCATAAGAGGAGAGTTCAGAGGTACAGGGTAGGAACAGCTGCTGCTGTATTGTTGGGCCGTGCAAGGGCCTCTGGGATACTAGAGGATTGTGTGTGTTTCTCGTGCCTCATTCTAAAGGCTCCCAACAGCCTCCCACCTCTGAAAGTGATACGGGGTGCTAAAGGGTTAAAGAGGTCTAACATGGGCTGTTTCCTCTCTGTTCACACTTTCACAAGTACATGCACACAATACTGTGGAAGCCCATTTCTGACAGATAAGGAAACGTTCTGCAGGATAAAAAACCCCCCTCAACATTATGAGATAATTTAAAATGTGACTTTCTCATCAGGTTGACTTGTGATAAGTATTTTTATTTTTACCCTGCGGAACTTTCCAACTATTTTTTTCTTTTTCTGGTGGAATTGGGCTTTGGTAAAACACTGACTTTCATACATAAATATGTATCTTCACCTGCATGCAGACCCACCCTCACAACAAGCACAAATGTGCTCACACACATACATCATGGTTATAGATAAACTGTCAAATTTGCGCACTGGGTCGTTCTTACAAAACACTTTTGTTCTCTTCTCTTTACACAAATACCTGCCTTCTCTGCCTTTTCACTGTACAGCCCTCCTCTTTAGCCTTGTTAGCGACCTCCAGGTAAGGCAAATGTTAGCCTAAGTTATCTGAATATGACACTGTGGTGATCATGATGCTATGAAAGAGACAGTCTTAAGTAACAGTTTGCTGCTTGTCCTAGTGAGCAGGGGGAAAGTGGGATAGTTATTTGGTTGGTGTTAAATAATGGTGATCCAGCGTTGAGTGTGTGAGTATGTGTTGTCGAGCAGGAGTCGGGTTTGAAGGTGAACCAGCCGGCGTCATTTGCCGTCAGCCTGAACGGGGCGAAGGGTGTGATCGATGCAAAGGTCCACAGCCCATCTGGAGCCCTAGAGGAATGTTGCGTCACTGAGATTGACCAAGGTAACCACAGGGATGGCATCCAAACTCATCTGAACACCTTCAGGCTGCTCACGCTCACACATTTTGGAAAATCAAATTTTGAGTATTGCGGGAAGACTTTTCCAGGAGCCTTACTTTTCCCCTCCCCTTTGTTTGTATAGACAAGTACGCAGTCCGGTTCATCCCCAGAGAGAACGGTCTCTATCTAATTGATGTGAAGTTTAACGGAAGTCACATCCCTGGTAGTCCGTTTAAGATCAGAGTTGGAGAGACGGGCCAGGCTGGAGACCCTGGGATGGTGTCCGCCTACGGTGCAGGACTTGAGGGAGGCAGCACAGGTAACACACTGCCCCTCTACGCAACAGAACAAAATTTAAGAGGAGTGGAATTTAGTTTCAGCTCAACAGTCTTTCCCTGTCCTACTAAACATCTGTCTTGTTTACCTCCAGGAACTGCATGTGAATTTGTTGTGAACACAAGCAAAGCAGGCCCCGGCGCTTTGGCTGTGACCATCGACGGGCCCTCCAAGGTGAAGATGGACTGTGTGGAGTGCCCCGAGGGCTATAGGGTCACGTACACCCCAATGGCTCCTGGCAACTATCTCATCTCCATCAAATACGGCGGCCCTTATCACATCGTCGGAAGCCCCTTCAAGGCCAAAATCACTGGTGAGGAAGGTCTTTGTTTTTCATGCAATGCATGATTTTACTGAAAATGCAAAAGAACGATTAAAAACTGAATGTAAATACCGCCAAGATTAATTCACACTCTCTTCCCCATTTTCCAGGTTCCAAACTCGTGTCCAGCCACAGTATGCACGAAACCTCCTCTGTTATGGTTGACCCTGTGACCCGCGCCATCAGCTGTTCTCAGCAGGCTGTTCCCACCCAGTCAGACGCCAGCAAGGTCGTGGCCAAGGGCCTGGGCCTGACCAAGGGCTTCATCGGTCAGAAAAACAGCTTCACTGTTGACTGTAGCAAAGCAGGTATGTGTGATTCAGATATTAATATATTTGTTGTTTTTTTCAAGAAAAGTGTCTTTAAATGTGTGGAACAATTTTTGTGTCGCAATCCTGATCACACAATGGGACATTTAGAGCACAGGAAAATTATATATATAATATTTTTTAACATACTTGACTTCTAGAGAAGTTATAGTCACTCTCACTCTGTTTTACTCCAATGCCATATGTGCTCTGAAGTTTGCCCGCATGCTCCCTGAACAAACCAGCGTTTCAAACAACACAATTTCGCAGCACAATAAATTCAATCTGTGCCAATTTTTCTGAACTTTAAACCACCAATAGATTATCAGCAATAGCAAACGTGCATACAATTTTGTGTGCTTTGCTTTATTTGTCTTTGCATGATAATTTCTCTACAAAACATAATTCATGGGCTTGCAAAAAAAAATTATTCTGTAATCGCAATGTCGCGTCACAATATAATTCCATGTAAGCACAAAGTAGTAAATCCTCCCAGACTTCACACTCATCTGTCTCTGTCCGCAGGTCGTAACATGCTCCTGGTTGGCGTGGATGGTCCCAAGGTCCCCTGTGAGGAGATCCTAGTGAAACATTTGGGCAACCGCATGTACAACGTCAGCTACCAGCTCAAAGAGAAGGGAGAGTACATCCTGGTGGTCAAGTGGGGCGACGAACACATCCCCGGCAGCCCATACCACATCACTGTCTAAAAGCCCAGCTCCACAATCAGAAACTTAAACCACTGTTTTGAAACAACGGAAATTCTAACCGATCATTGTTTACAGCTCAAAGTCCCTCCCATGTTACAAGTTAAGATTTCTGGCTTTATTTGCATCTTATTGTATAACTATTTAACCAACTAGAAAACAGTGTTTACTCTTAGCCGCATTCTCCGTTTTTCCACAAGTGAATATTTTCATACCAACATCTTCACTGTAACCCAGTCCAGAATCTCTCAAAGATCAATGCATAGACAGAAAATTCCTCTCTTTGCGGTTCAATCGCTCCATTTCTTGTTTCATTCTTCCGCTACAATCGCATCATTCAGTAAATCTAGGGAGGAGAAAGATGCACCTTTTTTATTACTGTAAGCCAGCAGTCTGTTGTGCCTTAGGCTTTTTACATTTCAGGACACAAGTGGACATTAGTAGATTTGTCTGAACTGGTGTAGAGTGATAGGCTAGCATGGCGTAGTGTAGCAGCAGTAGAGTTTGGCGCCGCTGAGCCCAGCATCGGATGCAAGGTTGCTGTTTACACTGGAGGAGCTGCTCTTACATAATGGATTCAGTTTTATATGAGCTTTTATATGAGCAATCACAGGATGTGTCAGAGGTCATAAGCCTTCTTGACCTTTGGGTTTAATATGTAAGAATGTGTAAAAGACCTTTAATTGTCCATATAAAAGTCAGATGAACGGCTCGTCTGTTACTTACAACAACAAATGCTCAGCACCGGCCCAGCTTGCCCCAGCATGTGGTGTTCGTGATGCTCTTTAACTAACCCAGTCGTTTAACCTGCTGCTAGTGTGATCCAGTTTTAGGCACTGCTGTTCTTAAAGCCATTATATGGATTAGAGTAGGGAAATAACAAAAGATTAAAAGATAGGACGACATATGTGAACAGGGAGGAGAAGGACACATTTCACAGTAACTTACTCCTGGTTTGTCTCGCACGTGCTCTCTAGACACCGCTACTGGGAAAACAACGCGTTTTGTGTGTTTTAATGTGTGATACCAACATGTGCTCTGCATGTTCATTAGGTTGTGAAACTCTAAGGATACAGAAAAGCCTCTGATTCAGATTAACATCGACATGACATGTGGTGGCGTTCGTGGTGGTTCACCTTTTTGAGTATGGAACTTTTTCATATAAATTAAAAGGTTTTAAAAGGGAAGTTTCTACAGTTGTGCTGGATGGAAGAGCTGATGATGATGATAATGATGTTGTGGTTTGTCACGTCCTGAAAACACGATGACCAAAAACAAAAGAGAACAGATGTTGCTTTGTTTTCTGATCAGTGTTTGTATCTCACCCACCCCCTCCCTTTATCCTTCCAGCTCGCTTTGTGCGTAATCTATCTTTCAGAACAAAAAAAAAAGATTCTTGTCCTAAATAAAAAAGGCTTTAAAAGTGTTTGTAAGACAGTATTTTGATACACAATAAAGTTGTCTAAGTATTTTTCCTGTCAATCTTTTTTTGTCTTTTTAACTTGTCTGCTTCTCATTGAATGAACGGATGAATTAAGATACTAAATGGTGACAAATACAAAAAGGATGAAACCTAAATTGAATCAAAATCCATTGATAGTCTTAACAGAGACTCAGTGTGCCTGCGTCGCTCTGTATGGGTGGAATTAATGATACCTTTATATCTGCAAAAGTTTCCACTGAGTGGAAAATGTGTACATTACTGGAGTCTGCAGCCAACGCCCTTCCTAGAAAACTCCAACTCCTTATTAGGTCTGATTCACTTTCTACCTCCAGAGGCCGCTGCAAGAGAGGGAATCTTACTGAAAGTCTTGCGTAATAACTTCAAAACATTGCTTATGCAGAGCTCTCAAAAACAGGCCTACCTCTTACTATGAAGCCATCTGGTTAGATTATATAATTGAGACCAACGTGACGTAGAGAGCCTTGTCCTAAGTCAAAGTGCTTCACCATTAGGAAGAAGCCATTTGTAGAAACAAGTACATTTTAAGAAGAGGAATATTAATTTCAGATTTCAAGTAAGAGGGCCCAGATCTTTACCGTTCATTGTATAGTTATAAAAGCAGACTAGTGTTACTTTTACAACTTTATGTAGTTTGTACATACTCATATTCATGCAAAACAAGCAATGATAGCACAGGGAAAACAACAGGAGAATATTGATATACAAGTCAAAAACAGACTTGAATGGCATTGTAGATGTAGATGATGGCTTTTTTGTTCATGCAGACAGTGCTTCAAAGTAAGTTCTCAAACTCATTTTTGAACTGGTGCTTTTTATTTAAAAAAAAAAAGTTTTACATAAATAGGTTTCATAAAGGGAAATAAAAATGTAATTATTTCTATGACCGTAAACAAAAAAATAATGTCTATTTCTTTAGAAATGCGTTTGTTGGATAAATTAAATCCATAATGTGAAAATATACATTTCTATCTTTGTTGGTGACAAAATATAAAATATTTGTTCTTAAAGTCATTTTCATTGTAGGGTGGAGCCTACACTGAGGATTAGCAGGGCTGTGAAACACAAGTCTGATGCATTTCTTTTAGCACTTTTTAAAATAACATATTTATACCATTTAACATAACATCTGTCTTAACTGTATCAGATGAGTTGCTGTCCTTATCACAGTAGAAGCAGCACTAATAACCAAGGGCATCACTTTGTGTTGAAAGGTGGTGGGGGCATAGGTGTTCAGATTAGGGGTGTGATTTATATAAGAAGCTTGTTTTTTAGTTCAACTTACATTTATTGGACAATGCATTGCATGTATTCTTATTGTGCAAATAAACCTTTCTCAAAGCTTTTAAATTTGTTCTTTAACATTTCTTGGTGCAAGCTATTTTTCAGGACATTTTTAACAAATGCTTTCAAAAAGTGATGACACTTTCATCTAAAGCGCCTTACAATTGCTAAGTATGTCAGAGGTCACACGCCTCTGAAGCAACTAGGGGTTAAGTGTCTTGCTCAGCTACACAGTGGGTCTCTCACACCAAAGGCATGTGTCTTATCCACTGTACCATCACCTCCCCAGTGTCGCTTTTTCTTGACGGCAGCCTACTACATGAAACTCTTATATAATACTATTATGTAGATATTGGAATACCAATTTATCGCACATAGCTATTGTACCAAATTGCGTAGGCTTGTAGTAAATTTCTTGTAAGTGTGCCAAGTCCCGCCGTCCAAATATGCCAGAGGCTACACCCACTTTTCTGCTACAGTCTGGATCTCCTCCTGCCTTTAGCCGCTTTTTCATTTTCATTCTCAACCGCTAAGTCGTTTGTCTTTTTCAAAGGTAAGTGACATAATTTCGTTTGAACTTTTAAAGCCACCAAATCCACCATTTCCTTTTTTTTAATCGCTGGCGTTTACTTCATTGCTCGCGCGAGATTAAAAAAAGCCGCGAAGTCTGTTTTACTTTGTTGCTCTGCTCTGTCCTGCGAGGTTTTAACCATGATGCATAATTCAAGTGTTGTAACGTGAAACAAAATGAGGTTTAATTATTTGCATTGACATTCAAACGTTGCCTTTACTGTCTACCGGACACCGAAGTTTCCTGCTGGCCTGTAGCTGGTGGGCAGCATATATCCTTCATTTTTCTCTGTCTCCATGCTGATACCTTCGATCCTTCCCTTTTCTAACTATCTATCTATCTATCTGCAGATGTCTTTGAGTGAGAAAAGTAATGCGGAGCTCGGGAAGTTGCTCACTGAGTATGGCATCAAACATGGACCCATAGTCGGTAAGACAAATGCACACATGATATTTCATTAATGACGTCATTACCGGACTCATAACTTCAACCACTCCATCATGTCTGAAAAGTTGTGGGTTTAAAATTGAGAAATGTAATCCTAAATATAAAATAATTGTAATAGAAAGCAAGAAAAGTAAAATAATATAAATATGAATGTACCATTTAGCCCATGCTGTGTGAAATGAGGTCTGTTATTGTGCTTGTGTGAATGCAGAGTCTACTCGAAGGCTGTATGAGAAGAAGCTTGAAAAGGCCATGGAGAAGGCTGTAGTGAAGCCCTCGCCTGATAAGACCTACTACAGAGAGGAAGGTAGGATGCTCCCCAGACAGCAGGTGGCAGAGGCTGTGCGCCACTCAGCTGATTGTTTATGTTTGGGTCTATAAATGTCCCTACACAGTTGGCAAAGATATCAAATTTGACATTATTACTGGAGTTTGAATGCAAGGGATACCCATGCCTTTACTTGAATGTATCGCTGATCAGCTTTTGCTTTACATCTTTTGTAGGGCTGAAGCTAATTAGTATTTTCATTATCGATTCATGTCTTGATAATTTCACAGATAAAAGCCCCAGGTGATGTCTTGAAATAGATTGTTTTGTCCAGCCAACAAACCAAAAACCAAAAGATAATATTTTACTATCAGGTCAGAGCAGCTTCCCTACTCAATTCATCCACAGCACTCCACAATGTAACATGGTTTTTGTGAGTAGCATAAAGGGAACGACAACTGAATCTCACAACCCTGTGTTGTAAACTCATAAATCTACCTTGTACCTTTTACATAAGATTAACACTATAGTAGGATGAAATCCTCTCAACGGAGTATTTGGCTTTATTGCTTGAAAAATGTACTTGAAGAATAAATAGATTTATCAAAATAGTTCAGTTCAATTCAAAACACTTATATGAGGCAAGCGAGTTTGCAAACAACAAATACACAAACAACTCCTTCACACATGCCAAAACAATCAAAAAAAGTGATAATGAAAGGAAAGAAAAAGACACAGGTTGTTGGCAGTGGCTTCGTTACACAGAGGCAAAGACTAGGATCACATATTTCCTAGGGTTTGAACCAGGTGATTTTGCGCCCAATAATAATGAAGGTATGATTAACTTGCTGCTTCTTGCAAAGAGTGCATACACCCCTGTCTGTGAGTAAATGAAGATATCCAGTAATCTGCACAAAATAATGGTGTCTTTGATATGATTCCTGAATATACTCATCTTCCTTACTGTGTCGGACATATTTTTTATTGCTAGCCATCTGCAGTTCATTCTCTGTGAACATAGAATATGATTTCTATGATCATCACCTTATCACATTCTTAAAAACGAATACACAGTATAATCAACGTGTTTGTGTGAATGAGGTCCAAAGTGAGGTAATGTGTTGTTTTTCGTCTTACAGTGGAAGAAATTACCTACATCACATACCAGAGTCCGGTGAGTCCTGAAAGTCAGCTTGTCCCTGTGTTTGAGCCAAATTCCTCTGCTCTACTCTGGAACTGTTATGGAATTATGCCACATACCACCCTGCTTTCATTTTTGACAGGTTAGACGTGAGGTTCATTGGGGCATGTGAGTACAGTTTTAACACACACACACACACACACACACACACACACACACACACACACACACAGTGTCATCAGCTTACTTAAGTAAAAGTGCAAAAGTACAGTCAGAAAGAGTAGAGGAATATTTCCGCCTGTTCTTAATTTATATCAACATATTTTTAAGAATGGGTGTCTGTATTTTGAGATAAGAGTAATAAGGCCAGGCAGGTTGCTATACATCAAGAATAAGGGGGGATATTTACTAAGCATTTGTAGCCCCTTTTTCTAGGCGTTAAACTGTGAAATTGCATTTGTCCTTATTTACGACGGAACCACACACAAGTTCTACACCAATGAAATGGAAGGAAAGCACTACAGCTTAACATTTAAAGTTTGGTCTCATGCAATATGTATTTTTAAAGCGTTTGTGTTAAGAGGTGCAAAATATGGGAGGAAATGGAAATCCAAATACCTGCTGCACCTGATTTATCACAGCAGATTGACCAGAGAAACCTGTGTTGAAATTTAATGTCTGGGAGCAACCAGTGTTAAATGTGCAGCACTGTTTTATCAGACCCACTCTGAGGGAGAGAGACCATAGCAGAGAGAGAGACGTGCATTAAAAGATGCACTTGCAAATGTTCACTTCCTGCAAGATGACTAATAACTATGCATAAGTGTCAGATAAATGTAGTGGATGAAAAAGTGCCAGGTAATTTGTGTAAATATCTTTATAGACATTGTTAGATTGAAATTGAAGTGTAAAGTGTTCCTCCATCCAGGGTGAAGCAAAGAGGCAGCGCTGGGACAAATGAAGACGAATCAGAACGAGTTGTGGAGTAAGTCTTGCAGAATAAATTAGCAGTGTTTGAGCAAATGAGTTCATCACCTGGGGCCTCATGTATAAACGCGGCCTACACACAAAAAGGTTACGAACGCTGATTTTCACGCACACGTGGGATGTGTAAAGAAAGTGCCAAAACTCACCAAATGTTTCAAAATAGCATTTCCACTCCAGTTACTGTGCAGTAGTCAATCAAAAACCTAATTATGTCCGTGAATACACAGTAAAAGTTTGATCATGTATGTAGTGTTGTAATAAAATTGAATGCGAGAGGAATAGATCATGATGGCGCTGACATATTTAATTTCACTTCATATCACACATTATCACTTTATCATATAAACATTCAAACCAGCAGTGTTATTTGTGCTTGTGCTAGTGAGCCATAACAATTCCATACCGCACCTTTCAATTGTAAAATAAATAGAATAAGCCAAATTAGTGCCAAATCTGAAATCAATGTCCACTAAATATGTCATCAGCATCAACTCGAGTGGAAGTAGGCTATACCCACTGTTTCTGGCAGTCGGCTGTTAGCAGAAGGAGCCGACAGGTGTCTGATGGGATCAACAATAGCCTATATAGTGTCTAACTACAGTCTTTGTTTAGAATGATATAATTCTATAAAACTCTCTCTCACTCTTCAGTTTGTGAACAAGCTGCATCAAACAATATGTAGGCAGCTTTCTAACTTCCACCTCACAAGCACATCGATTTCTGTATTAGAAAAACAATTTTCCCGTTTTTTTGACATCCACTTTATGTCAGACCTGTTTTCTTTATTGCATTTCTGTGCGTACTACTTTTCAAATTCTGTGAGTACTCCATCTTTCAGTATGAAAGCTGCGCAGTCTTTTATACATGAGGCCCCTGGTCTAAATCACCTCTCACCTGCTCTGCTTCAGGACTCCTATCCAGAGCACTAACAACACAGCCAATCACAGCACAGTACAATCCAAGGAGCCAGTCAGAAAGTCTGGAGGCCGTGTGTGGAGGGTGATTTGGCTGCTGCTGCTTTTAGCTGTGTTAGCAGCTGTCTTCTACTACTACGCCTACTGCCAAGTGATAAACCAAGAAGAAACTGGAGAAAATGCAGAAAATCCTTCTGGGATTGAATGATCTGATTGGTTGTGGTGTTAAAGGCGTTTAATGACATTAGCGGTCACAGTTTGATCACATTCTATACAGGCGGAAAGGCTGGCAATACTTTATATTTCTTAGCGTCACCAAATCCCATCAAATGACCAAAAACAAGACAAAAAGCTCCAAATGTGGATTCATCCGCCAACGAAAATAGTCCCCAACAAAAATGCACTATTTCCTCCTGTTTGAGTAAAAACTATATATATTTGAGCCATTAAAGATTTCTGCCTTCAGTAGGGACCAGTGGGCTTCAGACAGAGAGTATTGAGACACAGACATGAACACATGCTCAGTCTGGTCTTGGTTTTGGTCTTTTCATGGGACTTGTCGACAACAAAGAATAATGCTCACCCTCTCCTTTTTAATGTCTTTGCTTTCTAGCATAAATGTTGCACTATGTTTTTTAGCTATGCAGAGTTTTGTTTATTTGATTTCCTTTATGTTCTTTAACATACTGTATGTGATTTTTTCTTATATATGAATCATACATGATTTCATGTAGCACAGACTAGTGAACTGAGACGGAGTCTTTCATATTTCCAAGATACCCTCCACATCATGTCCAATCTAAAATCAAAGGCTGTTTTTTCATACTGTATGTGTTTAAATAAAATCAAGTCTCCAGCTCCCAAGATATTGCAATGAACTTTCTGTAAAACGTGACATTTGAGCAGAGGGAATTCCTAAAGGATGTAAAAATGTTAATGAGGTAAAAGAAAAAGTTAAAAATGAACAGAATAAGAAACATGTTTCCAAACATACAATACTGTCTCTTTCATACTCTCTTCTTACATTAGTCAGTCATTCTTTCATTTAGTTATGAAACTGTAAACAAGCTTAATTTCACCAAGCTAACAATTAAAACCATAAATAAACACTTATATTTACAAGATAGAAGCTTTAAATAGGTTGGCAAAACAAAAGCTCCTGAGTTGAAGTTGTGGTCGGAGGTCACTGAGGATGGGGTTTCACATGGTGATCCTCAGGTTATCTGGGTTTCAGCCTCGATCCACAAAAGCTTCTTGTCACTGATGTGATGGTAGATCCAGTCAGAAATGAAAGGTTCCAGCCGGTGAATTTTTGCCCAAGCAAGTCATAATTTGAACAGGGAGCTGATACAGAAGGTACAAAAAGTGCTGCTATCCCAACACAAACCTTGAGATGTCAAGCCTTTGAGAACAGGTGAATAAGATAATGTCTCCTTTCTGTCCAAAGACTGGTCTAAATGCAATCAGTGAATGTCAGTCATGTTAAAATCGGTGGGCGGAAGGGAAAACTGAGTCTCTGGTATCAACATCTCAGGGGACCTGGCAAGAAAAACAAGAACAAGGTCTCTGGAGTTTACAACAGTCAGACAGCCTACAGTATTTGTGTGTCCTGTAACAGCCTACCTGACAGCAAGTCCCTCAAATCCAAGCGCTGTAGTGAAGATGTTGATGATGACAGTGAAGAAGACTAAGACCGTCACTATGTTGTTCATCATGTTCAACTTGCTTTGTTTCCTGATGTTGTTAAGATCATACTTCACTGCTGGCACAGAATTGCAGCAAAAGCAAAAGCTGATGAGCAAGAGACATAAAGAGGGGGAGGAACAAATAATGGGATCTTTGAACCAGAGACATATTTGTAAATATTCAATTACATCTTTTCATGTGACAACATGAAGAAATGACACTTTGCTACAATGTAAAGTAGTGAGTGTACAGCTTTTATAACAGTGTAAATTTTCTGTCCCCTCAAAATAACACATCACACAGCCATTAATTGTCACAAAAGTGAGTCATTTTCACTTAGGGGTGTACTCACTTTTGTTGCCAACGGTTTAGACATTAGAGGTTATTTTGAGGGGACAGCAAATTTCCACTGTTATACAGGCTGTACACTCACTACATAATAGCAAAGTTTCATTTCTTCAATGATGTCACATGAAAAGATATAATCAACTATTTACAAAAATGTGAGGGGTGAACTCACTTTTGTGAGATACTGTATATAGAGTTTGAACTTACAACTAAATGTAGCGCAAGAACAAAATTGGCAATGTGTGAGATACAGGTAGACTAAACTGTATTAAAGCGTTAAAGGAACAGTTTTTCATTTTGGGAAATACTCATTCACGTCAGATGAGAAGACTGATCACACTCTTATGTAAATATGGAGTTAGCAGCCTGTTAGCTTAACTTAGTATAAACGGGGAACAGCTACCCTGGCTCTTTCACAATCCATCAACAAATGCTTCTAAAACTCACGAACATGTTATATCTCTTTTGTTTTCACTTGCACAGAAGTGTAAAATCAAGAAGTCATTGTTTTATAGGGTGTGGTAACTTCCAGGAGAAATAATTTGTTAGTTAGTGTTTAGAGGTGCTGGCAGGCTGGTTACCTTTGGACAGAGCCAGGCTAGCTGTCTCCCTTTGTTTCCAGTCTCCTGGCTCAGGAGATAGAGTGGGTCGTCCACTAATCAAAGGTCGGTGGTTCGAACCCTGGTTCATGTCAAAGTGTCTTTGAGCAAGAAGTCACTGAACCCCAGATTGCTCTTCAAACTTATTTGTATGCCTTCTTTGATTGTTTGCACCTTCTAGACTTAAAGTTTCTATGATCAAAAGTATACAAGTGAAAGAAAGATGCAGAAGGAGGAACATTAAAAACGGGTCTGAGTCACTTGCCAATAAAGATGAGCAGCAGGCCCACCATGACCTGTAACATGATGGACATAGACAGCAGGACAATAAGGGGGTAGTAGAACTGGTAATGAGGCCCCACAAAGATAACGGCCTTCAGCTGGGACGAGTTGGCCATGAGCAAGGCAACGTCCAGCATGCTCTGAGCCACAGTCTTCTTGGTGGCATAGTGATTCACGTTGAGGCGGCGACAACTTTTTCCAGAGGGGGCAGTCGGTGCCTGCGAGTGAACAGAGGATAGGTTATGTCTGAGAAAAAGTGAAGTTCCAGGTCTTTCAAAGTCAAACAGATGCCGTATTACATCTGCTATTTCATACACTTTCGACAGTAACAGATAACAGGATGTTGTTATTGTTTTGTTCTCGTTCACAGGTCTTATTGTTCTCATGTGCAAGCCCATGCCTCAATGTGGTTTATTCCAAACACAGAGAGGTGTTTGTGTGTTTTGTTACTTTGTACCCTGTTTACTCAGGTGTGGCTTCAAGCGGACTTGTGGGAGTGGCAAAGAGGCTTCAAGACACAACATGTTGATGGGCGGTCTCTTTCTACAACCCTAGAAATCTGGCAGCTTGAACTGATTCATGCACGTGCAGCAAGTGAACTGAACTGACTGTACTTAGGACAGGTAAACTGTTGTTCTGGGTCACAAAATCATGCTGATCACAGCTACCTTTATCTTACTGTGCACCAGAGAGGAAGTGACCTCTTCGTTTGTTTAAACCATGTCAGTGCCGAATGCTTTTTCTCGGGGCACCGTCCTGTAGCATAGGTAGATAAGATGTCACACCTGGGTGCAACTCTCTCTGAAACACAAAGTGTTCATTCATCTCGACACACAGCAGACAAATATGGAAGGAAACATTGATTTAACATGTGTCACCAATGGCATTCCTGTAAATAGACATTAGAGGAGTGGTTCCCAATCAGGGGGTCAGGACCCCTACAAGAGGTCACTAGTTAAATCTGAGACCTTTGGAGACTTTTCTCTACTTTGGAAATCACTGGATAATTCTAGGTGTACACAAAACAACAGAAAAAAATTTTCTCATTGGTTTAACTGTTCGCCACTGGTAGACATACAGTATGCAACCAATTATGGTGCCTCACTTGTAGACTCCTTTGTTTTTAGAGGTCACAAGCCAAAAAGGTACATTTGGGAACTGCTGCTTTAGCACCACGTGGTTGCTATGGACCATTATACATGTAAGCATATTTTAGAAAGTAGACATTTTACTTTTTAAAATAGTGCGATAACTCTGGGCCAAAGGAAATGTAATTTCCACCAGCTTTAAAGGTATCTGATGTTTACGTTCACATACAAGACTTGCAATAGACAACACTTGGGATACTTGGATGAACTACAATGAAAGTAAGCACCTGTGCTTTCAGCAATGTCTGAAACCATCTGCTGTTTATTATTCCTCTGATACTATCTTACTGCCAACAATTTTTAAATTAACTGTTCAACATATGAAATGCATCTATTAGCGGACATAGGTGTGCAGTGTAAAGTTACTAAAGATCAAATTAAGGGAGCTGTGATACTTATCATTTGAATACAAACAGTGCTAAATGTTTTGTGGTTGGTTGGCACTTCTGTTGCAGTGAACTGTTGCAGTAGAAAAGGCACAGTGCTTGTCAGTCTGTGTTGCTTACCTCTATGTCATCCAGAGCTGTGTCCTCTCTGTTCCGCCTGTGGTCTGTGTCCATTCTCCTCTCTTTGATAGCTCTGCAGCAGCTATCATGAAACTGTCCTTCTGCTGCTGATGAATATAAAGCACAGATGTAGCCTCACAGCTCACTGTTTAAATAGCCACAGAGATAGTTGAGGAAGTAAACCGGACAAAGTCAGGCAACTTCTTCTGTTACAGGGACATTAAAAAGTCCCCTCCTACTGTGGGTCTCTATTTGTTGTACAACTTCCCACTTTCCCTTCATGTTTATATTTTTTGGGTTTGCATTTCTTCCCCGAGGGATTCATATATTCTCCTCTGTGTGTCCACAGAAACACAATAAGAAAATGTGGTTTGGCATAGTAATTAAATTATTCATTTAATTCATTTATTATATTCATTTAGCAGCACCTATTATTAGTTATGCTATTCATAAGGTAAGATCCACAAACTGCAGAACTCTTCCTGGATTGTTTTGAACATGATGTGATGTTTGGTCTATGCCATGAATAAGTCTAAGCTTCAACATTTGTTTTGTTGTGTTGTTTTTTTATGATTTATATTGTCCAGTAGAGGCCACTGTACTCAAACAAGTTTTACAGATTGTTTTTTTTTTAACCAGTAATAATTTTAAATGCAGGAAAAGAATGATTAAAACGTAAATGTAAAAAATATTTTTTGCAGCAAAATCAGCCTATTATTAACCAAATATTCAACCTTTTGGTCTTGAATTAATATTTTAAAATCAAAGTTACTATTTAGTTTTGTTTTTTGAGCACAATCATGAGTGCAATTTGAACCAAAAAAGTGTCTCCAAAAAAATTAAACAATACTAAACTTCTGAGGAATTAATTAATTACAAACATGGTACAAGGTAGTTTATTTATCATTATACAACACAAGGAAATTAAAATGTGTAGTCCTTTCATGCTACACATACAGATCTTAACAGATGATCAATTAAAATGGTAACATAAAATACAATTAAATAAAACAACAAATCCTGCGGTAAGGCTATGTATATAGATACAGACACGTTAACACCCAGAACATTCTGCAGTGCATTTTTGACTTTGCATAGCAGCAACAAGATGATAATGTGCTTTCATCTTCACATGAAAATGTTAAATACTTAATTTAAGTTAAACACTAATACCTGTAACTAAAGAAGCCAGGAAAACATATCTATAGTAAGCTCTGATGACCTTGTTATTAATCTTCACGTGCTATAACAAGCCAAATGTGTGCCGTGAAAAATATCATAATAAATATTAATTATCAAGAAAAGATAAACAACGGAATTCACTGAAGCTGTAAATATAAATAAATAAAGATTTTTTTTTTTTTAAATTGTTCTAAATTGCTACCGGAAGTTATTGAGTGTTTCCGGGCCGCCCCCGCCGCACAGCTACACAACATGGCGGCTCGCTTCACCCTCGGGTCCACCGTGCTCCGCGGAGCTTTCAGCCTGCACAGCCGGACTGCGGGTCTCTCTGCCGCCGGGCTCAGGTTTGTTTGTAGCGCTGCTCCAGCAGAAAAAAAGACGATGATATTAGAGTCTACGGAGGAATATAAGTTCGTAGAGCGGCTCATCCCACCGTCACGGGTCCCCGCTCCGCCTAAACACGCCGGGCCCACTCCGTCTGGCTGGACCCCTCCGGCAGATTCACCGCCGCCTCTGCCGTACATGATCCGCCGCTCCCGCATGCACAACATCCCCGTTTACACCGACCAAACATGCGGCAGCCGCAGGACGACGCTAATACGGAAAGTGGAGGGGGACATTTGGGCTCTGGAGAAGGACGTGAAGCAGTACCTGCAGGAGGTGACGGGGAGAGAGCTGCCCACACAGGTCAACGAGGTCACCATGACCCTGAAGGTCAAAGGTCACTTCGATAAGGAGCTGAAGGAATGGCTGACAAACAAAGGCTTCTGACTGAAGAGGTGGCGCTGAGCCTCCGGGACTGTTCCAACATCCTGCTCAGGGGGCAGAGGCCGGCCTGTGGAGATGGAGAGGACCACTCTGCTGGCAAACATCGTCCTACAGGATATTAAAAACTTTCAGTCCAAATGGAGGGACAGCTTTTGACCACTGCCGCTGTATTGAACTCTTTGGCACCAGAGAGATGTGAAGTAGTGGGATGAGCGGGTCTTAAACAGTGTACATACTTGTATGTAATGAATCTAACATTAAATATAAAAGCATAGCCCCACTGCCTGATGTGTGTTATAACTGCACTGAACCAGTCAAACATGATGTGTTATATACGCAAGACACCGGCTTTTTTCCGAAGCTGTTTAGATTGTCAAACAGTCCTTTTTCTCTCCATCCGATATCGTTTTGGCTCTTCTGTGAAACCAAATGTGACCGAATTAAAGTGCTTGTTTTATCAACCCAAAACATTTGACCATTTTAGAACATTTAGCTTTTTTTGGGGGGGGGGGGATAAACTAAAACAATGGATAACTTATTGAAAGAGTTTTCTGCCTATCAAGTAATCTTTGCAGCCCAAAATCACAAAATCAAAGAGTAAACAAAAGGAACAATAAACTACTGATTACTAAAATGAGACCTGACAGAAGAAAACCCATTTCGATAACAATTACAGTTTAAAACATATTTATTCAGTAATGAAATAGGCACATTTATATTGAGTGCTTCAAAAGGACAAAACAAGTGAAGGTGAGAAACAAAAAAGGACTTGAATTCTGACAAGACTGTTCCTATTGTCCCTTCTCACTACTGTAACGCATTTCAGTGTTCATTGTTTGCAGTATTATGATTGACAACACAGAGCCTGTCCAACACCGCAGTCGTGTTAGAATAATGAGCAGGGTGTGCATGACTCCATCAAACAGTGTTAGTTTACTCTAACACAAAAAGACGGGTGCAGTTCTGCTGAAACGTCTTTCAGTCACAATCCTGTTTGACGTTTACAGTTTTAACACAACCACAGATTAGACTGTTGTCCCGGTACTACTGCATTATTTTGAGTGCGGTGCTCACTTCAGCACACTGGTGTTTTGAAGTGTTTTGGCTGGTGTCTGCACTACATGAGGTAAGAGATGCCATCAGAAGCATTTTTCTAGTAAGTTCCTCCAATTGGTCCGCTGAGAAAACAAACAAACAGAGGAAACAAATATTTAACAACGTGCAACAAACTGACGTGTGCGTGCGAAAGCGAATATTCACTTACGTAACGTGCGCTTCTCTCCTCTGCTCCAGTAGCAGGGCTGTGTTTGTATTTGGTTTACATCCTCAGTCATGGACACTGAAGCTTCTGAAACTTCTTTAAGCATTTCTAACTCCTGAGAAACAAAACACAGGCAGGAGGACAAAGTGTCAGTATGACGTCGCCCTACAGGTCAGGCTTGAGTTGAGACAGAGTTGTACGTCGGTAGTACCGTGATGCAGGCCAGCAGCAGTTGGTGAACTCTCTGGAAGACTTCGGTCTCTGTGCTGAAGCTGGGGGGATCTCTGCTGCAATAAGCTCTCAAGTCTGTTTCGTAAACGTGGCTGAAAGTAGCCATCAACTGCTGGAGGTCACGTGCCGCCACACGCAATGAGCTCGGAGAGAAGACGCCAGGACTCTGCGCCTCATTGTTCAGGAATTCACACTGAGGACAACAGAGAGTGGACCACAGCAAACGAACAGCACTCATTACTACCAGGGCCTTCAAGCATGTGTGGCCATATCTATGGGGTCTTGTGCATTATAATAGTTACTGTTCCAAAGAACGTTAAGAAAATTGCTTTTCAGTTTGTATTCATTTAGCACGGTCAGCCGGTTCCAAATGAAGGCTCCTTTAATACCGCAGCAACACTGTACCTCTGACTGTAGCTGCTCCAGTGCTGACTGAGTTTGCTGCAGCAGGGCGGCAACATCAGCATCCTCTTCTCTGCTTGGCTTATTGGATGACTTGGTGCCCTTGCATAGAGCCCTGTGAGGTAAGGAAAAGCGGTAAGAGAGGTTGCTGAGGAGACAAACATACAAATATAAAAAGACACCGGTGTACAACAAGAAAAAGTACATTCAAAAGCACGACACAGCAGATGACAAACAGAGCGAAGGGATATAATGTTTAACAGGATAATCAAAAACAGCATACACACTTGATGTGTGAAGGCCAGGGATCGAATGTGGGTGTGAGCATTTGTATGAGGTGTGGCAGGTTCTCAGCAGCGTAGAGCTCGTTCAGCAGCATCGCTGCATCCACTGTGTGGCCAGCAGACTTCTTGCAACCGGGGACTAGAGCCAAGAGCTGCTCCAGGAACTGAAGCTGCCTGGGAGGACTCGCATCGCCCTGGTGGGTTTGAAATTTTCTGTTTATTGTCACATACATATAATCACATCTACACTACTTTAACGCAACCTCTCTCACCCTGATCAGGTCCAGGTCATCTGCTTTGCACAACATCAGGTCATGCCCAAGCACAGCCATCTCTGTTTGTACAAAAACACCCAACAGAAGTTATAAGACGACGGAGCCACGAATATCAGCGACTGTGCATGCGCACGCTCACCGAGACCATTTTACTCTCTTCCATAAGGTGTTTATCACAAGACTATTAGAGACTGTTAACTGGTAACCAAACAGCGCTACCTTTAGTCAGAACATCTGGATCTTTGGATCTCATCGACATCGCCTTGGAACTGGCAAAGTTTGGGTTGATGCTGTAAAGTGACAGGTGAAGATGGGCCAGAGGGATTCATTTATATTTAAATACAAATTGTTTTTGATGGGTGAGAACAGGGGCAGTGTTCTGTGGAGCTTACCGTACCTGCAGAAGATCCATGCCAGTATGTCAGTGCGGTGCTGCGAGGGAGCACACAGCAGCTGCAGCATACTCTCCGCTTCCTGCAGGTACAGACTTTCTACCAAGGGACAAGACGCAGCCTCAACAAAGAAAACACAGGATGGATCAATGTTAAAAATAATTTTTATTCACAAACTTACCAAAAATATATAGCAACAAACTGTAAAATGCTCAGGCCTTATCCTACTCAATTAATATATTAAGAGTCTTTAGGGTCTTGGTTTAGGTAACTTAGTGCTGAATGTTTTTGTACTGATGCATTAGGGTTAGGGTTACTTATGCATTACAGTTTTGAAACATTAAACATTTTCTCTTCTCAGTACAAAATGTTCTGAAATGAAACAAAAATATTTACAGTGCAATATTGTCTTTGCTTTGAATTGTAGACATACACCCGAAACAGCATCTCTCTATAACGTTACAGTAATGAAACATCTCCAACTCCAAAACAAGTGTGAAAATGAGCAATAAATATGTAACGTTATAAAACAGAAGAATAAAAACAGAAATAAAATATCATGTCCTGTCATCGTCTGTGGAAATGTGTGATCACTCCGGATAGAAGACACTAGAAACACCTACATACAACCTGCTGATGGATAACAGGTTGAAAACACCGCGATTTCTCCCCTCAGGCTAAGTTAAGTTAGTAACTTACGTTAACTACGTTAAATGTGAATCACGGAGAAACGTGCAAAGTGCTAAATTAACTTGTGGATATCAGACCTAAAACATAACAGTACTTCCGATAAGCGGACACTGAATATACAAATTTAAAGTTACTTAAAATGATTTTCCTGTTACTTTGACTTCTTTTACCTGCAGTGCGTCATAGACGTTTCGTTCAAGTCGTTTTTCTCTCGAGACACCCGCCATTTTCCAAACGTTCTTCTTCTTCGTGGGTTTTGCCGGCGGTTGTCGACCAGTGTATCAGGTTCAATAGCGCCACCTTCTTCTTCTTCTTCTTCTTCTTCTTCTTCTTCTTCTTCTTCTTCTTTGGTAATGGCAGATTGCATACCGCCACCTACTGTACTGGATTGTGTAACATCATATCACTCAACTAATGTGCTCTCACATTCTGTTCACCAACCCAGTGTCTTTAAGAAATTTAAATAATGCCTTCCTGGTGATTCTTATACCCTTTTCTTCTCCTTCTGTTCCCAATACCTCCATCAGATTCCATTCCCTCCCTGCTTCCTGAACCCTATCTTGAAATATCTGTCTTTCCAACTCAAACAATATGCAGTGCAAAATGACATGGTCAACATTTTCTTTAACCCCACAGTTTTCACATTTTTCAGTATTCCTTTTCCCCAGTAAAAACAAGGTGCCATTCAGTCCTGTGTGATCTACTCTCAGTCTTGTCATTATAATTTCCTCCCGCCTGCTCCTTCCGCTATAATTTTTATTACTGACAGACTTTTGTGTTTTATAGTAACCCCTTCCTTTCCTGTCTTCCTCCCACCATTTCTGCCATATTTCAATACCTTTCTTCTTAATGGCTGCTTTTCCTTCTCCTTTTCCTAGCGGTATTTGAACTGTTCCTTTTGTAATGCCTCTTTTGCTAATTTGTCTGCAATCTCATTTCCATTTACTCACTCTTGAGCTTGCACCCAACAAAACTGAACATCTATCCCTCCCCGATGTAATCTTAAGAAGCTGTGAAACATTTCTATCAGTAGGTCTTCTCTGCCAGATGTCATTGACTGAATGCTTTTAATAACTGCTAAGGAGTCTGTGCATAATATCACCCTATCAGGTCTGACCTCTTCAACCCACTGTAACGCTATGATGACTGCCACTATTTCTGCTCTATATACAGATAGCCTATCTGATAATCGTTTTGAGATATTTATTTTGAATTCTGGTATAAACACTCAGAAATAGAAGTACGGGTGTGTACTTAAAAGGTGTACTTAAAAACAAACAGGAATGTGTGGGAATTGGAATACATATATGTATTCCAATTCCCACACATTCCTGTTTGTTTTTAGATCCATCTGTATAGATTTGTAGATAATTATGGAAACTGTTTCTCAGATAGCTGCTTGTCCGTATTCCCACTTCCTCTATTCCCCATCCTCTTTTCTTTTCCAGTATACTAAAATCTGTTTTTACGTCTGGATAGAGGTGGAATGTTACTGACTGGATTGGGTGTGGTGAAATCTAATGCTTCCTTTCCGTATTCCCTGACTCTCTTTTCCAACAATCCTTTGTTATCTCCTTTGCAGGGTTTTCTTTCCCACTTCCTTTCAATCTGACCCAATATGTTAGCACTAGTTTCTCTCTTCTTAACTCCAATGCATATCCGTAAAGCTCTGTATTGTAATTTATTTATCTTTTCCAATGTTGTTTTTGCTGCTGCATCATAATCTATTGATGACCTCATGCATGCTCTATGTCAATTAGTGACTGTTTATCTGCACCCCAGTCACACCCAGCCACCACTCTCAGTAAATTCATCTTCTGCTTCTTCTTCTTCTTCTTCTTCTGGCTTTCCGGCAGACTAGATGCCTTGCGACATATCTCTGCCTCTCACAGTTCAGTCTCAGTATCGTTTCAAGGCGTCACCAATCCTGTTGCAGATATACAGTAAAGTCCATGACTGCTTCCACTATCCTGGATAGGTTCTCCTGAGGATTCAGAAGGTCTTTCTGTGTCATTGTCTTTATTCCAACTCCTGACAGTGCAGAGTAGCTGTTCTCTTTCCTTTTTGTACTGCTGACATATTGATAGGCACCTAAAGAAATCCCACTGACCCTCCAGCCTGTTCGATTCTATGCAACAGAACCTTCAGCTCTACAAAGTGGTAGTTCTGTTGTAGCCTATACACCTATACCCCCTCAGACAGTCACTTGAGCTTTACAATTTCATATTGTGGGATATAAAAAGCTAAACCCGACTTCCCAGTGAGTGGATCTTGGGATCCATCTGTGTAAATCTGAAGATAAGACCCCCAATGATCTTTTACCATCTCAATTGCTTGTTCATACAAAAATAACACCACATTCAGTTTATTACCAAATATTATATACTTTGCCTTTTCAATATCAAGAAACACCGCCATTAGTATTTCTTTATTCACCATAGCATTCTTAATATCACTATCAATTGAAATCACAGCATCCATAGTACTTCTCCCCCACGGAAGGCACTTTGTACTGGTGTAAACCATCCCTTCTTCTCTAATTTATAAACCAATCTGTCTGTGACCATCCCTTCCATTATTTTACAGAGGACTGATGTCAGTGCAATTGGGCTTGTGTGATCCTGCCTTTGAAGCGTCTTTCCCTGGCTTTAATATTGGGACCACCAGTGCATGCTTCCAGGAGCTAGGCGGGATTCTCTCCTGCCCTATGTAATTTATTAAGGAAAAGATTTCCTCCAAAACTAGATCACTTAAATTCTTAACGATCTCATAGCTAATACCATCCTTTCCTGGAGCTTTTTTCCTCCCTGTTCCAATTGCCCTGCGCAATTCTTCGAACGAGAAAAATAAATTACACACACCAGAATTGTCATAATTTACCTTAGGTTTGTACCTATTTTGCTCTAATATCTCATTTCTTTTCATTATAACTGCTTCACCGATGTTAGCTTTATCCAAATCACTTGCAGCAAACAAGCCCTCCTCCAACTGGCATTTTCCTTCTTCTATTGCTTCCTGACATACGATGTATGTAAAGCCCACCATATATCTGCTACTGCTGTTTCTACCCCTAATTTTCCACAGTATCCTCTCCAGCAGTCTTTTTTTTGCAGTCTCAATCACTCTGCGTGCTTTGGCTCACAGTCTTTTATACTCTACTGCTTTATCTTCTGTTGGATATTTCCTCAATGCTCTATACCCACAATTACTGTCTCTTACTGCTTTATCACAGTCCTTGTTCCACCATGGTACACTCATTTTTCCTTTGGAGTACTTCTTTATCGGGATAGATTCATTTGCACTTCTCATAATCATTTCACATAAACTGCTGTTCCATTCATCTACCGCCCCTTCCCCATTTACTTCCCATAGCTTTAGTACACCCATCAGAAAAAAGTGCCCAATCTGCCTTACTATAATTTTAAAAGAATTTGCTTGCCCTGTTCTTCACTCAACATAGTTTTCCCAAATCTCAATAGTATTAGATAATGATCACTTCCTATTGTATGTCTGTCCAACAAATCCCACTATCCAACGCTTGCTAGTTCACTGGATGCTAACGCTAAGTCTATGCATGAGACATTTCCTGTTCTATTATCGAATCTAGTTGGTCTGCCATCATTTAAACAAACTAATCTCCACCTGTCCATATATTCCTCTATAGTGTTCCCAGAAATATCCTTTATTGTACTACCCCAAAGAGGGTTGTGGGAGTTAAAATCCCCCACCCAAATAACTGGGGTCCCTCTTTGTTCCACAACCCTCTCCAACTCATTTAAATGTATTTGCAAACAAGGATTATAAAAGTTTACTATGTTAATCCACCTGTGTAGTCCCCATACCCTTACTATAACACATTCTAGTTTAGACTTGATCTCTACTTTCTGGTACTGTACATCTGATCTTAGAAATGTTGCACACCCTCCTCCAGATTTTCCGTTTCTATATCTGACACTTTCGTATCCAGGAATCACAAAGTCTAAGCATGGTAAGACAAGTTTCCTGAATAAATATCACCTCTGGCAAATCTTTAAATTCGTCTACAAATCTCTTAAATTCCTGCCCATCTGCCACCAGACTCCGTCCATTTTTCCATTGTAAGATGTACTTCCATTCCCCGGTACACACCTCACTTCTGTCTGTGTTCTTTTGTTTTTTCCCTCCCTCTTTCATATACTTTCCTCCTTGCTCCGTCTCAACTGTGCTCCAGTTCACAACGCTGAAGCTTCGGGGTGTTGAGCAGAGATTAGACCCAAAGTCCCTTAATCCAAAATCAGAAACAGCTTTATTGCCAAGTAGTTTTTAAACATACAAGGAGTTTGTTTTGGTGACTATGTGCGTAACAATAGACATAAACCTATAGAAATATAAAGATGTGAAATAAACAAGTTATAAAGGATTATAGAGACTGTGTGTAATATGGCAGTTATTTACACATGCATTGGATTTGTATGGTGCAAACATTAACAGTGTGTGCTGTAAAATGGGATAGGGGATTGAGGCGGGACCTGAGAGTCAGTGCCAGTGGTTGTCCCGGGCCTTGTTGATGGGGCCAGCTACAGATGGGAAGAAACTATTCTTGTGGTTTTGATGTTTTGGTTTGATGGACGGCAGGCTCCTGCCGGAGGCGTGTGTCAAAACAGTTTGTGTCCCGGGTGGGATGGGTCGGCCACAATATTTCCTACACGCCTCATTGCTCACATAACCCAATTTGACCCAACTCTTTAGTGCATCATTTAAATTGGAACTTGATCTGCTCAATGGAACTTTAACACTAAATCTCTAAGTAGAGTCTTGTTTTTGTCAAACTGTCCTCCTCCCCACTTCCCTTCAGACCTATGTACTGTACATGTGCAGGAACCCACATAAAGAGAATTGGCATACCATCATGTGCTGCCAGCATCTCCACATTATAGAGTAAGAGATTGATTGAGAGTTTGCTCTTTGTCTTCTGCCTCAGTCCTGTGTCTGATAAGTGAAGTCACGCTTCAAACCCGAATTTCCACAACTGATTGTAAAGATTGTGTTAAGATCCATGTGTTTAATCGCTTCAGGTCCCAGTTTGTTCATTAACAATGTATTTAATTTGCATTTTAGCACAACAACTCTCTGTGAGAGATTAATGGAGTTTATAATCTCACTGATCAGGCACTCTTCTTTCTTACTTCTTGCTGGATCTGATACAATTTCCTTCCTTCAAGAGCTCCATACCATAACCTCTGCCACTGCAGCTTCATTTTTCTACCTTACTTATTGATATTGCCACCACTACTTGATAGCTTTTAATACCTTTTTTTGCAAGTTGCTACTGTTTCATTCATTCCTATTCTAATAATTCTACATAAGATTGCAATATTTCAAAGATTTTCTTTCTTGTAGAAAAGACAGTTTTAGATTTTTCTTCAGATAATTTAAAACCCCACACCAATTATCAACTTCAATGATGGCTTTTTGGACTGATTACACTTCCTTGAGGGGTTAGATTTATAACTAGAAAATATAAGGAATATACTAGGAAATAAGTCCTTTATCCAACTGTATACTTTAAAAGACCTTCCTTCCACATCATGTCATACGCCTTTTCTTTATCAAATAAAAAAATTGCTGGAGCCACAAAATGACGTTGAAAAAACACAACAAAGTCAAGTTTGGTCTGGACAGGCGATGAGGCAGCACAAGACTTGAGAAGATGTAAAAAGGCATTTTTGTGCAACTGTGATGTGGCATATACATCTGTGGTTACTAGTAACTATGTTGGTAGATTTGGAAATAATTCAAGTTTAGGCAAGAAAACAAAAGTGCAGATTTAGGGAGTTTTATGGTTACAATGAATGTAAATATACAAGTGCAGATTCTGACTGTTGCATCAAATGATCCAAAAACGGGTTACTGTTGAGTTGTACTCCATTTTGACGGCTTTAGAATGTCAGTCACATGTGCCATCATGGGAAAATCTATGGGAAAAGGAAAAACACTCAATGAAGAGTGACAACAGCACTGGGATCAGGTGAAAAGGGGGAGACGTTTACATTCAATTCAAGTGTGTGTCATGAACAGAAAAGAGGATCATGACTAGATAAAGAATAGGATACAGTGATCTGAACATTGTAGGGAAGCATCCAAGTGGTCTTTGTGTCCAGAAACTGTAAAACATGAGCTTGTTAGTTGCAGAAAATATATTAGAGAAAAGACACTAAAGAGCAGACTGGACCCTGGTGGAAGCAGAGAGGCAGAAGATATTTGGTCAGTTTCCGGAGGCAAACAGGACACCGTAGGTGGCAACTCCCTCCAGGAGGTGGCAGTAATGCAGCCAGCCGCCGTCCAACATCGAAGAAGAAGAAGAAGTAAACATGCCATTTCCGGGATGCAATATAATCAGCACCTCTGACCACATCCACGCTGCAATAAAAAGCTAATTTTTGTCCCAGGATTTAGGGAGTGTCTGTCAGAAGACAGCAGTTTCTGGTTGTGTTTCTGCGGTATGTGTGCACGGTGTTAACGGAAGTGTCCTGTTCGCCTCCTCCGCCGTTAAAATGAAGAAAAAGAGCGCAGAGAAGAAACGCCATGTGGTAGCATGGGTCAACAAAGCGGAGTGGGATCAAGTCCTGGAGTACCTGTACTCTAAGGATTCCGCCCTGCAGAGGTATGCACTGCAGAGGGTATCCGCGTGGAGGGGCAGGTATGCCAACAGCACGCCCGTGGCGGTGGACTGCACGGCGGACCTGGTGAGGTGCCAGGTGCTGGACAGGTCGGGACAGCTGGACGGAGATGATCTGGTCCTGCTGTACGGAGCGGCCCTGGTGAGGTTTGTCAATCTGATCACTGAGCGACAGCAGGGCAGAACAGCCCGTCCACTGAGGCGGCTGGCTGGCAACCTGAACATCCCAGAGTGGGTGGTGGACCTGAGGCATGATTTCACACACCGGAAGCTCCCTACCTTGAAATGGTGTCGAAAGGGGTGTAAGGTGGTTCTGGAGTGGCTCCAGCAGGAGTACTGGTCCAGGCAGCTGGGAGGAGGGCCCAGTGAGGACTGGGAATCGCAGTCGGATGTAGAGGATGAAGAGGCTGACCTGAAACGCCAGGAGGATGAGCTCATTGCGAGGCAGAAAGAAATGGAAGCCTACAAGAACGCACGGGAACTTCTGATTTCATTTGAAAAGGAGCAGTTCCAGGCTTTTGACGGGCGCCCTGAAGGCGAAGAGAAGGGCTTGTGGCCAGCCCCCTTTGCTGACATGAGCTGGTTACTAGGTGAGATCAAGCAGTTTGCTTTGGAGTCGAGTGATTTGCTGATTGATGTGTTGTTGGAAGATGGATTTCTAGTTCCTACTGTGGAACAACTGGAAACGTTAGGCTGTGACACCACTGACGGTGCCAGTCCCCCTGAACTCAGGATCCCTCCAACCTTCCTGCGTTTTTGGCTGCCCCTCCTGAAGATGCTCAACTCACCGTCCTTTATTCACCTCCTGCTGGAGAAGCTCTTTGTCGAACTGAAGCTGCTCGCCAAAGAGCAGAACAATCACAGGGCGTTCTACATCCCTGCTTGGATTTCAGAAGTTATCCTCTGCAACAGCAACAAATTTGAATACCATTTTGAAACAAAGGGACAGAAGAAGGCCAGAATGAAGGAAAGGATTTTTGTAAACCGCATCCAGCTGAGGTGGCAGCAGCTGCTGACAGCGTGCCTGGATGCTCCCTGCATCAGCACGCCTCACTTGCTCCAGTTAATCCTGGATGACATGGAGCATCCTCTCCCTCTGGAAACCCGACAGAGGCTGCTCCAGCTCTGCTCCATCTACACGCAGACCACACACTCAGAGTTTGAGGCTCCTCTGCAGTCCAAACATCAGCCCATATACACTCTGGAGAGTTTGCATGAGAAGCTGCAGCATTCAAAGCGCCGCAGCCATCCTCGGCATTCCACGGGGGAGTCTGAGATGAGCGAGTCCTCCCAGCCAGATGTTCAGGTTGAAAAAGCTAGGTTGCTCAGAGGTTCTCCGTGGCAGATATGCACTGATAAAGTCTGGTGGAAGAACTATCCTCTTGGTAAAGTCCCGGGGCAGTCTGATGACCCCTCATGCCTCATGGTGGAAAACTACTCAACAATGACTGTCTTTGACCAGCCGGTGGACTTGGAGAGCAGCGCAACACACAACGTCCCAGGAGCCTCGGCACCTGTGAGAACGTCCGAAGGTCTTCTTTGGAACCACGGTGATGTTAACAAGCTGAAATCTGGACTGCAACTTTTTTGAGTCATGTTGTGATGCTGTGAAAAAATAGGCCTTCATCTGCCGGCACATTACTGTACGTGCGCTCTCTGTTGTTTGGACACATGGGAAAAAAGAAAGATATGTTCAAAATATGTCAACTTCAGTAATGAACAGAGCTAGTTGTGAGGTAAAACAAATATGTAAAGTAGTTGATTAAGAATATGTCCCATTCTAATTTCCCAGAGACCGAGGTGATGTCTTCAAATTACTTGTTTTATTCGACTAACAGTCCAAAACCCACAATTCTTTCACAAGTTTCATTTTATAGACAAAACAATTAATCAGTTAGTCAAACAAATCATCAGCAGATTAGCTGATTTTTGAAAATAACTGCTCTAATGAATATAAAATTTTCATAAAAGCCTTCATATTGTATGCTGTCTACAATATTTTCAATTCAAGTACAGACAACACCTTTAAATCCTGTGAAACATCATTAACATTCATGCACATGGTAAATGAAGAATGTGAGAATTGGGATGTGGGTAATTCATTATAATGTGTAATACAGCAAGTTGGTTTTCCTTACACCTGTCATGCTAGTTAACTTGCACTGTTAAAACAGTTGTTGGTCCCTGCAAAGGGTTTTGGAGTTGAACATGTGTGTAATTTTCTTTTGTGCGCTTATGTTTAATAAAACCTTTTTCTACTAAAGGAATAGGAGTGTGTTCTTTTAGAGTTTAAGATTTATGAAACTGAATAGCAGCATGTTGGGTTGGAAAGCATGTCTTATGTGCTGAATGGCTAATTGCAGTATGAGCAGGCACTTTATGAGGGCTTTCAGATTGAAACCAGCACTGAACTTCAAACAACACAAGTGTATACTTGTTAACTTTCCACCGTGAAGGAAACCAGTTATGTTTGTTGTGTTACTGCCTGCTTTTCCAATTTTTACTGTATAATGGATCCACAATTAAAGAGTTCCTGTGAATGGTAAAATGACTTGTACAATGATATGTTTAACCTTACTGTTCTATATGCCTTTTAAAGAAGAGACAGCAAACGAAGCAGCATTAGGACAAATAATAGGACTGTGTTAGAGAGGTGTTCAAACCTGACTGAGGTTGTATGGCAGCCATACAGTGTAGTTTCTGTCCAATCAGCAAAGTTAAGTGGGGCTTTTTATTGAATAATTTGTCTGATTGATAGCCAAAGGGTGCAACAGCAAAGTGGATTTAGCAAGAGAAAATCTGATTGTTTTATTGTATTTACGGTTGAGTTGGTTGCCATGTTGATGAACTGAACAGGTTAGTTGCAGCGATTTAATTAGTTATTCTCTGTAAGCCCTTGCAAGCATTAAGACAGGAACAGCCCAAAGTCATCAGTGTCTGCAGCAGTTGTTGAAATCAATATTAAACGATCAAAATCAGAGGGGGAAGGTAAATCAACACTAGCAACAGCATTGGGATAATACAATAAAAGGGAGACATTTATACTCAATCAACAGACCAGGTATGTTGGTTGAGAAGTAAGGGAACAAAGAGCTAGTAATTATATGCAGACAGAGAATTGGGCACACCAACCTTAACAGTACACTGTTTATCAAAGGAAAACATCTAACAGGTGTTTGTTGCCTGATAGGATCAATATTCTCTGCAAAAGTCTGTAAAACATATCTTACTTAATGCATTGCCCGCTTTATAACAAAGAAAATATTTTAATTCAGTTTGTGTGAATTAACTGTGAATTTAAATATTTTCCATCAAAACGCTGCTGGGGACGGTGTGCTTTACAAAAAAGAAGTAATGGGAAATAATACACTTTAAAACCACAAATCGAAATCTCAAGATCTCATGCTGGAGCAATGTCGACACTACATCGGTGGGAGGCAGCAGTACACCAAACAGGGCCGAGACTGCAGGAAAAGTAGAAGAAGAAGAAGAAGACAACGAAGAAGAAGAATTTGTCCGGTGGTGTCGACGTCCGTCTGAGGTCCGTTGTTCGTTTTATTTTCAAGCTGTCACCGATTTAAAAGACGTTCATTAACCAGCACAGTTTCACCTAAGGACTCAGACCCAGTCTTTGTATTAACTTTTTTGTAAACGGAACGGTAAGTTGGTGGTGGAAGAAGTAACGTTAAAAGATGCTGCGTCATTCACGAGCTCCGTTGTGTAACGGCCTCATGGCTACAGTTAGCTGTAACGTTAGCTAAGAAAAACTGCAGGTTAAATAGTTAACCATCATAACAACACTTTTTGTTTTAATGCACCGGTATTACATCCAGCAGGGTGACCGGATGTAAGTTGGCTAACGTACATACAACAAACATTAGCTGGGTGCTAACGTTAGAATAACCGAGGCCTGTTGGCACAAATCGGCACGATTAACGTTAAGATTGAGTTAATATTAGTCATTCTTGTCGAAATCACTGACTATCGTTACTGCAGCAGTGAGGACATTATGTAACGTTACAGTGAGGTTTATGTTTTAACGTTACAGGGTTACTATAGAGCATTCTTTATAAAGTTAACATGGTGCTAATGCTATTGGGACTAGCTTAAGCAGGAAGTCGGTTACGTTGGTAATACGTTTAGTCAACACTCAACTGAGCTGTGTGAGGTTGTCAGGATAAAAGACTATACTGTGGAAAGGACTGGATCAGTAACTCAAAGGGAGTTTCCCAGTGGTGCATGTTTAGTGCATTAATACAAAAAACCTAATAATAACTTTTGTATACAGCACTTAAAAAAGTTACATCGTGCTTTACATTATTGAACACCAACACCAACAATAACAAAAAATTCAAAACAGTTAAATCAAGCATTTTAAAATTTCATAAAGTTAAAGAAATAAGATTCTGCAACACTGATAGTTAAAATTGACATAAGGGATAAGGGATGCACTCAAATTATTGAAAATAAATGAATCAGTGACCAACTGAACTAAACTAATAGCTTACCAAGCTAATAAGTTAACATTTCAACAGACCCAACATGATTCTGAAAATACTGATAAACTAATGTCATTTAATTTAGCCCGTTCAGTGTCAACGAGTAAGTCCATAGTGAAAATGCAGAGCTTCTTATTTGGTCTGTTTATTTTATGAAGTGGAGAAAAGTACTGATGTTTCTAGTTAAAAGCCTTTACTGTGCTACACTGGCTAAAATAAGTATCCAAACATTTCTCTCTGATAAATTAATCAGTCAATTGCTGCAGGATGAAACACTCATAGTACATTTTCTTGTGTCCACAGGTGAGGAATCACTAGATATCTTGTGGACGGCGTCCTTGCTGCCATCATTCTCAAACCATAATGATCACCAGAAGAAGAGGCCGCTCCATGAACAGCACAGAGGTGCGTTCTCTGGAGGTTGAAGTGGAAACTGACAAAGATCTCCCATGTATTTCTGAGGGGTTTCCGGCCGACGACATTGACACAGCTGGAATAGAGCTAGAGGACCTTTTTGGAATCGAAGACTTAAAATGGACACTTGAAAGAGATCCTGCCTCCCCGCTCTTCGATCTTGAGTTGGCTGATCTTGGTGTGTGTAGTGCCAAGGATCAAGATTCAGGGAACGAAGCTTCGACAGCCTCCTCTCCAGAGAGACGGTCGTCTGACTTGAAGATCAGGAACAGAGAAAACCAGTCGGGCCACGTGAGCAACAAAAATGCCATTGCTGCCAGATTGAATCGTCTCAAGAAGAAAGAATATGTTAACAGCTTGGAGAAGAAAGTTGGCATCCTGTCAACAGAAAACAACATGCTCAAACAGGAAAACTCTCAGCTGACGAAGAGAGTGGACGAGTTGGAAGATGAGACCAGGTACCTGAGAGCTGTGCTGGCCAATGAGAGCATGTTAGGCCAGCTCTTGTCCAGGTTGAGCGGTGTGAATGGGATGAAATTATCTTCCTCGCTTTTCCAGGGCCCCGACTCAAACGACCACGACTACGCCTTACCCAGGAAGCGTGTGAAAGTGGAGGAGAAAGAGACATCTGGTGGCGTGTGTCTGCATGTGGACAAGAACCACGTCTCAGTGGAGTTCTGCACCAAGTGTGCAGAGAGTGCAAGCACATCACTCAAAATGTAGGGTCAAGTACTTATCTCTGTTTTCAGATATTGAGACTGAACTTGATATGACTCAGTGTACTGAAGGTCTTGATGGTGGATGAACACTGTTGAATTTGTTAAGATTACCTAAGAACTGCTGAATGTGCATGTGAATGTGCTGTGTGATGATGGATTGAGTACACGTTACTGCTAAACCTTGTTGACAGTTTCTTCTAGGTAATGGTTGATCCACCATGCGGGATGAGTGGCTTTCTGAACACCTTTGCCTGCTTGACTCCATGGTAAGGATCAGACAAGAAAAGACCTTTTTTTTTTTTGTTGTCGTTTTTCACAGGCCTGAGGAGTTCAGCAGCAACCTTAGTACTACTAATTTTATACAGTTCCTGTTATGAGTTAGTGGATTTTGAGTACTTTCATAATTTCTTTTGATATAAATTTTAGTTAACGTGTAAATGTAAGAGTTAAATCAAAGTATCCTGAATGTTAAGATAAAGGTGAAGGTCCACAAAGAGTGATCTCGAGTCAGCTATGAAATTGGAAATGCAATGATCAGTGAAAAATTTAAGTGTGTATAAACTTTCATTTGTAAAGAATTGATCTCTTTGTGAACCAGCACCATTGTACAAAAGAATACTTTCATTTAGCGCCACCTATTTTTCTTTATGCTAAAGTGGATTCTGCTGGTGGAAGGTGAAGAGACTGGACAAGCAGCTGCCAACGCGGCCTGGTATTTTTTTAAAGGTAGTATCGGTAACAAATGGTATACGGTGATTACATTTTACCAATACTCCACAACACCTGTAGCTGTAGATCTTGTCAGCGTAGCTCATCCCGCATTTTTGGGGGACTGACAACAGCTGCTTCATCACTTGGAGCAAATGCTACCCAAGGCTTAATAGTCTCATGATTATGTCTTGTATATATATTGGAATGTGTTGAGTAAATACATTTTGATCAAGTGTAACAACATGTAAATGTGTATATAACTTTGAATACGTATTGTTTGAAGTAAAAGACCTTTGAGAAATGTTGGACAAATAAATCATATTTTCGTTACATTTGAGTTACAAATATCTACTGTGTCTTGCTCTGTACTGTTGATATTAATGCATCTCTTTTTCTCTTTCTAAACAGCAAGCTCTCTGCCGATAAAGGTCTTACTTTTCCTGAACATTTGGGTCAAGTCTGGTAAAGGTTGTCAAAACAAAAGACCAAAGTCCTCATTTGATGGAAGTTCAAAGCACGCAGTATGACAGGGTCCACAGGGATTAATCATTCTGCACAAGTTTTAGCCCACTTACTTCAAATCATGGATACTAGTGATGGACAAGGCAGTTCTTTTCAGTGTACTGAATCATATGGATCAGTTCATTAAAAAGTTTCCTTCAGAGTTGTTCAGTGGGAGACCGGAGCTCTGACTGCGTCGTCCCGCTCGCAGACCTGAAACACAGCTGAACATTCAGTTCAGCTCGCTAACTACAACTGAGACAGTCGTTCTTAATGCAGAAGCAAGTGAGCTGATGATTTGGTTGGATAAACAAACCGTTTAAAGACTTAAAGCTGCTAGAACAAAGGCCTACCCTGCTATGTACTACACGTATTTACGCGAAATAAAATATTTGGTCGTAATTAAACACATGAAAGGTGTGCGGCTTGAGCGACTCGGTGACTGTCAAACACAGGGCTCGTGGATTATCAAACGTAACCTAGCTCTTCTTAAATTAATTTGAAAATCTGAGAACAGGTGCAGCAATTGACTTTATGTAATCTGATACTATTCTCTCCTGTCACAGCTAGGTCTCAGGCATGCAACACAACAAAGCAACTTACTTTTCAGAGTATTTTGTTTGTACGGCCTCTGGTGTTTTGGAGAGTACTGCAACGAACAATGCTTGGGCTTGTGCATGCTTGTAGCTTGTGTGCCACATGTGGAGGCCCACGCCACCGTGTGTTGTGCGAGTATTAACGAAGCTTTACTGTGGTTTGTGACCAGCACACCTCCAACACATGATCAGAATAAACAACTTTACCTTGCTGTGTAGTGGAAAATGCACCGTACCAGAGATGCTCGACTGCTCAGCGCTTTTTCAATGTTTAATTAGACTTAAAGGAGCAATGTGTACTAACCTGTCGAATTCAGGCGGCAGCATGTCACCAGACAGGTGGGGTGTCCACTTCTGTTGTAAGAAGCAAGGAAATGCATAGGTCTTTCAACAAATGGCTATTCTTTAATAAGCTATCGCTAAATAGCCAATGTTAATGTCTGTTTAACGTTACTTACCAGTCTTGAAGAAACTTTGCGAATTCAGCATTAAACTTCAAGGTCTCCAGTGGTGGAAAGCAACGCCAATATTTAGCTTTTATCTTGACTTCTTTCTTTGCCACGGAACGCAGTTTCTTTCTCTTAATTCTTACATATAGCTCACTCCACTGAGTTGACTGAATGTGGTCTGGCATCATGACATGAAACAGCAGTTTGTTGGGTGAAAAGTCGAACAATACAATGAGCGCTCTGGGGGGCTAACGAGTGAATAACCAATGAGTGCCATGGACAGGACTAGCGATGATACCAAGGTGGAGTGATTACAATGACCACTATAGACCAGATAGACGCTTCAGTCGAGGCTGTTCTAAATCGATATTTTTAATGTATGTTTGTTTTTACGTCGCTCTGCTCCACTTTTAACATCCTGGCAAATGCATCAGTGTCGACTTAAAATGACTGAAATGAAATGAATTTCAGGCTGAAACGTCAGGAGACATTTCTGTCTGATAGCCAAAGTTCCCGAGCCTGACAGAATGATGAGATCCCCTCTGAGATTCCTTCTGAACACGACGGCACAATGATGCAGCTTAAGTTGAATACAATACAGCAGTAAAAAAAATAAATAAAGACCACTTGTTGCTAGGAGAAACAAAACCCGATCTTTGTGTGTTTTGTGAAATTGACAGCTGCACTGTAACTGATGTTTGACTTGAAGTACATGGGCTAAAACCTGCTGAAAACAGTGTGATCCTTAAAGGGAGACAGAAATTCAGCAGTCAGGTGCTCTTAACAACAAAGGTTAGAGGAAACATCATCATGAAATGTCATCAGCAACCTTACTGCTTGAGAAAAATTTTATGAAGATTAGATGATGTCCATTTCACTGCTAAGTTAAAGGTGTGTTATGGGAGAAATCCAGTACCATGATACAAAGAGAACAACACAAAACAAGGCAATAATTAATGTAACTAATGTTAGCTAAGCCATGGGTTAGCATACTGTTGTTACAGTTGATGCTGCCGAGCTAACACGCAGAGAGGATGATACACAGAGTGTCTGTTGGCCAGTCCTTTAATGTTACCTGACACAAATCATGGCTGGAATAGCGTTGTGTGACGGGGCTCAGCTAGCGGACCGTGAGGAGAGATTCACTGAATATGACAAAAGACTTGAATTGGATTAGAATCCTTACCTCACCTTTAATACCCAGGGTCTTTATTCAGTTTGCAGCAATCTGGCACATTTAAAAAAATACTGAGTATCCGTGTGCATTTTAAGATGCCAGTCAGCTGACTGTGACCCATAATGGTTTAAATCCAGTACTACAGTAATTTATAAATTAATTGACTTTAAGCAAATTTACAGTGATTTTTACAGTGCACATTATACATGGAATGCTTTTACGGAGTATGATTTTTATGTTTAGATAGTATCTAAAATAACAGGTCCAGGTAGAGAGCTCTGGAATCACAAAAATATGTCATTATACAGTGGACAGGGTGTAATTAAAAAATACACCATGGACTTCAGATCTCTTCATTTATATAATAGCCTATCATATGGGTATATATTTAATAAAGTAATCTGACAGACATTGTGGCTCAGATCAATCACTGTATTTAGAAACCAATAGAGATTTCTTATTGATATTTTGACCTGGTAAATGCAAGTAAAATAATATGTGAATAACACTGGCATTTCATTTATGTTCCTGCTGCTGTCACAAGAAATGGTTTAAAACAATAAAATGAATGATGGCTGAATTCCATTTAGCTGCTTCAGTTTCAGGTCCTGGTGTTCTTCACTCTGGCTTACTGGGACACTTGAACACCAGAACCTTTGCGTTTTATTTTCCTACTATGACAAGACAAAATGTTTAGTGGTAAAACTTGTGTCTGGGTCGAAGAGCTCTGCAAGTGGAGTTGACGTCTCACCAAAGAGTCGGGTAGACTGGAAAATAAGCAGGTTTATTCAGCCACCAGTGGTTTTATTGAAATGATGCTGTGCACCCATCTGATGATTGTGTATTTAAGGATATCAGGATGACATGGTTATTTGGAAACATGAAGATGGGAGCTAAGTGGGAATGAAGTGCAGATGATGAGGTAAGAGGGTGAATGAACAGAGGCCTGATGATTTCACAGGAGAAAACCTGAATGGTACTAGTTAAAAGGTTTTTCTGCAGGCAAACTGTTGATTTTATGTATTTATGAGAATGATACGTCTTACATTTGCTTATATTAATCTACACAAACAAAAAATGAACGAAATCGACCCCATACAAATTTGGGATGATGATTCAGGGAGTCTTAACCCAGAAATTATTCACATTTTTATAAATATTGGGAAAATCTTTTGTGTATTTGCTTTCAAATTAATGAAGAGTTCTTTACATGAATCTTCAAAACGCCTTAGAAAAATGATTTCCTTTGTATACTTCTGTCCAAACACAGAGATCCTGAAAAACCAACAAGGGAACATTGAAGTTTCCTGAAAAAATCCATTTCTGTGTAGAACTACAAAACAAATAATATTGGCAAATGGCAGCTGCCTGCAGGCAACACAGAGACTTGACTTTGCTGGCAGTTACTGGGAAACAAAGTAACGTGGGTGGACACCTTGCCTCCTCTTTTCAAGCCAGGTTGGAACTGGTACACCTAAATGGAATGCAGCCTTAATTAATGTTAATTACACGTTTGACAAATCCTGTCTGCTGTGAAAAAGGTCTAATGAAGAGATATTTGGCTCTGCACCTTCACCACAACAGATTTGACTCGCTGGAGGGACAGTGACTCACTAAAAGATGCTATTTTCATAAATAAACAAACACTTGCAAGCACTACATTCTTCAGTCTTGGTTTGAAATGATCATCTCAAGTGGACTTCATGTGGTCATGTTTTATGTTAAACACCTTAAAATGTAAGTACAGTCTCGCATCATTGTGAACAAACAACACAGGGCCACACAGACTTTGTCAAAGTTATTATTGTAGAATACTTTGATGTATTTTTTTCTTTCATACAGACAAAAGGTGTTGGACTTAATTCCCATTAAATTCTCTTAGATTTCCATACAGATTTAGTCTACAGTATACAGGTGTGTTCTTTCTCATATATAGATATTTATTCGCTTAAATAACAGGCAGGTAACTCTTTAATATATTCAATAGTCTTTATGGTATTTTTTGTCTTTTTTTGGTCTTTTTTCATTTCAGCACAGTTAAGGCTGCATTTTCTGTCTGCGGAACAGCACTGCATTGTGCAAGAAGGGGGACCATTCCACACATAATATTTACATCTGTATGTATAATGAATAATGTAAAACCTTAATTTCTTCCCATCGTAACATGGCAGTAAATATTTGTAGCAGATCTAAAAGGGCAGCCTAAACAATGCATGGGTGCATTGCACTTCTGCAGTCTCTAGCTCTGCATCACCCTCCAGTTCTCCATTCTCCCTGGGTCCCCACTTTGTCCAGTCCTTTAGATCATAATGAGGTACATTTGTATCTCCGGTTCTCTATTTACAGAGTGGTGTCTCTGGTCTTAAGAGACTATAAGCATCTCCACACCTCTGCACACTTCAGAGGCTGTTCAGTGGACAGAAAACACAGCCCTCAGAATATGCTCAGGAGAATGTGCAACTGTCTTTTTCCATCAGTGGGAGCACCGGTGGAGAAAATCCAAAATAACCATAACAATAATAATAATATTAATAATATACAAGCGCTTCCATTTTGTTGTTCCTCTCTTTACAAAAAGCAATAGGATTAAAAGAAAGAAACATCAAAAATAAAATGTGTAACAGGAACATAGTACCTGTAAATCAAAGATGCACATGTGCACATTTGGGCGATCTGTACAGTAGTGGTGCAGTTGTACAATTTATAATTTTGATAAATATAATATATTCTTTTTCACATTGTGTTTTGCCTTCTGTGAAACTGTCTCACAACATCATGATGTAACGTGGCTGGACGGATGGACAGAGATGGCTGGAACTGGACAGTCAAATTTACACCACTGTAGGTTAATCCACCTGATGTTCGGTGTGTATGTATGCGTGTGTGTGTGTGTGTGTGTGTGTGTGTGTGGTGTGTGTGTGTGTGTTTGTATAGCGCAGAAAGCATTGATAGAGCTGTGCTAAGAGGTGCTGAAACAGAATAGGTTAGACCTGAACAGGATATGAGTGTGTGTGTGTGTGTGTGTGTGTGTGTGAGAGGAAGAGAGCAGATGTGGAGAGATCATAGCACACAGTAGCCTAAATGATTTACCAACACATAAAGAGTGACATTAATGATACCAAATGCATGCTTCAAAACAGACAGACCAATACAATGTCACCACCCGCCCGCTCCGACGGGTCAGGTCAGGGTGGTGGCGATGATGATGAGCATTCAAGAAGACAGAGTTCTGTACAGGTAAGGGTGTTTCCCAGAGAGCCCTGCGTGCATCCTCAAACACAACTAGCAGGACAGACATGTTCTCTCGCTGTGCGTGCGTGTGTTATCATCTGTGTTTCTGCGCCTGGGTACAGGTGTTGACATGGCAGTCTGTTGCATATTGTCTGCCCTTGCCTTTCTCAGGTGGTGGGACCAGTTGACAACTCAGGGGAAGTCAGCTGAGGGGAGAGGGGACGGGAGGGAGGGGGGGTTGCTTTGCGGTCACGCTCCGAGGCAACATGAAGTCAGCGGTTCACCCACACCTAGTGCAACATGGGATACAGAAAGCACTTTCACACCCAGTCTGGAATGTGATGCGGCTGTTTGGAATGTTATGTTCCATGGAATGTTGAGGTGGTAATTCGGCGAGGTCACGGTGGAATGTGATGTCACGAACGCCGCGGACGCCTTGGTCACGACTATGCAAATGTTTTCTGTGATTTTTTTTCTTTTTTTTTTTTTTTTTTTTTTACATTTTTTGTTGTTGTTGTCGGGTTGTGCTCATGCAGCGTGTTTTGCCATATTTACGTTGGACAGCTTCACCGTGATATGTCTCAAAGCACTAGTTCAACATTTTCAGTTAAATACGCTCATTCACTGTCATGCCGAGAGTTCAATTAGAACATACCTCCCTTGTATGTGTGAAGGTGAGGGCAGTATACGGCTAGGTTAGCTTAACATAAAGACTGCAAATGGGGAAACAGCTAGCCTGGCTCTGTCCGAAAGTACCAAAATCCTTCTGCCAGCATTTTTGAAGTTTGCAAATTAACACATTAGATCTCATTAGTTCGATCCACACGTATAAGGGAGATTAATGAAAGTGTAAAAACATGGTTTAACATGGGGTTATGTGCTGTGCTATAATGACAAGACTCCAGTTACTGAGCCCGGCCAAGAAAGAAATTGCCTTCATGCAGCACAATCCACTGTCACAACAATCCCACTTTTAGTTTGTAAGTGTGTGTAATGTCTGTTTCCCCCAGTCTTTATGCTAAGCTAAGCTAACCTGCTGCTGGCTGAAGCCTCATATTTAGCGTACAGACATGAGAGTGGTATCCATCTTCTCAGCAAGAAATAAGCACGTTTTCCAAAATGTCAAACTGCTCCTTTAAGGTCTCCCAATCAACGAAGTGTACATCATGATGATGGGGAATGCACTGTATTTGACACAAAGACATGACACAAAAGCTCTCATTGGTCGTACCTGATAGATCTGAGCGGGCTTTGGGCCTAAAGCTAAAACTGAACACTGACATTAGACATTGGCCTGATTGCTCCAGTGGTTGGTAGCTTTTCAACATCAAACAGTGTTTTTTTTTTCTCCCTTCTCTGTAAAAATGACTGGACCGAACATCCAACAGATCAATTCTCAAACAATCTCTTTGTCCACAGTAGTCATGGAGCGGGCACTGGTACATGATGGAGACGACCCAATGGCACGTGAGCAGGAGCGGGTTTGAAGTGAGTACAAGTTAGTCTTAAAGGGCCACCGCCTGTGCATTGTGTGTTTGATGGCATTTAAAGGGTTAATGCTTCACAAGCATTCAGCTTTTCCCCCCCCAATAAAAAGCTGACACACACACACACATGCCCACCGATGAAAGACCAGAAGGGACGAGACGAGACAAAGTGAGCAAAGGAAACAACAAAATGGACTGAGGAACAGCAAGAGAGAAGATGATGGGAACACGGAGCAGAAATTAAGAGGCTGGAAGAGGACATCACCCGAGGGCGATGTCCTTAGATATTACCCATACATATCAGTTTATCAACATGGCAGGAGGCTGTAAATTATGTTCGTCCTGTAGGGAGCTAATGTATGTATACATCACAAGTAACGTGAGATCCCACACTGTATCATCTCAGCAGGGTGGACAGAGAACAGGTCATGTGGACTCGGGGCGGCATTCAAGGACTGGGCAGGTTGGACTGGAGAAAGAACAGTGATGAACATGAAGAGTTCCGTGTTGTCGCTTCCCAAACATTCAAATTATATATACACATACAGTATATATATATGTATTCCCCCCCTCCTTCAGTTGTTTTTTGCAGCCATTCTATTTACTATTAGGTTTAAATGAACAGTATCTTTGTTTGCAATTTCTGTTTTTGTCATGTTTTTGTTAGTTTTTTTTCCAGAAGAGACAAGACAATACACATACATACACTGAAAGAGAAGAGAGGAATGAAAGAAAAGAAAATATGTCCCATGTAAAAATTTCAAAGAGAGAAAAAAGAACAGAAAGAAATGTAAAAAGAAAGAAATGAATGAGCACCATCATGTTGAGAAATAAATGAACCAAAGGACGGAATTGTATGAATTCTAGTTCAAGATTTAACAAAGCGTTTTACTTATACCGCAAGCAAAGTAGTGACTTAAAAGTGGCTTTCGATTCGAGCCAGATAAACAATGGTGGTAGTGACTATGGTGCCATGGCAGGTAGGTAGGAGGGTAATGACAACAACACTATTGATGAACACCAATAGAAACAGAGTGAGTCAGCCTCTGGCCCTGACATGGCCCTGTTAATGCTGAAGCGTTGAGGGATGTGTCGTTTTTTGGATGTCCGTCCCCCTCCCTCCCCAACCCACCGTCGCCCAGGACAACGCAGCGAGAGCAGACCTGTGCGTTTGTGTGACAAGTGTGCGTGAGGTTCAGGCAGGGTGGGGTGGGCGGGATCTTCAGGTAGGCTGTCAGACGGGGAGGTGGGTTCGAGGGTGGAGGGGGAGGCGGGGGTGGTGGTGTTGGGGAGGGTGGGGGTTGACTGAGAGAGCTGGCGCAAGGGCAAAGGGAGGGAAAGTCGCAATGTTCTCAGGGAGTTGCGAGCAGAAGTCTCCAGCCATTGTCCACTCCCTCCTGTACCTCCCTCGTCCTTCGCTCCTTCCTCTTAGCTTGTTGTAAAGGAGACGGATGAAAATGTCATGTGTGTCCTCAGCCCTCTCTTCCGCTCCCCTTTCTTCCCCCTCCCCAAGACTCCCTTCCCCTTCTCCTCTCCCACCAACCCACGTTCAGCTCAGTTATAAGGACGTCTCCACGCAGTAGAGATGGGCCAGGTGTGGAGCAGAGGGTTTCATCGGCCTGTCCCTGCCATGATGGTTATGGTGGTGTTGGTGGCGGAGGTGGTGATGAGGGCTCCGGTCCTGGTTGGTGCTGTTTTCGTTGCTGTGGGTGACTGTTGAACTGATGCTGCTGCTGCTGCTGCTGCTGCTGTTGTTGTTGTTGTTTCGGTTGCACGGGGTCACCGGGAGGCTGTACTGACGGTAAGGGCGGGTGGGGCGAGTGCGGGCCGGGGGCTGGGGCTGGGTGGGAGGGGGTGGCGGTTTGCGGAGGGCCGGGTGCAGGTGCTGGTATCTGCTGAGCTCTGATTCGTCGTCCACGTCAGTGTCGTCAATCAGCGGGATGTTGTGGATGAGGTCGTTGATGAGGAACTCCGGGTGGGCCATGAAGTTGTGGATGGAGTTGCGGGATTCCGGTTTTTCCCGGCCCTCGTACAGCGAACTACGGAATGCTTTCACCACTCGCATCTGTCCAAAGCAAGGAAGATGAGGGAGAGACCACAAGAAAGATAAAGTCAGACATAACAAAAGGTAAAAAAGACAGAGACAAGGGAAACCCAGAGACAGACAGACTTGTGTCCTCCAGCAGACAGAGTGACAGACAGACAGACAGACAGACAGACAGACAGACACTCAGGGCCAGGTGGCGGCATTTAAAGTTTATACAAGATAACTTCTAATGCTCACATTGGTGTGTCGATTTGTTTTCTATAAAAATGTCTTGTGACTTAGAGATGCTCTAGAATATGAAAATACCGTAATGGGCGGGGCCAAAGCACAACACTCTTTTTTAAAAGAATATTTTGACATTTGGGATATATGATTATGTGCTCTTTTACAGTTGGATGAGAAGATTGATACTGTCTAATGTATGTGTCTTGTCTAAATATAAAGCACCAGCTGGTTAGCTTAGCTTAGCTTAAAGACTGGACGCAGGAGAAAACAGCTAGCTGAACTTCTTTTCGAGCATTACCAGACCGTTAGAGATGCTGGTAGGTGGATTTTTTACCTTTGGACAGATTCAGGCTAGCTGTTTCCCCCTGCATTTCTGACTAAAGCTAAGCTAACTGGCTAACGTTTAACCAGAGACATTTTATAGAGGAGACACACCACTTTAACAATCCTCAATACAACTTTATAGGGAAGTATAACCAGTGGGGGAAAACACTTTTCAAACTTATTTTGGGGCAGCATTTTTTATCAGATTTTACTGGTGATTCTACACATGCAGTTTTTATGTCCTGGTGTCCAGTGAAAGTTATGGCTCGCTCCCTGTCCATTCAGAGAATGGCCTAGTCTTCTTAGTCTGAAATAACCACCTGGAGGCTTTACTCATCTCTTAAAGACACAAACTGGGCAGATTATTTTGACCAGTTTGACATGAGAAGGTTAGCAAGTGGTCATGTTTAGGCAAGACAACTCTCGACAAGGGCTGAAAATTCATCTGGTAACAGATAAAATCTGGTAATGGATAACATTTTTGAATTAATTTTTTTTTGACAGCACGTATTAGCATGACTTTAGAACCATCACCAAATTTAAAGGCAAACGTATCTGCAACCTCACCTTGCCACTGCACTATTTCAGCATCGAGATGCTCTCAGTTTTTATTCATGTTATTCTTTCAGGAGGAAAGTTGGATATGTCCTCACTTATTTTGCATGATTCCATTTGATATCAGGTAATTTCTCTATTGTTATATTACTGTAACCTTTGGAACACAAAAACCTTGACTACTTCAGTCTCAACAGAGCGTCCACCTGATCCTGTGTGTCTCAAAAGTGAAATAAAAAAAACCCAAAATGTTAAAATGAGTTGGCTAATGACACGTTTTTGTCAGTTCTCACACACCAATCAGACCTCACAAGACGAGCACATTCAGTAGCCATCATCACAAAGACCACAGAAGCTGCAGACGCTTCATCAAACACACGTGGCGTGTGTGTGTGTGTGTGTGTGTGTGTGTGTGTGTTGGGGGGGATACAGCATGTGTGGGGAAAACACTCGTACCTCAGCTCACTGGATCACATGCATGCACACACACAGATGAAGGTGGTTGTTAGGCACAAATGGAGAAGAAGCAGGAATGGTGAGTGTGTTAGTTTACAATTAAATAAGAAATTGGCAAGAACCTATAGCAGTAACCACACAAACACAGACACACAGACACACAGAAACATGCATGGAGCAGCAGTGTAACTGAGTGAACCAACAGTTGAGTTGTTTCCACATGATGCGGCCCGGAGGTTGACGCCTGCATGCATCGGACAGCTGTCAATCATGGGTGCTGTTTGTTTAGAAGATCAGGTTCATACACTCAAACACACTGACAGCCAGACATTAAACTGGTCTGTCAGCATCTCTATGCACACACACACACACACACACACACACATGCACATGTGCAATATGCACTGCAGCCATGCAGCGGTGAGAGCCAGAGGATAGCAGAGTGATTGAAATAATGATGATGCTGATGAGGTTGCTGCAGGATAGAAAAAAAAACTAGTCTTGCAAAACAGAAAGATGACATCACGGAGAATCAGCAGATTAGAACAGTGTGTGATTGGTTAGAATACTAGAAACAGAAGGTGATTGGTACAAAGGCCGGAGCGAAGCTCGGGCGTCAGCCCTGTCACACACAGAGAGGCAGCCAGGTCATGCTGAATCAGATCTTTGTCACTTATGCTCTCTTTCTGTCTCTCTCTCTCTCACACACACACACACACACACACATACATCAGAGTGAGGTCTATACTTCAAGGTGCATTATGCAGTCTATGGTGTATGCGTGCGTAAACACATTCCTTTGCCATGGCAGTTGGTCCATGCACCCTTCCCCCAAGCCCAAACAGAGGAAAAGAAGCAGCATGAGCTCAAAAGAAACAGAGACAGTTCAGTGCAAATATACTGACAGGCACAGGCAGGCAGAGCCCTACATAGAGACAGTTTGGCCAAATGAGATCAACAGAGAAGACGCTTAATGTCGACTGCAACACCGACTGGAGTCCGAACTGTGATTATGAGAGGTGGATGGATGGAGATCAGTGCTGCAGTTGGCCAAACTAGGAGGAGTCTCTATTTATGACTCTGGCATATATGATAGACTGACAGACAGACGTACAGACAGACAAACGGTCAAGCAGTAGGTTCAGTGCTTATCTGTTTTTCCAAAGAGCCTGTCAGACAGTAGAAAAACACCTCATGCAGACTGAGAAGGTCTCAGAATGTTACTTTCTCACTTTGTCAGCGCTTGGTTTGTTTTCATTTTGTCTCCGTGGAAAGAGTAAACTTTCGAGTATATAACGCCCACAGTGTGACCAGAGAGGCCTGGAGGTCAGGGCACTGCTGTGATACTTATTTCTCTCACCCACTTTCTCTCTCTCTCCCTCTCTCCCTGTCGGCTCTTTCAGCAGTGCTTGATGGAAAAACGATGATGGTTAAAGTACGAGAAGGAAATAGGCGCTGGAAGGTAGAGAGGCTGCTGTGTGCAAAACAACTGCTGATGAGAAGAAACTGCAACATAAATACAGGGAGAAGCTGTGAGGTACATGACTGGTTAATGGCTGCCACTGCCCGCCGTGTGGCCCGACTCTGAGCGGCAACCACCCTTTGATATGTGATGACTGAGCACCAATCCATAGCAACACCTCAGCAACACCTTCCTCAATTCAATGCATATTCTTTTCATGTCTCCTACCCATATCTCATTTAAGGAGCAGAAACCGGGGGCGTAGGCTGAAACCTTCTTTTTGAATAATAAAGAACAAAGAATTGAGGAGCTGAGGATGGATTTGAGATTCAGGCCTATACCTCTTATTACCCATTATCTTTCTTGCCAAAGTAAACTTTCATATTCATCGCTTTTCTCAACTTTACTGTAACTGCAGGTAGATGAAATTAGAAATTAGCCCAGTCTGAAATGAAAACAAACTGGATCCATGGATCAGTTCTGAAGACCCAGAGGGATCACTAAGGTCCAGCACAGCTCAGGTGGATGAAAGCATGAAACATCTACTTATATAATTTTGATATTTCTGTTTGATATTTTAGATGTTTCTTTAATTTCCCTGGACTCTTTTCTTACCCAGTGATGATAGAATTTGGCTGTAAAAGTCAGGGAGGTGATGGTGTCGACGTCAGAACTTACGCACAATCATACTGCAACGGGGCACAGTGCCAAGTCTGAAAGCTGGGTCTGCTTTGCAAAGAGCTTCAGGGTCATTACTTTACTACCTAGAGTTAACTGTGGATGAGCAGCAGTGCCGTGGGGAGAAGTCAGTCTGTCGTGATAACACGTAGGCAATCATTTGTAGGGTGTGTTTGTTGCTTGGGGACTATATCATCAGACTCTAGGCATTCATAGGAAAACACTTAAAGGCTAAGACTGGGGATATTCTGTATTTGTGGTTACAGTCACCTAATCCCGTAAAAAGACCAAAACCAACGTGTTAATACATCTATGATTTTTACTGACTTCCCTACTCTGACTGTGGTAGCCAACCCCAAGATATAAATCTTTAAAAAGGGGTCATAAATGTAAAAAGAAAAGAAGATCAAAGGCAAAATGATGTCCTAAAAAGAAAATAGGCATTCGTTCGTGGCTAATTTCAGTCACGGATTTGATAGTCTAGCGAGCTATTTACTGCAGTAGGACGGTGTATGAGGGACTAAGTCAAAATAAACTACAGTGTGTGTTCATGGAGACGCAGGAACATGTCACCCAGTGCAACAGTATCTACAAACAATAAACAAACATAGACAAACAAAGTCTATGGCTCCATGCATGTCAATGTCAGTCAACCACTTTGGACAAATATCTCAGCTAATATCGGATGGATTGCCATGAACTTTTATACAGATGTTCGTGCTTTACAGACGATGAATACGGACTTTGGTGATCCCATGACTTTCCCTCTAGCAACATCATCAGGTCAAAACTTTATTTTCTCTTATATGACATTCTCATCTGCCTCAACTGTACTTGTGCTTTGTGCTAATAAGCCAATCGGCATGTTGCCACTGTCATTGTGAGCATGTTAGCATTAGCATTCATCTCAAAGTGTAGCCTCATAGAGCCGCTAGCGTTGCTGTGGACTCATAGCATTTTAATAGGTTTTGAAACACAATGGACAGATATGGATAGAAGATATATCAGGCTCTGGATACACACAACCCAAAACTTGTTAGAAGGATACATTTATTCTTGGTTTTGGTCTTTTCATGAGATTCGACAATAAGAAAACTATAGAATATTACCAAGCATCTCCTTTAAGTACAATCAAGTTTTATCTGTGTTGATTTGACACGATCTGAATTCTACTTTTTGCATAAACCCCATCCTGAACACTAAAGCAAGCGGTTTGATTCAGAGAAGCAAACCTGGGTGCACATTAAACTCAAAGTTAATGCTTGCTCCTTCACATTGCCCCCTTGTCCAAATCCATTTGGTTTCTCATCAGGAACCGAACAACAAGAGGATGACTTCAAAATGCAAGTATGTGTCATACTGCTGTCGAATAACAGATTTTGACACAACAAGCTCTTCGAATTAAGGGGGAGTGATTGAAAAAGCAAGCAATGAGCTAGCAGTGGTGGGACCTCAACCCTTACTTACTTTGACTTTACATCCCTCCTTCAGCACCTTTGTCATATTCACTGTCTTTTCTATCAGGCAGCCAATATTGCAGCTATGTCCATCTCTGAATAACAATTCTATGCATTTTATTGCAAATTATATCAATGTTGTAAAGTGATGGAGAGAAGGATGTGTTTCCAAAGTACTTAAAGAAAGCCCAGGTAACTCCTAGTGTCTGAGCAGGACGATCGCATAGCGCCGACTTGGGCCTCTTGTATGTACACCTACAGGTGATGGAGCAACGTGGGGAGGAAGGCAGCGTGGAATGAAGGGAGGGGAGGATGGACGGAAGGGAGCAAGGAAGGTAAGGAGAAGCAACTGAGAAGACAGATGAAGACAATCAAATGAAGGGACAGCACAATCACACGCATGCACGCAGGCACACACACTCATACACAAGCATACGAGCACTGGTGCGCACACTCGCACACTGACAGAGAAAACACACACAAGTCAAATTAGCGCTCTCGGATATGTCAGCAAATGCACACACATAAACACACTTGCAAACAGATGCGCGCAGAACTGACATACAAAGAAATCAAGAGAAAACATGAGGGGTGGATGCTACTCTAGTGATGGGAGGATGACAAAAAGGGATGAGTTAAAGGACAAAGTAAGATACAAAAAAAGAGAGAAAAACATGAAGAGAAACCTACTAAAGAAATCTTATCTGTATGCTACACAAGAGCCTGTATTTAGATCTGGTAAAATCTAAATACCTCTACAAAAGAACAACTCTACTTATGAAGAACAATAAGAACACATTTCACAGAATATTTCTGCAAACAGGGAACCTGTAATATCTCATAAATGTAGAAGAAAGAGGAGAGAATAGTGATGGAGAGAGAGAGAGAGAGAGAGGGGAAAAAACAGACTGGACAGAGAGAAAAATCAGGACTTTTTGGAGACATCAGGGGGGCCAAACTTGTGACGTCGGAGCTGGAAATACTGTTACAGAAATAACCAGTTGACAACAATTGCAGCACTGGACAAAAGTGAGAGGAACACAAGAAGGAGAAAAAAGCAAGAGCGATAGAGAAAGAGGTAACTTTTTTTTCCCATTGTAGTCTTGGAAACAGCAGTGTGTTATGGGGCTTTTATACTCGAAGGTTTACAGTTTAGAGATTTGCAGAAGCCTTATGAAAGCCTTCTGGTAATGAGTATGAATTCTATGGCAGTGAAATCTAATCGTAGCATTTTCCACAGTTTAATAGGAGTCACAGAGTTGTTACAGAAACACTATAATCTCTTGGTTTTTAGAGAAAAGAAATGACACCACTCCTTTATGTGAGAGTTGTCTATATCGGGGGGCCAACCACAGTAACCACGCTTGACCTCATTCACAGACAGGAAATAACACATGGCGCAGGAGGAGCTGCCATTTGCTCTCTGAACTTTAGGATGCGTCGTTGCCTTGTCTGAGTAAATCAAACTGTTTCCGTTACATAAATTCATCCTTTTTGATATTTTAAACGTGAGTCACGTTCTTTCTTTGTAAACAATGCTGCTCCATTTCTGTCAGAACACCTCAGACAGAGAGAGAACAGCGAGCCGCCTCCCGCACCCACCAACACTAAACAACAAAACCGACTCTGGACTGGAACCAGGGCTGGATTTGGACCAGACCAGATCAGACCAGAACTACACAGCCGGTCAGGACTGGGTGCTGTTTGAAAGGGAGAATAAGAGAAAAAAAAATAGAGGAGACAATGCACACACACGAGCAGCGAGCGAGCCGGAGGGGACACAACCACTGAGAGTAAAAATACTGCAGTCCACGTGCCGTGCAGCAGTGTGTGTTTGTCTACGAGTGTGTGTGTGAGAGAGAAAGTGACTGCAAGTGTGTATGCAGGTATACGTGTGTGTGTGTGTGTGTGTGTGTGTGTGTGTGTGTGTGTGTGTTTGTGTACACATGCGTTCGGCGGACTCACTCCCGGGGGCTGGGCTGGTATTGGCTGTTGCAGTGGAGAGAGCTACGTGAGAGGGGGTAGAGATAGTGTTTACGTCGTGGAGCTGACTGAGCACGGAGGAGCGCCGTCTCACCGCTCCCTGAAACGAACCGCTTCGCTTGAACGTGCTCACTACCTCCATCTGCAGGACAGAGACAAAACAGCAGCACTCAGTGAGGGCAGGAGAGGCCGGTCTGAGTGTGCCTGAGTTTGTTTGTATGTGTGTGTGACTGTTGTGGTCCTTTTAAAAGATTTCCTGTCACAGCAGAAATGATAGAAACAACACTTTAATTCCCTTTGATGGCAAATGTGCATCAGTGATCCACATCACAACTGCTTTCTGAATATAAACAATAATTCTAAATGACGACCCTATGTGTATATGAGGTTGTGTGTGTGTGTGTGTGTGTGTGTGTGTGTGTGTGCTTGCATGTGTATTTGTTGCCTGCACACTCAGACCAAACCCCCGTCATGAAAAACTGACCACTTTACGCAAAGACAGGCACTTAAGCAGAGAGTCTGGACTGGCTCTCTAACACTGCTTATGAGGCTGTTAGCAGATTGTTGTTCATGTGGATGCTGTTTTGCTGTCTTAATGTCCATTCTCACACAAATGCAGTGCAAGAATCAATCAATTAAAGCAATCAAGCAAGCCAACAGTCTGTCTACTTAGCATTACCCGGTACACAATGTGTAAACGCTCATACACACGAGTGCCGCTGCAGCGACACACACACACAATCACAGCATTTATCCATCCTCGTGATGGCTTATAAAATTCCACTTCCACGTTAGAGAAAGCCATTTCACGGGTTTGAGCAGGACAGAAAAGTTAGCTGTGTTGGAGAGAAAAAACTGGAATCATTATGTTTGGCACAAGTCAGAAGAACAGGACTGACGGGATGGGAGAAAGACTTTTGAAGAGAAAGAACAAAGCACAAACAGTGTTTAAACTGAACTAAAATTGAAGAAGAGTCAATCAGTTCTCTCTTTCTTTCCAAAAGTCTGTTATGTTAGTGTGTAAAGGCCATGATACTGGCAGTTTATTTAGGCAGTGTTACTACATAATTAAGGAACAACATCCCCCCAAAATAATCTTCATTCATATTAAGATTGCTCTGTTCTCTGTGATACATAATATTCTTCAAACTTTTGGCACATTCCGATCTGTGATTCACCTTAAGCCAAACTGCTTGTGTGTCATGACCACGTCAGGCTTCTGGTTGAGGTGTTGTGCTGTCTGGATATCGATGTGTGTTTGTGTTCCTGTGAAAGAGGTTTGGTTATGGTTTGTTTTGGTGGGCCGGTTGAACAGTACCTGGGTTTGGATGCGGTTGAGGCCTCTGAACCAGAGGATCTGTCCGCGGCGCAGCTCTCTCTCAGCACAGTCGATCTCCTCCTCATCCTCTGCCATCTCCTCCCCTTCCTCTTCCCCGGGCTCCAGGCCCAGCCCCGCCTCCTTCAGGCATGGCAGCCGCTCTGTTGGCACCGTGGCGATCACCTGGAAGCCAAGTACATTACAATGACATTTGACCAGAAGATGCTAGTATGGCGTTATATTGAGCAGCTTTCCTTTTTCTTACACTCATGATGGATCGGATAATACCAGATTATTCCAAGTGTTAATTTCAGCACAGAATAGAATAGATCTAGAGGTGTTATCTAAGTCAGTGTGAAAATGTTTCATTAGCCTCACCTCAGATAAAACTCTAGGTAAACCAGGCCTGCCAGCCTACACTTGCTCAGTGAGGTTTGACTCAGCAGGCTGAAGAGCTGCTTACCTGCCCCCAAAGCAGCTCTCCAACTCCCACGAACAGACACCACAGCCACTGCTCCATGTTGAGAGGAGCACAGCTGAAGGGCTTCCCTCCCCACTGCACAATCACGATCTGCAGCAGAAACAAAGGGAAGGACATCAGCATTGTCACACATACCACCAGTGTCGATGGAGAAACCAGCACTGCACCATTTATCTCTGCTGCACCCACCACAGTCTGTGCTGTAAAAAAAACACAGCAATAACACCAGGATGTGTCAGCAGTCAACACCTCTATCTTCTAGTCTGTCACAATTTAAAGTAGGAAGTACAAGGTGGCATTATCACTGTAATCCCTGCTACATCTAATAACAATAACACCAAGATGTGTAATAGCACATGCAGACATTCTGTGTTAGAGCATTGTATTTAATTGTGCATGAGGTATAACTAACCCTTAGTGGCTATTAAGATCATAAACCATCCTTTCACAATTTCACTTGGCTAACATCTGGTCATGGAAACCTATCTGTGTGTATATACTAGGAACATTGTAAGAAAACATTATGTTCTCTGGGCTGGTGTGAATAAAGCTCCTCAGAGTAAAAGTTTGGTCTTAAATGCGTTGAGGATGGCTCATTTTGCTTGCATACACATTTCTATGTGTTAAAACTTGGTCTTGACTTAAAATTAATTAAAGGAATAGTTCAACATTTTGGTAAATATGCTTATTTGCTTTCTTGTTGGGAGTTGAGAAGATCAATACTACTTTCATGTCTGTCCATTAAATATGAAGCTAGAGCGTTTAGCTTAGCTTAGCATAAAGACTGGAAACGGGGAACAGCTAGCCTGGTTCTGTCAAAAGATAACAAAATCTGCCTAGTAACCCCTCTAATGAACATCTTATAACTTGTTTTTTTAATCCGTACAAAACTAAAGTGTAAAAATTACATGTTGTGGTTTTACATACAGGAGTTACATGGTATTTCTCTCTGGCCACATTGACGTACCATGTTAATTACTGTGCTGTTAATCATGAAACTACAAACGTGTATCCTGGTGACATGCGCATATCTTATTATCTCTGACATGTTACTACATAGTGTGCAACAGTAGTATAAGTAGAGAAGTTTCTATGTCATGAGAAACACACACAGCAATATCTATAATCTATGTAAAGTTGACTACATTAGCTAACATTAGCTGCCATAAGCTAGTGGTCACACCCTGCCTACTACGACTGTAGTAGCAAAACAGCAAGGTTGTGTTTTATTTCTATTTTCATTTGTAAGAGGAGGATTTTGTTATTACTAGTCTTACTTTAACCACAATATATATAAAGATATAAGATATATAAGTACTTAATTTAAGTATTAATTAATTTTCATATTAGCTGGACTGGTGAGTTTGAAAGAGCAACAATGAAGAAGCATCAAAGTCTGCCAAGTACTACTGCATATTAAATGAAAAAAGTATAAAGCTTTAGTGTCTCCAGAGGGAGCTGTGTGAAGTCTGATAAATGTCCTCAAGTGATGTAACTTGGGTCAGCGTTGGTCGGGGCAGAAGACTACCAGTTTGAAAATGAAACAAATTTGTTGCTGCAAAGTTAGAAAGAAGTGAGCTTACCAGACCTCTGTAGCCCTCTGCTCATCTGCTGCAGGCTACAAGGCTACATTAGCGTCTACTAGCTTAACACACCAAATCTCCAACCAAACTGTCGCAGTTGCATTGTGGTTAATGTAGGCCCCAGGCTTTGACAGGGAAGAAGAATGCATAAAATAAAGAAGATATCTCTGGTTCCACAGCATTGATTTTGATCCCTTTATTTTCTTTCTTTTCTGTCCATTGTAAGTCCGACAATGTTATTTATAGGAGTGCATTAAGTTATTTTTAGCTTCTTTATATAAAGCTTCTAAGTCCTACGTATTTCTAAGACTCTTAAGTCAAAGTTTGGGGCCATTCTCAAGGCCATTTCTCATGCGAATTGAATCTATTCAACAGTTAAAATTGTGTTATACTGTGATGCCTGAAAGTGAATTTAGATACTTTCTGACCCCTGCGACATAAATCATGGCATCCGTTCCACTCCAGCTCATGTCACTGTGTACAAATGACAAATAAAATTTATAGAGCTAGTCTGTATTAATAAGTGTTTTGATATAGTAAATGCAGCCTTAGGGACCACCTGGACAACAGTACCACACTCCTATAGGTCTGCTTGCCTCAGTGGATGTAGCGACAGCATTTTAAATAGCAACATGATCATTTACACCATGAACAACGCTTATCAGAGTGACACTATCATCTTGACACCAAACTGCACAGTCATAAATCTCACTGGGAGTACAATACAGTGTCTCACATACAGTAATATTATCTTTCTGCAGGGTGGAGGGATCCATCTTTCCTGCTTTACTCTCTTTCACCTCTCTCAAGCTGCCTCCAGTCTTCAGCTCTCGCTCTCACGTCTTCTTTTCCAAATCCCTCTGAACTGCCTCTTTGTCGCTTTCACACTCCAAATCACTGCCATCCCCCTTCGGCTCTCTCTCTTCTCTTGTTTCTCCCCAGAGTACCACCGAGAACTGAAGAGCTTTAGAAAATATCCCTCTTCCTTTCACTCTGTCTTTGTTTGCTTGTCTGTGTTTTTCACAATTCCCTGCTAAGTGTATCGCTTCTGTGTTCACTGTGTGTCGACTGAACAAACAGTGCTCGTGTGGTTTGTAAAGTCTGAAATCCTAAATCTGGACTTGCATTCAGGTAACATGGTGAAAGGGGATGTGACAATGGACAAGCCTTTTGAATTTAACGACCATGTCTAAAACATTAGATGAATTAAAGGATATGTAATATGCAGTTTAGCCTTTTTTGGTGCAATGGCGTAACTTCTCCTGAAGCTCTGAGCTGTTGAATTGAATGTAGATCTTTAGATTAGATTTTCAGGTGTACCTAATAAAGTGGCCACTGAGTGTATAATATTTACAATATGCAAGGGAATAACAGATTTGTCTGGGGAAGTTTTAAATTACAGTTTAAAAATAAAAAAGTTTGTTCCCATTTATGTTTCGACCCAGCTTGTTAAGGTAAGGCAGTAACACTGTGGCAATATTCAGTTTGGGTAAAACTAAACTGTGATATAGTAGTACAGCAAAACATTATTGGTTTTATTAGGTAAGCATTCACATTGTTCTGTTCAGTCGACCGTATGAAATTAAGCTAGATAAAAACACCATAAACATGCTAAGAGCCATTTTGCTGCACCCAAAAGTCTCCACCTGAAAAAAATCTGGTCTGGTTTTTGAGCCTAACATACTTGGAGATCCTCAGTCAGGCTGACTTTACGGCTGAATGAGTAGGATTTCCCTAAAAAACAATGTCTAGACTCATATAAAAACAATCCCTTGTGACACACAAGAAGTGTATGGCGGTGTCCGTATCTGCAGAGACCCTGCACTCGCCTGTGTTTCCTTATTTTGCTGTGTTTGGGACCTTTCTGGGCTTCAACCTTCAGTGGGTGTGTAGCCCTAGGCTGACAATAGCTAACATTACAGATACAGCAACGTTGTCATACACACCACTGGGTGAGTGCTTTTGGTGACGTTGAGCCAGTAAGGAGAAGCCAACTTTAAATGTTGTATATACACACTGCACCCAACAAATCCTATTCAGTCGGCCTTTAAGTACAACTACCTACAACGCAATGCCACAGTTCAGGGGGGCTATCACTGTCAAATCAACTGTCAAGGTAAAAAAAATCTAGAAAAGATACCAAAGAAAACTTGTTGTTTTGTAATGTTTTGTATTAAACAGTAAAGAAAACCATCAAACAGTGTTAAAGGGTTACCTTACCTGCACGGCGAAGGTCCCCAGAACGATGGAGCAGAAGATGGGGTTGGCAAATATGCCGTCAAAGACATTTCTCTCTCCATGGATCTTGCGAGCGTTGATCTCGTTGAAAAGTTGCATGAGAACAAAGGTGTTGAAGATGATGGTGTAGTGCTCAGAGGGAGGGGAGTGGAGCGGAGCGTTTCGGCCGCTGTCGATGTTAAAAATGTGCTCGCCTGGACCGTGAAGAAAGGAGTAAGAAGAGGAAATGAGAGGTATGTTTGATCTGCTGCAGGACAAATACACTTCTCAACACTGTAACTGTGTAATTTTGTGTCTCCACCAATGCACCATTTGTTCTGGTTTAAGCACGCTAAAATGAAACCTGACCGTCCTAATTCCACAATACATGCACCGATCAAAACCACCTGCTTCAGTAGTGTGTATGTGCGTGTGCACCTATGAACAGCAGCGTGAAGATGATGATCAGTTGGTACACTCCATGGCCCAGGATGTTCTTCATCATGGTCAGTGAGATTAGCGGGTTGTTCCGACCATAGGGTTTCCGTAGCAACAGGGCCTCAGTGGGGGGCTCAGTGGCCAGGGCCAGCGAAGCAAACGTGTCCATGATCAGATTCACCCACAGCATCTGCACGGCCTTCAGAGGAGAGTCCTGTAGAGAGATTTGCAACCAGAGGCTTGTGTCATGAACCCTGTTCCCTGGGGATAAATAAAGTTCTGTCTTTTGTTAGGTGATGCTGCATTCCCGCAATGTCGACACAATGGAAAGAACAGGAAAAACACCCCTTATTCCGACGTGGCATTGTTCACAGATTGTTCCAAGATTGTATTAATGTTTATTTTGGATTTTATTTTGATGTAGCTGCCAGTGGTGGTGCATTGCAGCCATTCTGCCAACAGCTTGCTGCCATATCTGTAGTTCTTTTCACCAGGTGGGAGTCAGAAATTCCAGATATCTCCGGCTCGGAAATACAAGTCAGAGGCTGAAATTAACGTTTTTTCCCACTCGGCTGCTCGTAATTACAGTTTAAACCATCTGACGTGAAAGCGGCATGATCGTCTTCTCTTTGCGTCATCACTGAAAGGTGAAACATCGGTAAACAACAGTAATATTTTATCTATAAATGTGATGCATTGCATTGTGGGATAGTTAGCAGAAAATAGGTCCCTATTAATTTTATTCCACAGCAGGAATTTTTGAGGGAACTATTTAATGGATAAATTTCACATTCAAATAAAATGTGCGATAAATAAAGTGCACAATAATAAATTGGGAGTGAATGCAGACACAGCCTAGGTGGCAGCTTGCTGTGAGGCTGCAGGTTTTAGCTGCTGGTTGTTTTTGTTCAACTTGTGTTTTGCCTCTGTCTGATTTATATTTTAGTTAAGTCTGTTTGGTAGTTGAGTCCAGTGGGTCCTAACCTGGGGGACAGATAAAGATACATATGTGGAGTTGTGAGATGATTAATGGGGTGGGAAGAGGGGACCATCATGGGAAAAAATTTTTTTTGGGACATCGCTAATTTATGCTTTTTGTGAAATCTCAGAGCATTTTACTTCTTCAGATATTTAAATATCATCTGAGATGTTTAAAGAACAAATCACTCTTTGGTGGAACAACTCACAGACATCTGAAATGTGACAAGGGGCCCCAACCACACACACACACACACACACACACACACACAAGTAAAAGTACAATATGCCCTTCTATGTGGTGCAATACAAGTATAAAGAAGCAGAAAATGGAAACATTATTGTCAGTAGCTCAAAATAGGATTTCAGAACAGAATTTGAGTGAATGTCTAATGGTCTAATCTACACGGAAACAATTACAGGAAAAATGTATGGAAAAATTTGTTAGCAGCCTTGTTTTAAATATATATTGACTGTTTATTGACATTTATTTCTGTTATAATGAATCATGGAAAGAAAAGTCATTGCAGGGTCATGCAGGGAAGGTGCAGTGGATAAGACTATGCCTTTGGTGTGAAAGACCCAGGTTCAACTCCCCACTGTGACACATCCACCAATGTGTCCCTGAGCAAGACATTTAACCCCTAGTTACTCCAGAGGCGTGTGACCTGACATATACAGCAATTGTAAGTCGCTTTGGATAAAGGCGTCAGCTCAATGAGTAAATGTAATGTCATTACAAAGACATCACTTTGAGCACATCTGTTTGTGGCTTTAATGTAACTGCAGTAATTTTGTCCATACAGGTCGACTAAGAAGCCTGACCAGGACGTCCCTGTTTACATTAGCTTTATATAAAAATGCATAAAAAGCATTTCTGCATTGTTCCTCTTAGCAGATATAGGGTGAGTGCTGTTTACAGAAGTGACATGTGCGTGTGTGTGTGTGTGCGTGCGTGTGTGTGTGTGTGTGTGTGTGGGAATGCATGTGTGTCAGAGGGTATGTGTATTAATAAATCTGTCTACCTGAGTGATGCATGCCCCGGTGAAGGCCACTATGACAGCCACTACGTTGACCGTGAGCTGGAACTGCAGGAACTTGGAGATGCTGTCGTAGACATTTCGTCCCCACATCACCGCCTTGACAATGCTGCTGAAGTTGTCATCAGTGAGGATGATGTCAGACGCCTCTTTCGCCACGTCTGTCCCCGCAATACCCTGACACAGGTTGAGACAGAGTGAGGAGGAGACGGAGACTCATGATGTGATTCATGCTACTGTCTCAATATCATGTTGTCCCGCCTCCAAGTACTTCACACTTGGCGCGAATAAGAGCTGTGGCCAAAGTCAAATGCACACTATAACAAAAAATGGTTTTATTCCAAATAAAATGCATATTATTAATATTGTTAAGCTTTTTATTAAAATTACTCATGGTCACTAGGGGGTATAAAACGAATATACTACTACTACGTAATTAATACAACATAGAAGGGCTTCAACGCTAACTAAACATTAATGGTGAATAATATGTCTGGTTACCATGGCAAAGCCCACATCAGCCTTCTTCAAAGCTGGTCCGTCATTGGTTCCATCGCCTGTTACTGCAACGACCTGCCTCTGCTCTAGGACGGTACTGTCGATGATGCCTGGATACAAGGACAAAGGCTCTAAGTGTGTGTGTATGTGAATGAATGTGTGTGTGTGCATGTGTTTGGGTTAATAAACCAAAGACTCACCTTTAACCAGTGTGTGTTTGTCGGTTGGTGAGGATCGAGCCAACACGCGAAGTTTGGGCCAGATTTTGTCAATACGTTCCTGTTCGATCTGTCAGTCAGAGGAAAAGAGTCTGTGGTGATGACTAACACCATAGAGAACCTACTAACTGTTCTCCTCTTTCACTAGATGTCACTGTTGATCCAGAGTGTTAGGCAGATTTAACTGTGCACAGGTGTGATGGAGGATAATGCATCAAAGAAACACTGTGAAATTGGCTCTTATATAGTCCTCTCTTGTAATCAGTGTAGCCACACTGCACTCTTACATAATGATAATTTACACGTGGCCTTTTAAAGTGTTAATTTAAATTCACACTCCATAGAAAAGCACAGTCCCATGACTTATTAATATGTAAGAAGTTGTCTTCTTGACTGACAAATCATTTTAATCGAGTACAGCAAAGGACAACTTCATGTGCATAGTAGGGTTGACCCTGAATAGTAGAAGATTCGATGCTTCGGGGTGGGGGTGCTAAACGTCTGATTTTACATAGCACCAGCAAGGGTGACGAGGCTGAGTACAGGGCTGTGGTGGGGGACTTTGTCACATGGTGCGAGCAGAAACATCTGCAGCTCAACATGACAAAGACTAAGGGGCTAGTGGTAGATCTAAGGAGAGCCAAGGCACCGGTGATTCCTGTTTCCATGGGGGGCAGTGTGGACACTGTGGAGGACTAAAAATACCTGGGAGTGTGCATGGATAATAAACTGGACTGGGCCAAGAACACTCAAGCCCTTTACAGGAAGGGCCAGACCTTCTCTATTTTCTGAGGAGGCTGAGCTCCTTCAACATCTGCTTGACAATGCTGAGGATGTTTTATGAGTCTGTGGTGGCCAGTGCTATCCTGTTTGTTGTTGCATGCTGGGGCAGCAGGCTGAGGGTAGCGGACGCTAACAGATTCAACAAACTGATCCGCAAGGCCAGTGACGTTGTGGGGGTGGAGCTGGACTCTCTGTCGGTGGTGTCAGAGAGGAGGATGTTGTCCAAACTACATGTCATCTCCCACCCACTCCATGACTTGCTGCTCAAACACAGGAGCACTTTCAGTGTAAGACTCGTCACCCCAAAATGCACCACAGAGCGCCACAGGAAGTCATTCCTGCCTGTGGCCATCAAACTTTATAACTCATCCCTCTAAGTGTCTGACACACAGACACTTAGCTAGTTATTATACTGGACATTATTATCTGTTTTGTGCATTATCATCTGTTCACCATTAAAATTCTTTAATAATGTAAATATTGTACATGTCCACACTCCTATATATTTTTCTTTATATTTTATATTTATACTCTTATATTTATATAGCGCATGTGTGGCGTTATTGTGTGTGTGGGGTAGAAGAGGGAGAGAGACCAAGCACCAGCTGAGCCTGTGATGTGCAGAGTTGTGCGTGAACTTAGCGGGGCATTCGAATAATCACCATTGATGAACCACACAAAGAATTTTATATCGTTTTTAAACCGTACTTTGAATACACCCGCGAGGAACCGCAAGGTGCATACAATTCTTAGCAAATTGGCGGACTTGCATAACTCTGCACAATACCAGTGAATGGCAGGCAAGCAGAGCAGAAAGAAAAGGTTCAACAATAAGCCTCAGTTTAGCTAGAAATGTACAGTGTCAGTTACAGTGACTAATGAATAGAGACTGCAGCTCTGAAGCTTCTCAAGATTAAAGTGGTGCTATGAAAATCCTTAGTCAGAGACACACCTAGTGGATACACAAGGAAGCATTTTTAAAATGCACAAGTTTTCCCTGCACTAGACCCACTTGAGACTCCAACTCACCTCTCCTTTCTCGTTTCTGATTCGTCGGTTGAATTCCTTGCCATCTATACAGATAAAGTCATCTCCAGGGTGGATGATGCCACATTTAGCAGCAATGGCCCTGGCTGTGTTAATGTTATCACCAGTCACCATCCGCACCGTGATGCCTGCACGCTGACACTTACGGATGGCATCAGGCACCTTAGAGGGACACACAAAAAAACACCAAGTGCTTTTAAAATACAGGTTAACATCACATATTATAAATCACACAAACTCAGACCAGTACGAGCTGAAACTAAACACACACACACACTCTCCACAGTACTGTACCTCAGGTCGCACAGGGTCCTCTATCCCGACCACAGAGATGCAGGTCAGCTCTGTCACTATTTCTGCCTCGTTTTCCCAGTCTGGCTCCGGATTACACGGCAGGTCACGGTATGCAATGCAGATGGTCCTCAACCCTTCACACGCCATTGGTTCAATCACCTATTAATCAATTATTATTAATACAATTATGGTCAGGAAGAGCTCCCCCCATCACAACACACACAAAAATGTAATTTTCATTCCGTTCTGACAGATAAAAACTGGATTAAGTTGCTTGCATACAGTTTGAGGTTTATGTGTGACGACCCTTGAGAACCTTTGTGGGAATGCTTTCTGACACAGCTGTAGGGAAAAGACCCCCAGCCTACTGCAGACAGCCGAGAGACGCATGATGTAAAGAAGAGGTGACATAAAGCTGCCACAATGCAAACTGGAACAACTGAGCTGGAATAAAGTTGTGTAAGGAGGAGAGTTATTTTTCTCACGGCACAAGCTGTGTTCATCATGAGCCAAATTTAGGTCAGTCAGCCTGTCAGTCACTGAAACAATGCTCGCTCAGCATGCACGGACTAATCTAATATACTGTATGTGGAACAAATACATTTGTTTTGCTGATAAATATTTTAGTTACAACTAGACTGATATAGCAAAGCAGTTTTATATATAACAGATCTGGAGTGTATATACGTCTGCCAATGATGAGGCCACAGTCTTCGCTCACATTCTGTTCAGTGATGTTTAGGGTGTTTAGTGTGATTGCAACTGTGGTTGCTTGTCTATAAAGTGTGAAAGATATTTTTGCTGGTGGATATTTAGGTATGAGCAGACTGAGTCAGCGAAGCAGTTGTCTTACAGAGCAGAGCAGAGCGGTACAGTAGCTCTTCTCACAGTACTGTAGGTGAATGTGGTGGTTATCATGACAGCTTAAAAGTACTGTACATTTTGGAGGTACTTTTACCCTACTTGAGTTTTTATATTTTATGCTACTTTATAAAAACATATATGATGACCTGAAATACACACCATTGGCTTGTTTTTGGCTTGTCAAAGCATGTCTTGTATTTATATTTGAGGCACACAATGGCTTATCTCAAAAAAGATAGTAATCAATTAAAACAACCTGAGGAACTAACTGGGGCACCTGTTCCCAAATTAGGTCACACATGCTAAATAGAAAGTAACACATCAACTAAACCATGATCTCAGGTTCTACAGTCATGGCAACAGTGCTCAAAATAACATTTTAAAGGAATAGTTTGATATTTTATAAGTTCATGTTTATTTGATTTCTTGCAGAAATGAGAAGACCACTCCCACACCTAAATATATAAAGCCAGGATGAACTTAGCTTAGCATGAAGACTGGAAGCAAGGGGAAACAGCTAGCCTGGCTCTGTATGAAATGACAATGTGGAAACATTGTGACTAGATGAACATTGTCTCCATAGTGATGACCCTACACAGAATTATCAGCTGACTTTCAGCTCATTGTTTATCTGTCCGGCTGCAGATTTCCTGTTCTGGAGCGCTCAGTGCTCTCATAGAGTCATTTTCAGAGAAAAAACCTTTAAAAAGCCACTGTACACGACCTGCTCAGCAACAAACAGCAGACAGACATGATTAGAGACTGACTGGTGAATAGAGAGGAGCATATAACAGCTAAAGAGCCAACAATTTCCCTTAGGAGCTGGTGGAGTTCCATCCAAATAGTGATTTTATGATGATATAGTGAATGAAGTATTCTACACATTGGAACTTTGAATCATCAAGTCTCACCTGTTTGACCATCTCATCTCTGTCACGTGGGCGGAAAGTGCGTGGTTCTCCATTTGCATCTTGGATGTAGGAACACCTGGAGAGAGAGCGAGGACAAAAAACAGTGACCGAGGGGAAAAAGACTCATGAGTTCAACATATTTTGTCTCTTACATTCAAACCTTTTAACCCAGTCCCCTCTGAACTACTATTGTCTCTATGTACCCAAGGCCACCTCCACCTCCCTTATCCTCCTCCATCACTCACTTCTTCAGCAAGATCTCAGAGGCTCCTTTGCTGTAGAGGCGGAAGGAACCGTCAGGCAGCTTGATCACTGTGCTCATGGATTTACGCACCGAGTTGAACGTGTACACCTGAGAGAGAAGTACGTATGATTCAGGAAAATAAAATTAGAGGTAGACAAACATGACTAGAAACCCAGCTCAGCAGTGTGTTAGACGATGCACCTGAGGTTTTACACCTGTATCAAAGTAATTAACAATGGTGTAGAGTCACTGTCAAGGAATGAGAATCACCTACAACCTTATCATTTGAAATGTGGTTGTAGCTTATGTTAAACTAAGGGTGTTAAAACCTGTTTTTATGAACATGGCTTCCATTCTTAGACATCCTAACAAAAGATAATGACTGCGAACATGTGCACAACAATATCAAGCTCTGACACCTTTCTGCAGTGATAAATGTACATATCATTATAGTGTTTAAGCATTAAGCTTAAAGTCCCTTTAGAAACTATGGTGTACTCGGTAGATCTCGGCACAAAGTCGTAGTGTGGAAAAGTTTTCACTAACTGAACAACTCGTCGGATGGATCTCTACTTTCTCTTTGTGCTCTGGGAGGGTACAGAGAGCATTTATGACCCTGTGAATGCTTTGTTTCTCTGCCGTTGTAGTGAAGTTATGCAAGTGCCCTTTGTATTGCCTTGCAATAAATTGCTGATGGATATTTTGGCATGTGTCATCCTTGTTCACTATACAACACAACGAGTTAGACCCACTACTTCATCAAACGTGCAACAGACTGCAATTGTGTATTCTACTGAGTCTGCCAGTGTGCCAAGCAAGCATTTGAGCTTCAAAGTGTGACGTCAAATGCTCCCGAACAGGAAAGCATATTGCCAAAATATGCAGATTTGTGTTGTACAATTCTAGTCTTTATTTGTAGACATACTGTATGCATGCAGTATGTATGTATATCACAGAAATATCAATATATGTGTCTCAGAAACCTCCTGCCACCATGTCTGCATATGAAGCAACCCCACATGGGGTCCTGAGAATCTAACATAACATATCATGGTGTAAAACAATTGATAGTCTGTTGACGATACTATCAGTTGGATAGGCTCAAATAAACTGTGATAGAGCCTTGTGTTAAAGCTGCAGGAGGTAATTTTTATGAAGCTATAAATAAACTTTAAATAAATTGTGAAGGTGGATGTGGTGCATGGTTTCCTACCTTGTACAGACTCTCCTCAGGGACCTGCTCTCTGACAGGGGCGTAGTCCTGCTGTAGGTCTAATACAAATCCCAGCAGCCCACACTCAGTCTTGTTGCCCACCTGCTTAGCCAGACCCCCCTCCACATCAGGCGGCTGACAAAGAGTAAGATTGAAGCAGATTAGAGAGGGCGGTGAGAAAGTCGGAGAGAAAGACAGAGAAGGAGACAAGAGATGGACGAGGAAAGAAAAAACGAAAAAGAGTGACATTAAAACGAAGGCACAAACACCAACTAACATTAACTAAGGACTACTGAAGAGTTTGCAAAAGAGAGAATAAATGTAGAAAATGATTTTGTGCCAAACAATGGCATCTCTGTCTCTGTGCATGACTCACTAAGATCTTGGAGGTGTAGGCGCTGTTGATGGCGATAGCATTGACTAATAGATCCAGTGTCCGGGGGTTGATCTGTCCAGGGTCCGGGACCACACGGTGGTGCACATCACCTTGGCAACAACAATCTAACTTTAATACATATCAATTACAATCTCTGTACAGTCAACCAACATGCTATCTCCATCTTTTGTCGTAAATCAAACAATATGTTTGATAACAAGAACCATGACAAAATGTCAGCGAATTAAAACTAAACAATACTGTGAAAGGCAGATAAATGGACAAATGAACCAATTACTGTTGCAAAGTCTTAATCAAGTTCCTAACAGAAAGTACTCTCGGCACTCCACCTTCTACATCTTCCTTTAGATGTTAAAAAGAACAAAATATTACTACGTTATCTGGCGTTTTAGCTTCTCCCCTCAAACTGTATTTTAGTTTCTGAATAATTCGCTGCTCTGCAGTGGAGAGAATAGGTAGTTTGAAACTGGATTTAGTGAGGAGAGTCAGCCTGTTGTATTACTGTAGGGCAAAGTGACACAGACAACGTGTGTAAACAAGTCATCAAACCTCACAACTGACAAGGCGACCTGTACCGTGGTAACTACACATCAAATATGGCAACAGCCGAGGCCCTAAAATACTTGGAAGACATGGAAATTAAAAATTGTTGGACAAAAAATTCGACTGAAATTACACAGATGAAAAGTAACAAAAATCTAATGTATAAAATGTTATTTTGCTCGGCTGGATCAGACTGTTGTTGTATCAGCAGTTCTCTGAACTCTACTTAAAGTGACTAACCTTTCCACCGCTCTCCCAGTTTTATAATATTTGATGTTTATTGCTTATTTCTCTCATTTTGTTTGTTTGAAAACCTAATGTGAAAATGTATAGTAGTTAATGTATATTGCCTGGATTTTATGTTTTCATTTTGTGATAGATGGTGAATTACAGGCAGCATGAAAGATCAATACGTGCTGGTTGAATTGTATTTTATTATTAGTTATGAAGTTTTGCTCTTCACTCACCTATGAAACTCTGCACCACAGTCATGCGGTTGGTGGTGAGGGTTCCAGTCTTGTCGGAACAGATGGCCGTGGCGTTGCCCATTGTCTCGCACGCATCCAGGTGGCGCACAAGGTTGTTGTCCTTCATCATTTTCTACATATGAGATAGTGATGGAGAGCAGAGGGATGTGTGAGTGGGAGGATGGGAGTGAATGATGATGGATAGAGGGAAGGCAGAAGGACAGAGGCAGAGAGAAATGGATTGATGGAGGGAGGGAAAATTCAGTAACTGTTCACATAAATAAAAATTTCAAGATATTTTTGAAAGAAACGTTACAGTGAATACAACCTGATGGTTATTTGCACAATCTTTATGTCTTTAGCTTAACATACAGACTGGAAACAGGAAACAGCTAGCATTGCTCTGTCAAATGGTGACAAAATTCACCTAACTGATTAACACCTTATATATTCAAATTGTCTAATTTATACAAAATCTAAAGTGACTTCCTGGAGTCTCCACTGGTTACTTGGCAATCTCACAGTGATGAGAAGGAAGTCACTGCGGCTGGCACAAATTGAAGATGTAAGTTTTTCTACAGATTAAGCAAAGCGTTCATATCTGAGTTTTAAACCTGCTGGTGTGTGAATTTAGTTACCTTTGGACAGAGCCAGACAAGCTGTTTCCCCCTGTTTCAAGTCTTCCTGCTAAGCTAAGGTAACAGGCTTCCAGGTTTTAGCTGCATACTGATTGGACAGACATGAGAGTGGAAGCCATCTTCTCATCTAATTCTTGGCAAGAAAACAACCAAGTGCATCTGCCAAAATATTTCAAACTATCGCTTGAATTTCTGGATTAGGATTTTGAAGATGAGGGGAACATGCCACCCCCCCACCATCCCCAGTGGAAATGACACCACTGACTGGAATATACTTTGAACAGACTGACAGTTCACTACTCACATCCTCCGGACCTGCTTTTACAACATCTATATTAGCCAAATCTTTTTATTACACATCTCCTTCACCAGGTTTGTCCAATGTGGTCACTGTCACATTAGTTAAAGAGCCAACAGCTCATTAAACTGGATGGGTGGATGTACCTTGACGGAGTAAGCCAGAGAGATGGTGACGGCGAGAGGTAAGCCCTCTGGGACAGCCACTACCAGCACAGTGACTCCAATGATGAAGAACTTGACAAAGTACTGGACGTAAATCGGAGTGCACTCTGTCAACCACGTGCGACCTGCAACACACACCGCACTACATCTTAAGGCCAAACAAATAGTCCACTCTTAAGAGTGAGTCATGAGAGTGTAACTCAACGGGAGTGCCAGGAAGTGAAAAGGGTGCATTCTGAGATAGTTGGGAAGTTGAATACACACAGACCTTCAACGACAAACGTGTTGATGACAAAGTACAGCACCAGAATGATGACGGTGATGGCTGACATCACCAAACCTGTGGGGAGATTAAAGAAGGGACAGTTCATCAGCGTGTCCCTCACTTAGTCCGACTTCATTCAATATCTCTGCTTTCATTTTAGGGCTGACTTAATGCATCCCAGTGAATGAAGACAGTGCTTCATTATTCACTTCACTCCTGTACCTGTGTGATCACTTGAGAATAATCATCTTTTGCACGTCTGTCTGTTGTTGAGCGGTAAAATAAACTATGACTCTTCGCACCTTACGTGCAAAGCTTCACACAACTCCCACAATTAATTTCTCATATTGAGAAAGAACTTTGCTGTACGTCATTATCACAAAAGCTCTGTGGGACAGACGGCTACAGAATCTACTCCATGTGTTCATTTTAGTGTAGAAAGTTGCTAAACTAGACCAGATTAGGTATGACAGTTCTTTACCCGCTTTGCCAATCTGAACAGCCAGTTTGGTGAGCTTGCCCTGCAACACACTCTTCTCTTTCTTGGGAACGCTGGTCTTCTTCTTCTCTCTGTCCTCTACCTCCCCTCCCTCTGCACTCTTCAGGGGCTGCATCTCCATGGCAACACCCCCGTCCTGCTTCTTGGCTGAAACACGCACACACACACACACACACACACACAAAAAGAGATACTCTCTTAAGCACTGCGCTTGCAGATGACATAAGCTCATCCAACATCCCAATCAAGCTTTGCAAACACATGCACACGTGTCCTGAGCTTCTACCTTTGTTCTGATTGTTCTCCACAGCTCCATCAGGTTGTTTTCCTGTGAGTTTAACAGAGGCGCATACAAAGAGAAGGGAACAGAAAGACAGACAGTACTACGATTAAGCAGTGTTTGCATGTGTGCATATTCATAGTCACCCAGAGTTCAAATTTCTGATCTTAGGACAGCCAAAGACACAGAAAACCACAAAGAAACAATACTTAAGGGAAGAGTAATAAAGGTACACACATCGTCAGACACCGGGTAGGGAGACTGAGAGACATTTTATATGTTTAAGTCCATCATAAGTCACTTTCACTGCACCGTGTAATGGGGTCCATTTATTGGCTGAGGAAAGGAGCGGGGCAAGGCAGACAACTTTATGCTCACATACCATTGGTGACTGTGCTGTAACTGGCATCTGCAGAGATGAGCAACTGAGTACTGTCCTCTGTTTAGGGAATGTGTGAGGAAGGAAGGTTTTGAGAGGATTTGGCAAAAAGGGAAAACGAAAGAGAGCAAAAAGGGAAGAATAAAAAACTCAAGTAGTAAACGTGTTTGTACGCACGACTGTCCTAGTAGAATGTTTGTAGATGTAGAATGAAAAAAAAAAGAACATAATCTTAAAATGAGAGACAGATCAAAGAGAAACGCAAACAGCCTCACAGCAAACTCACATTACATGAGGAAAAACTAACAAGTTATGGCATTTGTAGAAGTCTTATGAATAATGTATTAGCTCCAGTAAATGACTGAACGATCCAGCCCACAGACGCTGCTGCAATATATAGTGCGCAACAGAGACTTGCAAACACAATGAGGACAACAAGTGATAAAGAGTATTTTTTCATAAAATAAGCATCAATAGCTAATTTGTTGCTTTCCATTTCTGCATTCCAGGATGGCTTTTCAAGATGCCACAACTACTACGCACATTCCCATGCAGAAGTGAGGACTGCAGTGGTAGAGGCATGGATGAGTGCACTGGTAATGATATTAACCTTAAGTGCTTCTGAAAGTATGTGTAGCCTCTGTTGTTGTCTGCAGCTCTGCTCTGGCTGCAGGGCCCTTCCAAAACAAATTTCAGCATAGACTAATGCTTCATGAGTTGACCAACCAACACTCTTCCCTGAATCTCCCCGGCTCCCTCGCTCTCCCCTGCTCTTTCAATAATTGATTCAATCTGCAGCCTCTCTCTCTCAGATTAAGGTGGGGTGGGAGGAACAGGGGAGAGCAAAGGGAAAGATGGGAAAGTGAAAGAGGAGCACAGGAGTGGGGTAAACAAGAGACCAAGTGAGAGAAATAGAGAACGGAGGGTAAGCAGAGAGAGGGGGCACGAGAACGTGAGACAGTGAGAGAGAAAGAGGGAGTGGAGAGAGGGATGGAGAGGATGTGGGCTAAATAATCGATGAGGTTAAACTGGTGTGTTTCCTGTTGAAGCTCTTATCTGAAATCAGTTAGGCACACGACTAACTCTACACACTCACACTTACATACACTGCTGCTTAAGTGTCAGCATGGATGGTTTATTAGAAAATGGGGCCCTGGGCACAGACATGTAAAAGCCCCCCTCTCTTGTTGATTGCTTTGGCTTCTTTGTGGTCATTTTTCATCTCTTTGTTGTCCTTTTGCGTCTCCTTGTAGCCATTTTGTGTCTCTGGGTTGTTTTTTGTCTCTTTATATTAGTTTTGAATCTCTGTAGTCTTTTTGTTTGTGCTGCATATCTCTGTGGTCATTTTATGTCTATGTGTTCGTTTTGTGTCACTGTGGTCATTTTGAATCACTTTGCATGGTCGTTTTGAGTCTATTTGTGGTAACGATGTTTCTTTTTGTTTTAATATGAGTGACTTTCCAACAAGTCACTTTAAACAGAGCCCAGGTGCCCCTGACCCCATTGGCCCATTCAGTAATTTATCCACGTGCGTGAGTTTTGATTGTATCATTTTACGTCCTATTACGTCCATATTCGAAGAAAACGATTTGTGCTTCTAATGTATCACTAAATATTACATAAAACTACAAAAAAGCTGCAGTATATCTTCAACAAAAATATCTCTCATGACAGTCCGAAACACAATCCTGTAAATTCAGTGTCTCTCTGCTAGGTCCTCTACTTCACTTACCTTTCTTCTCCTTCCCATCTTCCTCCATCTCTCCAGCACCCAGCAGGGTGAAGATGATGCCCGTCTGCGAGTTGACACCCACAGCTGTCACCAGCATCCTGCCTGAGCCCTCCATCACATGGGTACCTCAATGTCCAAAAAGAGAACTTGTTTAGATACAATTAGCAGCAGACCCCAAGTGGGCACAGATTTTAGCCAACACATTTGTGTTCTTTCATGTATTTAAATAATTCTATTTATTCATTAAATTCTATTTTTCTGTGTTTGACTGGTTGAAGCTCCCTGCATCAAATGGTGCTCAGCACATATGGGTTTCCAACTACAGACAATCAAGACAATCACATGACAAAGAAACAAAGAGACCATTTCTAAAGGTCCAATTTACATGACAAACATTTTCTGTTATGAAGGATACAGAGTACTACTTAACCAGCATGCATTATTCATTAATAATTAATATGAACTCCTATGGCATTAAGCATTGTCTTTAACAGTTGTCTGACAACATTTACTATGGAAATAGATCGTGACCATTTATCCTAATAAGGCTATGGACTGAGATACGCATATATTTCATAACAAAAATGTGTCTATACCATGATAAGAATATTTTGTCCTCCAAGTACTACCAGCAGGGTAGCAGAGAGAAAAAATCAAAGATGTGATAGCAAACCTGAGAGCAGCATGGGGTCCTTATCCACAGACTTGCGTACGTGGTCAGACTCTCCTGTAAGAGAGCTCTCATCTATCTTCAGGTCGTTGCCTTGGACCAAGATACCATCAGCTGGCAGAAGGTCCCCTGAACACAGACGTGCATACAGACGTTGTGGTTCATGTCAGTGCAAGGGTGCCTAACAGGGACATTTATGTATCAGTATCTCTTTAGTTACACAAACTACTATATGTTACAGAGATAAGCAGTACAGGAATAGTCAACATTGTGGAGAAAACATTATGCAAGACTGGGAGCAGAAATAAAAAAAAAAACCTACCAATTATTAAAGGACATGTAGTACGTATGCTTTGACAGTTTTGATTCAATGGTGAAAAGAGAACTGAGATGAAAAGGGTTTTCATGAACACTCAATTCACTTTAAGAAATTCAATTCAGATTGGCAGAGTTTGTGTCTGAGAATTTTAGTGAAATACTTTTTCAGCTTTACTGTCTTTTGAGTCTTTCACTGCAGGTCAGTTTTGCTTCCTTTGTGATGATTGTTTCTTATTTTTTAGCTACTCTATAGTGTGTACAATTAATCATTCAACCTGACATATTAATTGATTAATCGATAATGAAAACATTTGTATGTTGCTACTCTTTTATCCAATAAGCATGTGTTGGTCTCCTTACCATATTTGACCTGGGCCATGTCCCCCACCACCATGTCAGACACGGGGATCTGGATGACATTTCCTTTCCGCACGACAGTGAACTTCTGTTCTTGTTCAATCCGACTCTGTAGACCCCGGAACTGCTTCTCTTTGGACCAGTCGTTAAACGCCGTCACCAGGACGACACACACGACAGACAGCAGGATGGCCGCACCCTCAATCCAGCCGGTGTCGCCCTCGCCTTCATCCTCTCCTCCCACCGCCACGTTCCCACATGCTGGGAGAGGGGAATGGAGGGATGGTTGGTTAGATAAGTACACAGCTGTAGACATGATATCACAGCTGGACCAAATAGTATTTAACCTGCCTGAAACATCAGCTGGTTGGTGGTATGGCTAGTTTGGGAGAGGTTCATTTTCTTTGCTATTAGTTATCAAATGTAAGATGGAAAGCTGTGTGATCCAAATGTAAATAAACTCAAGAGTATGTATGTAATTTACTACAATTCACAGATGAAAAAAGGTTCATGTCTTACAGAACATGAGTATAAATGCTCATGTTGCATCACTCTACTTAAAGAAACAGGAACAAAGTATAATATGTAGATTCATAAACACATCTACAAAAAACTCCGCTTTATGAGACAAGGAAGGATTTGTTGATGGAAGAGCCTGATACATACATGCAGTGATATTCAGCTCAGCTGAATCATTTACTTTGGTTAAACTTCTTCTATACCTGTCAACCCTCCTGTTTTTCCCAGGATGATCACGTATTTTAGAATTCTCTCCCACTGTCCTCCCGTTGAAATATTTTCCTGTAAGTCCCCAGTATTTTTTACCTTTCTAAAAATAAAAAAAGCCACTGGGCGTATTTGATATGTTATCTACATTCCCCTCCGTTATTGCAGGTGGCAGTATGTTGCTGTAACATCTAGTGACGGGAAGTCATTCACTCAAGCGGCACCTGCCAATAAAACAAGAAGAAGAAGGGGAAGAGCGGTTGAATAGGAACAGCAGCCTGGGGACTGGATGAACATGAGAGGGATGGAGTGCCGGCCAAATAGGCTAAAGTATCTCACAAATGGGAGGAATTTCTCTCACTCACCCTACCACTCCCTTCCATTTTCATAATCACTCTCTTCTACAAATTGTCTCACTTAACCACTAACCTCTGAAAATCACAACTGAAGCATAATGTGTATATGATGCATATCCTCATTCTAGTATCTAATTCATAAACAAACGTGTAAGAGCTGAATTTATATGCCCTTTATTGTTTTCACTTTTCACATTTACATAATGCAGGGATGTACAGCATTTCACTTTCAACCAGGTCCCACATTCAGACCACGTCACTTACTTAATGTAGGAATTACTTGACCCAATCATTGTTGCACTGCTATTTTAAATGAAGTGGTTGCGTAGTGATGATTTAAGGATTCACTGTGTGTACCTTCGTCTAAATGTAAGTGTTATGTGGACATGAGTATGGGGCTAAAAATTTCATTATTTTCATATCCCCATGTTTACAGGTATTCATTGAGGTGTGCTACAGAAAAGCTTCAAAGGGAGGTAACAGATATTTGATGTATAACTCCACTTTCTCACTTTATTTACTACTATTACCCATGAAACTATATCTTTAAAGAGACTATGTAACTTTAAAATGAAACTTTTAATTCAGATGCAATAAAGTACACTGTTGCTCAATTCAATATGCTCACAGGTTTTACTGCTATACTTGGTCTGATCAGCAAACTTCATGTAGATGTAACTCAAATCAATCATTTATTTTGGCTTCAAATTTGTGCGACTGTTTTACTCATTTTACACTTTGTGACTTTTTATTATTAGCATTTACCATTAACCAAATATTCCCAAATTAAAAGTTCATTAGAGGGTTTTGCTGCTACAGCCTTACTTAGTCTGGTATGAGAACTTACGGAGGCTCAGGTTAGCTAACTTTAATACATATTGCTCTGTAACTGACATTACTGAGTCACTTTGCTCACAATTTTTATTCGAGTGTGAAAGTTATTTCTTGGAAATGGCAGTTTGACCAAACTATCTTAACTCAAGGTCCCCTCTGAACAGCAGCTTGTAGTCTTTATCAGCGGATTGGATTTGGATGCATTCTGCTCCTCTTTTGTCAATTCTCTTTTTGTCTCTACTTGTGCTACAGAACCTTCAACACATAAAAGCAACTTGTGGCCACAATGTTGAGCAGCCTTTGCACAGTTTCTGTGACCTCTCCCTTTTCTTTTGCTTTCCCCTTTCTCTTTAAAAAGCCAAAGCTCTTTTGCAACCTCCTAAATTTCTTCCTTTCTTCTCTTGCTAAAACATTTGATTCTTCCATGTTTCTACTGTCCTCTTTAACCAGGATACTGGGCGATACCATGTGCTGATCAGGATTTGTCTTCTTCCTCCTCTATGTCTCTCCACTATTTCTCTCCATCTATCATATTCACTCTTTTTCACATAGAACCTCACCCCTAAAACATTTGGTCTTACTGCATGCCCCACTCCACCTGCCCCTCTCCTTACATTCGGAGTCCCCTCCTGGAGGCTGGTAGAAAGACAGGCCGAGGGAGATGATGGCGGCGGCCTCCAAGATGATGAGAGTGACGTCCTGTAAGGCCTCCCACACGAGCTCCAGGAAAGTCTTGGCCTTCTTCGGGGGGATGAAGTTATGGCCGAACGTTTGGTACCGACGCTCCATGTCTGCCGGGTCCCCACTGAGACCTGAGAGATGGTGGAGACGGAGGAAGAGATAAAAAGAAAGACATAGGGAGGAAAACGAGGGGTTAAAATAAGAAAGGTTGAGATCTTTCTGTAAAAAGATTCAAATCACTTAAAGTGAAATTCACATGGCAGGAATGATCAAAACAAAACACGTCTGCACACACAGAGACACATTCAGTCACTTTCATGCTGTTTTAAATAAAATGTAATTTCAGAGAGAATTATGAGCAAGTACCCGTTTGAATGGTTCCAGGTTCACTTTCATTCATAAAAGATTAAAATTCCATATAGCACTATTTAGCAGGTATAGTTTATCACCAGGACACACAAAGCCAGTAGAAATTCACACTGCAACACAGATGCAAAATAAATATTCTCAAAAAAGCCAAAACCTACAAGACAAACTTTCTCTACCCAGTAAAATAGTTCAAAACAAACAAAACACAGTAGAATCTGTGAATTTTGGCTCTAAGTTTGCTTTACTCATCTCCAGCCTCCCTGCAACTTCTCCATCCTCACCCTCCTCTTGGTTGATTCAGTTTCCATGGTGACCAGGATATCAGGTCCAGGGCTTCCTGTCTCTAACAGGTTTCTGCCCAGCAACAGGTGATGTCATTTCTCCAGCGTGCTAGGTTTGGAGCAGAGCTTTTATTTATTTTATTTTTTATTTTTTTACTGATTAGCCGCAGGGGAGGGGGAACTTTGTATGCTGTGGCTGGCCCAGAACGGTGACTATCTTTGCGTCCGCTTGCCTGTGTGTGTGTGTGTATGTGTGTGTGTGTGTGTGTGTGTGTTTGCGTGGAGACATCCTAGTCCAATGTGCTTGCTGCAGGGAGTCATATGTTGCTCCCAGTGATGCCGAAGAGTTGTGTAGCAATATGACGCTCAACAGGGTTCAGGCCAAGGCAGGAAGAGACAGAAACAGAGAGAGAGGAAACAGGTGACCTTATGCTGAGTAATCGCAGCGAGCTGTATACTCCTTCCATTAGTCCATCCTTCCCTTTCTCAGCCATCCCTCCTTTCTTCCCTTCCTCCTCATCCTCTTCCACAGCCTCTCTCGTTGGCTCTCCTCCTCCTCTCTTTTTCTCCCTCTCTCAATCTCCCCTTGATGTGTCCTTGACAATGCGGCAAGCTGTTCTAGCTTCCCCCCCATCACCACACACACACACACACACACACACACACACATACACACACACACTCTTCCTCTCACTCCCTCTTTCTCATCGTTTCTCATCCTCCTCTTTTCTGTCTATTCAATGTGGATATAATGGTCTCATACTGCAGTGCTGTGGTATCCATATCTGTGTTTGTGTGTGCGAGACAGAGAGAGAAAGATCCCATTCTGTATTGGTTTAACCCTCACTCTGCTCTGTGTATCACATTACAGATGATGCTCAGCATCATAATATATACGCCTGTGGTACATCTACCCCGGTGTGTGTGTCATACATATTTGTGTAGTATGTACTTCTGTTGGCACGAGTATTTCTCAAGTGTATACATTTCCCATGTATCTATCTGATCTGCCAATTCATGTTCCTCCTCTGTGATTAGTTGTACTGTAATCATAATAAGCAGAGGCAGCAGCTTTTGTTGTACTGTCAAACGCCTCAGATCTGGAGCAGAAAATCTCTTAAGCTGTGAGATCGAAACATCAGCCGGAAGTTTGAGCAGTTCAAGTAATGACATTGGATTTCCATAAGGTGGGAAACATCTTTCTGCTTCTGTGTTTGCACTTTGGCTGGTTTGTCACAGCAGATGACAGCATATGTAATTTGTGAAAGTCACAGTGCAGCTCAGTCCAAGTGTGTGCAAGGCAGCAGCATTTGTGTGTGTTGTTTGCCAACTATGCTTTGTAGGGACAACTGCAGATACATGACACGTGTGTGTGTGTGTGTGTGTGTGTGTGTGTGTGTGTGTGTGTGTGTGTGTGTGTGTGTGTGTGTGTGCGTGCGTGTGCTGGGTTTGTTGGGACCTGCTGCACTGATTCCTGACCAGCTCAAAGTATCAAATTAGCAACACTCAACACAGACTTACTGCAACTCAACACCCACCAACTCTCTCACTTTTTTTCCATCTCTCTCTCTCACACACACACACACACACACACACTCTTCCTCCTCCATTCACCCCTCTCTGTTCCTCACCCTCTCCATCTCACATCTCTCAGTCGTCTTTCTCCCTCTCTCTCTCTCTCTTTCTCTCTCTCTCTCTCTCTCTCCCTTTCTCTCTCTCTCTCTCTTGCCGACTTTCCCAGCCAACTTCTCTCTGCTGTTGTGTTGCTAGGTTACAAACTAGTTGAAGGAGTGGGCGTAGTGTGGTACCACACCCCTGCATGAACACACATGCATGTGCACACACTATAGACACAGACGATCCTACCCTCAGTCGTCATTACAAATCTCTGATTGGCATCCTCAGACGTTAACTTCTTCTTCTCTCACACACAAAAACAACAAGAGTGTGTGTTTTAGTGTGGTATCAATAAAGCTACAGCATTAGTCCAGAAACAACGTGTGTGTGTGTATTTCTTAAATAACCGGCAGATTAATCGGCAATAAGAATTAACCTTTAGTTGCAGCCGTAATGTGATTAAATGAAAGAATGAAACAGTTGCAGTCCTATGCATGAACCCACACTTACAGACACAGTGTCTGCAATCATTACAGGTGTGCTGAGATTCGAGTCAATCCTTGCACACTTTTACTCCATTCATCCATTTGTTAATTTACTCTAACTGCTTTCCATCCATTCATCCACTATAATCCCGTCATCCATCATTAATCAATTCACCCACCCATGTTCTCCACCAAAAAACTGTCTTCCACAGCCAGGGTTACTCTCCACATGAGTAAAATGTGCTTTCATTTCATTCTGCATCCTTTTGTCTGATTTGTGTTGTACTGCCGTGAAACTGGTGCATTTTTTAAATAATGCACGAGTAAAATAGAATGAGCGCCGTCTTTGTCAGGTTCTGTGATCAAAACATTTTGTTAGCGAGTTAAAATTTGGCAAATTATTGGTGCCCTTGTGTAATCTGTTTTATTAGTTTGATGATTTGGACAGGCAGCAATATCATTCATGCAGAGGTGTTTGTGTGCGACTCCACAATGTCATCCTTCATTCAACTCCTCTCAATTCATCTCCCTGCTAATCCATCTCCATTCATCCTTTACAAATCCATCCATCCAGCAAGCTAGTAATCGGTTCACCCATTCATGTATCTACTCATCCACCCAACCATTCCTCCATAAGTCTATTTATACAACTTTGCTGTCAACCATTCATCTACCTAGCCATCTACTCCTCCATTATTATTGATTTTTACAAATTCAACCATCCATACACCTGCTCACCATCAGTGGTGCTGGACTGTAGTCTTTGACAGAGCCCCTCTGTGTCTCCGTAGCTGTCCTGGATCTTCTGCAGGGCGTCGGCCCCTCGGAGCTCCATCAGCTCCCTGAGCTCCTCCACCGTGACCCCGAAGTCCCCCCCTGCATGGCTGCCATCTGCCCTTCCTCCTCCTCCGCTCCCGGCTCGAGTCCCTTTGGGATAAAACTCCACAGCACTGTTTGCCATTTCACCCATCGTGGCTGTTGTTGACATGTCAGTAAGGTTTTTTGTCTGTTTTGGTCCTCCCTTCTCTCCTGTCCTCAACTCAGTTCCACTTTCGTTTGTTTGGTGGAAGGTTGATCATGTAAAAAATTTGCTAATATGTTGATACACTTAAAACCTTTTAAAAAATTTAGTTTAGGGGCATCAAAGGGGCGTTTGTTGTTTGTTTGTTTCTCCTCACTATCTCGGCCTAGCCTCCCACTGCTCCTTTAATTCTCCATAACAGGAGGAGGAGGTTGAGGGGGATCAAGGACAGCGAGCAGGGGCACTTCAGAAGCGTGATATCTGAATGAATCCAGCTTTCTTTTCCTTCGTCTCCTCTGCGACTCCGCTCTTTCCTTGTTTCTGTCCCCCTCCCTCCAGGGTCACGGCCAGTCCATGGACGGACGGACGGACGGACGGACAGACGGGCTGACAGACGTACAGACGGGGATGGAGGGATGATTGAAGGATGGAGAGAGGGGCGAGCGGGGCAAAGGCGGCTGATGAATCAGAGACAGGAAGTGGATCCAGTTCAGAGGTAGCTATTGCTGCACCACCAGGACCTAAGAGAGAGAAAGAAAGAGATAAAACATTACCACTCTGTTCTATTGATCTGCCTCACTGTCATTACATCAAATCATTTCTGAGGCAGAGATGAGGCATGCTGAGACTGGACTCAGTTGTAAAACTTGTTCGTTTGATGCACCATACTTGATCTAACACGATCTAACAATACACAAGTATGACTTCATGTATACAGTCATGTTTAAAATGGTTACAAACATGATACATTTAATAATCTATAAAAGTAAGATCATTACTGCTATAATCACAGCCCGAAAAGAAACTTCTGCTTTTCCACACATTTTTCTCTGTAAAGACCTTTGTCTCACTTCATGCAATGTTTAGACCAGCGTTCATTGATTTCTTGACCCTCTTAACCCTCTAACTCGTTAAAAAACTGTAACACAAAACTGACATATCATTACTTTATAAAGTGGATATGACTAATCTGTTAGCAAACAGTGTCATATATACAAATCCAGTTCACATTAACTAATTTAGTCTGTCCGCTGGTTAGTGCTGGGTAGGCAGCGTACAACAGCTGCAGAGTTCTATGTGTATTCATTATTACAAGGTACACCTTTCCCATTGTCATTTCATCCATTGTTCATATAAAAACACAAATTATATAAGCTTTAAATATTCTCACAGAAGGGGAAAAAAGCATTGGAGAAAGCATTACTCTTAAAGTGCACACAGCATCTTAGATTGAGTTTCAAACTGTTGTTTCCCACCAAAATTATTTTCAACGAGCTCAGAAAATTCAGAAGGAAAAAAAATAAAGTTGTAACATTTTTCATCTGACATTATTTGTACTGGATATTGTCACATCACCACCACCTGAGTAAACTGTTCGAGGATGGCTTCATTCTATATTGTTCTTGGTCCGTAGCTCAATACTTTCTGACTTCTCTGATCTGTCTGTGGCTCTCAGCTCCAGAACACCTCATAAATATATCAATGCAGTGATCTGTATATTGTTTGTGAGGTGACCTTGGGTGTTATGAAAGGTGCCATTAAATAAAATGCATTATTATTATATTTATATAATTATATAGTTTCATTTTTAAAAAGGCTCAGACATTTCCTTAAACAGCTGCTCACTGTAGTTTTAATCAGCCATTACTCAAACAGGAGCAAATTTGTTGGGGACTATTTTCAGCAGCGGATGAATCCACATGTGGTGCTCTAATGAGTATTTGGGGCAGCAGGATGGTGTATGTGGGACCGAGTCAGAATAATCTACAGTGTGTGTTCACAGTGATGAAGGAACATGTCACCCAGTGCTGCAGTGAGGCTCATAGGTGTGTTTTTAATAGATTTTGGACAACAATTGAGCTCTATGGCACAATATGTGATGTCTGGTTAACCCAGATACTGTTACTTCAAACCAGGTACGTCCACTTTGACACAAACCACGCCACGCCTGGACACATCCAGACGCCTTGTATGTGCGATTAATTCACGTTCCGTTTGTCCGGCCTAATAAAGGGCTTGTGAGACCTGAAAGTGGGACATTTTCTGAAGTGAGCCGCTCTTGTTGAATCAACTGAAAGACAATTTTTATAATCACTAAATTAACATTTCAACCCACCTCTGGAACTGATTTAATTAAAATAAATCTGACACCAATAGCGTTCAGTGCCGCCTAGTAGAACGGCAACCTGCTTTCCCTCAGCCTCAACGACTAAGACGAAGCCTCATCCCACATGAGCAATTAACACCGCCTGTAACTAAATATTCTCAGCATCACACATGACACAACATACTCTGATTTCCCTATCAGGGCATTTTACAGAACTGAATCTCATCATTAATTCCTCTTCCCTCTGCTCCCTCTTGCATCTTCTCCCTCCTTTTTCTCCTCTCTGCCCTGCCATGCCTCTATCCTGACTGAGAGTGTTAGTTTATGACTGAGTCACCCTGCTCTGCCTTTGAAGCTTCCTCTCGCTCTACATCTTTTCTTATTTGCCTGCTCTCCTGTCTCTCCATTTGTATCTATCTCTCTACTCTATCTATATGAATTCACCTTCCTCTTTTCCCCCTCTCCTGACACCCTCATTTTGTCGCTCTCGCTGTCTATCTGCTTCCTGCTACTGCAATCATTTATTTACTCAGCCAGTCGCACATTTTCTTCTCTTACTCACTGATTCTGTCTGATTTTATAACGCTCATGCCAGAAAAAGCTCTTCTGTTCAGCCTCCCAACGAGGCTATTGTGGCTAACTCTGACGGTGTCTGTCTGCTTGTCTCAGAGCTTTGATATGTGCATTGTATGCGTGTGCACATGTGAGCCTGCATAACACAGACTTTGTTACTCGGTTTGTTACGCATTCCTAACTCTTACATACAAACAGACACACACATAAAGATACTGTCCACTTTAGCCACAGGATGCAAGCATCACGGATGTACAGTTAAACAAAGACACTAACACTCCTGCCCAGAGACATCACTTATATGATCTCTGCTGTGACACACGCACAAATGTGTCATACACCACAGCGCTTTCTAAATGAAAGTAAGAGAGAGATGGAGAGCCAGAGAGAGAGAGAGAGAGGCAGCTGTCCTGGCTGAAAATGTGTTTGAACATGAAAAGAGTCAGACAAAAGGTCACCACAATCCTCAGCAGCCTGCCCATTTATCCTGAATGCTAGCCCTGCTTCTCCGCACACTACCCCTCTGAGGATTGGCGCGATTTGATTGTTTTTTTTTTATTATTTTTCTTCAAGAGAAAGTGGCTACTCTTCTCCCTCGGGTATTTTCTCTTTATCGCGGCAGCAAGAAGGTTGAGAAGTGTACAGAGTGAGCAGGTCCTCACGGGATTTGATTCTAGGCCAGCGGGGCTTTGTATGCCTTATTACTGTGTGTGTGTGTGTGTGTGTGTGTGGGTGCGTGCGCGCGCGTTGGATGGGGCAACCCATGAACACACACTTGAGTTCATTTGACTAAACATGTATGTGCGCACTTATGTGTTTCTGACTGACTGTGCTCACACTCCTGTTGTGTGTGCATGTGTGGGAACTTGTCAGTATTTCATCTCCCTGCCTACACTGCTACACTGGCTAGCCTGCGTTCCACCTGTGCACCTGCAGTCCTACTTTCTGACAGGCATCTGAAGGGTCACCTCTGGCAGGGCCCTTATATCTGGGCTGCTGCCTGTCGTCACTGGCTCGGTGCCAGTCACACACTTCTGTAAAGCCCAGTGGGAATAGCACACTTTGAATTCGACACAGTCAGTGGCTGGAGCCATTAAAGGTGGGCCGCCAAGGTATCTGCATTACTGTAGAGCACATTAAAGGAACTGGATGATGCTGACGATGACGAGGAGGATGATGGTGATGGTTTGGGGGGAGGGCATGTGTGGTGTTTTTGGGAAGAAAGAAAGAAAGCAAGCAAGAAAGAAGAAATAGGCTACCTGGTTAAGACTGACCCCTCTGAGGTGTATCCATCTCTCTTACATGTCACACACATGCACAGACACACTCAGTCTCATGTACCTCCCACATGAGACACTATCCACCTCCACCCAAAGCTGCACACACACACTTAATTCTTGCAGTTTCCAGCAAGATTGTGCATTCTGTGCTCCATGCAACTGTGTTTCCCACACAAAACGACCTTTCCTGGTCACCTTCAGAAGCTCCCTCTGCTCATCCCCATCCTCAACACATAAGGCAACAGGAGGAGGTCCTGATTAAAGCAGAGAGACTACACTGTAGGCCTACTAAAGAAGAAAGAGAGTGCAGCCTCTGGTGCGCCACTACCCTATGTCCCTCCGCAAGGTTACCGGCCACCGCCGGCCTGCTCTGCCCAACTCACACCCACCCTGCGCCGGCTGACTTGTGAAGGTCCCTCCAGCCAGAGATCATTAGCAGATCAAACCCACACCCCCGCAGCTCAGCGCTGCAGGTGCGACGCGCCGTAACCGAGACACACACCGCAACTGATATCCAGTAGCCAATAGCTTGGTAGCCAACATAACGCCCGGCAAAACCAGGAGGCAAGCGGAAGCCCTTCACCATCTGACACAGGACGGACGGATGGATGGATGGATGTGTATCATTAGCTCTACACCACACGCGCTCACAAACAAATTCAAGCGTGCACGCGCACACGCATACACACATACTCCCTCATAATGTCACAGCGCTGTTTGCCAGGGTATTATAGTAGTCTATGTCCTACTGTATGGGCTTTTATCACCGCTGTGTAAGGCCTGTGAAGAGAGATGCCACATTAGGCCCCGTTTCACATTCTGCAAGTCTGAAAACCTCCCGACAAGCTCCTAACGAACCACAGCGCGAGCAACACATCTTCCCTAATAAAAACTGCGCTCGGGCGCCCGGGGTAAATAACAGTCACGCACGCGGGCACGCACGGACTCACCGACTCACCGTGCAGGCCGAGCTCAAGGACATCAGCATCAGCGCGCGGGCGGGGAGGCAGAATCCCCGTTAATCTGCGTGTGCGTGGAGCGGAGAATGTCCCAAACCGGATGAGAGGAGACAGGGGGGGGGACCGGGGCTGCGGCAGCTCCTGGAGTCCGAAGGAGTGGAGGGATGAAAGACGACGACGGTGCTGATGAATATTCCGCTCCGCGCGGTCACCTGACGGTCGGTCGGCGGAGTTCTGCGGCGGTTGAGGGGAGAGAGAGAGAGAGAGAGAGAGAGAGAGAGCCCGAGAGAGAGAGTGAGGATGCGCCGGGTTGAGGGTTTAAACACCTCAGTTGTGGGGAGGGAGGGGGGGCTGTCCGCGCGCCTGGACCAAGTCTAGCTGCTCCCGGTGGAGAGAGCTGCTAATTTGACCGAATTCGGTTAACCGTTAAGGACACTGGGAGAAAAAGAAAAGAAAAAAAGAAAAGAAACGCCGCGTTGAGAGACGCTCATGCGACATCTTTAGAGGAGGAGGAGGAGGAGGGTTTGAGCCTCTGAGAGAGCCCGCGCGCACAGGAGCTTGATCGCAGCATCCGCGAAAAGAACCGAACGCGTGGGGGGGGTCTTTACACGTCACCCCCACCTACTCGGTTGCGTGATGACGACACCAGACACACCGCAGTGTACGTATTTAGTGGAAGGTATTATCAGTAGGTAGGCTATCTGTTAGAAACACTAACCTGACCTGCAGATGATCCAGAACAGGACGTGCTGGTGAAAGATTGCGTTGTGTTTAGCCTGTCGCAGGGGTTTCCCCAGTAACCTAGCACAGGCCTATGTCACACGCAATTCTATTATTCTTAAAATGTAATACTGTGCTGGTGGTGCCCATCACAGCAGTGTTAATGAATGGAGTTAGTCATGTTGTTAACATATATATATAGAACCTTCAAAAACTTTGAAGACACAAACTTCACACAACAAAATCTAAATCGCAGCTGAATACACTGACAAAGGGTGCCATTTATTTTACATTTAAACAACATTCATTCAAAAGGCCCAGCAGACTGTAGAGCCCATTTCTTCCTAATCTAACAAACCTGTTTGGCACTTTTGGCACAAATAGTTTATGCATACCTGAAAAAGTTTTATTTTCAAATTAATTAGGATACACTCTCATTTCAGACCCCTATAGGGCTGTGTGGGCAGGACACAGATGCACAATGCAACTGGTTAAGCACTGCCACATTTCCTCCAAGAGAGCAGTTCTGTTTTGTTTAGCTTGGGAGAAGATGGAGGATTTACATTAAATGCAATGGAAATAGGATGAAAAGATTTGTGACTGTAGCAAGGGGGGAGTTAGGAAAGGAAGAGAACTTGTAGCTCACTTTTTGATGATGCTTTGCTACATAAAAAAAATAAATAACACATGCTGCTCAAAAAGGAATTTTTAGAGGTGAAGGAAAAAGTCATGGGAAAAGTCTTGAAATATAACCTAATACAGGAATTTAAAGGTATCATCTCATCTTCTCTAAATAACTTAACATAGATATGTAAGTATTATATTCATCCTCTCCTCTGGTCTCTCCTCCTTTCTCCTATACTTGTGTGAATGGTGTGTTTGAGTTTTGCCTCTTGTGTCTTTGTGTAGTCTGTCTGTCCTCTTCCATGTCTCCATGGTGGTGGATAAGACACATGCCTTTGGTGTGAGAGACTTGGGTTCAATTCCACACAATTCCCTGAGCAAGACACTTAACCCCTAGTTGCTCCAGCGGCGTGTGACCTCTGACATATACAGCAATTGTAAGTCGCTTTGGATAAAAAGCGTCAGCTAAATGAATAAATGTAAATGGACAAGAGGTCCTGTTGCTCCTCCTGCGGTTTCCCAGTTAAAGGATTTTTGGAGCATTTTTCCTCACTCAAATCGAGAGTCTAAGGACAGAGGGTGTTGTCCGATGTACAGATTCTGAAGCCCCTTGAGGCAAATTTGTCATATCTGATATATATAAAACTGACTTGACTAGCAGACTTCCCAGCGTGCACTGTTTTGTATATGAAAACATACACTATATGATGGAAACTTGCAGTGTGTTTGGTTGTTTCCTTTCATGCTAATAAAAAACATTGCAAACCACAAAGTTTAAAGTTGGATTGGAATTCAGTCTTACACCTAAAACTTCCCTGGGAGCAGCTCCACCTGGTGTCTGTGTCAAATAAAGAACTGACTCTTGAAAATAAAGATGTCAGAGGAAAGTAAATCTGTCTATAACATTTGTTAGCATGACTGAACAGTTGTTGATTCATCTTAAATCTAAACTTGAGTTCTCGGTAGAGCATGTATCACGTATCGAGGCTGAGTCCTTACTACATTGGCACGTGTTTGAGTATGAATTATTTTCCAGTTGGGAGAAAAACAGGCCTCATACTTTATTGCAAAGAAAATCTCCTAGACAGTCTACATGTAACCTGTTCATACTGTAAGAAACCATTTCACACATCAATTCAATCCATTCTTTAAAAGTAATTAAAGTGTATTCTTTTAATAAAATAGAATACAATGTCAAATTTGTAAGAAACTCAAGAGATCTGAGTTAAGGAGGTTATGTTTATTTTTAAGGTCATCAAAACATCTGACTGCTTCATCACGACCAGATCATCAAGTATCTGTACAGGAGACCCATCTCTCCCCAAAGTGTGCCACCTATTAGCAATTTCTTGAATCATACAGAGGCCCTCTTTCTTCCTTCCTCTCTCTCTCTACAGTCACTATAAAATAAAGCAGAAATGCCAAAAATATCTTTAAAAAATTTTCTTCACGTTCTGACGTCTGGTTTGGATCTGCCACAAAAAAGGACAGGAGCAGACTACAACGGACAGTCAGGACTGCAGAAAAGATCATCGGTGCCAACCTGCCCTCCATTCAGGACTTATACATTTCCAGATCAGGAAACGGGCAGGAAATATCACTGCAGATTCATCTCACCCCGGACACAACCTGTTCCAGCTTCTCCCCTCTGTGGGCGCTACAGAGCACTGTACGCCAAAACCAACAGACTCAGGAACAGTTTCTTCCCACAAGCCATCACTCTGATGAATAGCCGACTCTGACGGAAACAATTCCTGTGCAATAACCCAGAAACTCTGCCTGTAATCTGCCACCTGTTTACTGGCCATCGCTTCTTATTTATTCATCACTCTCTAAATCAGAGCGGTTCATATTGTCATTTTGTATATACTGTATACCAAATCCACCAACCTAATGTACATAATACCTGCACATAATACTTATTTATTCCAGCATCCTCTGCACTATGCTCCATCACAATGTGTACATGTATGTGTACCTGTATGTCACATCCACCTCAGACATGTACATAATAATGATAATAATTTTACTCCTGCATCCTTTGCACTCTGCTCATTGCACTATTGTCTTGACAAGACCATTTCCTCTCACTGTCATCCCAGCCGATTCGGCTGTCGGGGGCTGGAAGCTGCTGCCAAAACATAAACAAGAGGCATTACATGTACGCAGTCCGCTGTCAGGGTTTAGTGTTTAAGTTAAAACTGAATGTTGCGTTTCATCAGGGAACTTCCATTTAATGAAACGGCCTCTGTGGATCTGTGCCTAATTAAATGAGATTTAAATGGTTTCAGAGCACTAACAACGCAAGGAAATGCAAATTAAATAGCAGTGTTATATTACTATTTCTTGCATAGTTAGCTATTTTTTTTCCTGTAGTGGTCATGCACAGAGTTCTGGTTTTATTTGCCCAGGTTTTGAGTTACCTATCTATATTTTCTGCCCTCACCTCAATACAAAGAAAGTAAAGGAAGAAAAGACTTTAAATGCTGTGTTAGTGGAGCTCTCAGCATTGGAAATTATATTTACATTACATGTAAACATACAACATTATTTACATTATATATAAACACACAACAAAGGCGTTTTCTATAAGGATCTCTTACATTGTTTATACATGGACACTTTGCAGTAGGAAAAATAAACTTGTTACACTTACTTTAGACTTACAACAATTAGTTTATTAATTGATTAGTCAGTTTACAGAAAATTAATGAAAAATGCCAAAAGTTGGTTCTGGTACAACTTCCTCAGTAACAACAAACAAATTGTAAGATTAGAGGGGAAATGTGTCTTTGGTGGAACTGCTAACAACTGCGGTATATTTGTCAATTGCTGAGTTAAAGCACAATATTTCCCTCTGAATTGTAATGGAGTAGAAGTATAAAGAAGAGTAAAATGGAAATACTCAAAGTACAAGTACCTCAAATTTGTACAATACAGTACAGTACATGAGTACTTTTTGTACTTACTTTACTTTCCAGGACTTTATGCTTTCATGTTAGCTTTTTATAAGTCATAGTGACAAGTGAACTCTGCAAAGTGCAGAGCAAAACTGTAGTCTGGGGATGCGGGGAGCCCCCTCAAAGAGCACAGGAGGATTGGGTTCCCTCTTTGGGCGCCACTCCACTGGCCCACAGCTCATGGGTTTGGGGGAATGAACCCAGCGTTGGCCGGTGTGTGTAGAACCAGCAGACCCTCCGTCTTCTGCTCTATGCGACCGAGCAAAGCAAGCGCTGTCCGCTGAGCTGAAGGCTCGCACACCTAGTGCTGAAGAATAAAGAATCATACGTTCATTTTATACAGCCCCTGTCAACACACACATATACATATACCAGCCCCCTGCACCCACACCCCCATCTTCATAGCTATACCCAACTGGCTACTGTCACAGCTTGTTATGCAGCGAGCCAGTGTGAGGAGAAATGTATTTATAGATGAATCAGATGAACTTATTAATAGATATCCTCTACACTGCAGGGAGATGGACCACAGACTTGACTGTCCATGTAGGCACACACACACATCTCGATGAAAAGCGCCTCTTATCTTTCACTGTTCCACACCATCTCCCAGAGGCACATGGAAAAAAGAAAATGAAATCAAACATACTTTCTTTGTGGATGAGCAGTAATCTGCTTTATTATTTCTATAAATATCTAAGAATAGGAGTTCTGCCTGATTAGCCAAGTAACATAAATGTTGTGCTTGTTGGATCTCTCTATATATATCTCTATCTATCTATATCTTTCTACACATATATATACACACACACACACACACACACACACACACACACACACACACTATACATAAATCTCAGGTCTTACATTTTTAAGAATTATTCTCCAGTTGGGAGAGGAACTGTTCATACTGTAAGAAACCATTGTGCACATCAATTCGATCCATTCTTTAAAAGTAGACAAAGTGACACTTGACATTTGTAAGAAACTCCAGAGATCTGAGTTAAGCAGGTTATGCTTATTTTTATATCATTAAAAGATCAAAAGATCTGACTGCTTCATCACGACCAGGTTTCAAGAATCTGTCACTGTAAACCCAAATAAGTTCAGAATACTCAAAATATTTGTGGAAACTGATTACCTCAAATTTCATAAGTAGTGGTAATAATATTTTTGAGTAAACCTTAACTTAAATAATACATATTTATAAATAAAATATTAAATTTCTGCATACTAAATTACATTGATTCACTGATGCTTAT